GAAAATTCCCTCCCTGTGTGCTCCACCAAAAATGTCATGAAAATGTGTACTTTATAAGAATGCCAATTTCCTTGTGTACTTCACAAAAATGTCACTCCAAGTGTACCTCAAAAGAACATCACTCCCTAAGAGCTTCAAGAGAATGTCACACTTTGTATACTTCACAAGAATGTCACACTTTGTGTACCACATAAGGATGTCACTTCTGGTATACTTCACAAGGATGTCAGTTCTAGGGTACTTCACAAGGATGTCAGTTCTAGTGTACTTCACAAGGATGTCAGTTCGAGTGTACTTCACATGGATGTCACTTCTTGTATGCTTCACACTAGAATGTCACACCTTGTGTACTTCACAGAATGTCACACCTTGTGTACTTCACAAGAATGTCACACCTTGTGTACTTCACAAGAATGTCACTCCTTGTGTGCACAAGAATGTCACACTTTATGTACTCACAGGAATGGCACTTCTTGTATGCTTCACACTAGAATGTCAGATCTTTTGTACTTAACAAGGATGTCAGTTCTAATATACATCACAAGAATGTCACTCCTTGTATGCTTCATAAGAAGGTCAAAACTTGTGCACTTCACAAAAACTGTCACATCTTTTGTGCATCACAAGAATTTCAATCCTTGTGAACTTTTGGCAAAAGTTAGCAGGACCTTCTTCATGATAGTCATGCAATTGTGAGCTTGGATTCTTACAAGGAATAATGCAGGCATTTATCCCAACTGTAAGGTCATTACTCTTAAAAGGACTATGTAAAACCTTATCCTCACAAGTGAATGCAGACCTATACCTCTACGAGAAGAAATACGGTTGTTTATCCCATTTACTTCTCGGGGAAGTTCACACATACATACATCAATTTTCTGCACAAGATCTTGACGACTCACAATTTTATATCTATTATCACAGGTAACTAAAATAATATCATTTATACTAATCACAATCATGAAGCAGAAATTTATCCAACAAATTCCTATAAATATTATAACCTGATGGAGCACAATTCCAAATTCCAAAATTGAATTGATGTTGGCCTATCAAGCAATTAAACATGATATGAAATTTAACATGTTCCTTGAAGTCTAGCCATGTCATATATTCATCAACAAAAAGCAGGAATGGGCACAGGTAAAGTAAAAAATTGTTTCATGGACTCTGTGATTTTTGGAGGATTTTTTTTCTAGCAGGTCCAGAGCAACTTTTCGGTTACAAAGAAAAGGTGTCTAAAATTTTACTGACTCTTACAGAAAGAGCATGAATCCAGGACTCAAATTTTTCAGTTCCAACAACATTCATGGCAAATTGGTAATTGCAATAACATACAATTTGATAATGTGTCCAGTTGATAAAGACCAGGAATATACTATGGGACTTCAGTTTATATGTACTCTACACAAACAGTATATAACTGTATACAAACACCTGAAGAGAAGTAAAACCTTTAATTATAAATTGATGAAGGCCATACTTCTAGCAGGTGTTGTTTTGAAACCTACAAGCCTGAAACTTTTTGCAGTACAAATGCATAACATCAATGTAGATATATTGACTTGCATTTCACAGGTGCTCATGGATCGAATTACAGTTTTTTTTCAGTTTTTTTTTAATCAAACCCAGCTCCTACTGGTAAAAACAAAATTTAATTGCAAAGTATATGAACGAAATTGAAAGTAATCCTACCTTTAATCCAACATTACCTAGACAAACCCAATATTCCAGGTTTCCATGGAAACATGTCTTGACAATCTAATTTCAAACAAAAAAACATTCTTCCACCTGTTTAACACCTGTGTTACACATTAATAACAATCTCGGTGAGGTTAATTCAGCTGTGACATCACAGTCAATTTTCGTACTTTAAAAGTTTTTTCTTCGGCTTGTTTCCTGCTGCCATGGTACAGCACATTTAATTATCATTAAGTATAACTAGGAATGGTGAACAGTACAATACTGATACCATACCTATTCAGCACTAAGTCAAGGCTGGTAATAGGCAAACATGTATCTATTGCTTTTCAGAATAATCCTGTCGCTGTAATACTCCCCAGCGATTCATCTATATTTTAGGACATCGGGACATCTTCTTCTAAAAGAACAACCAAATAACATTCCCTATTTAACATGAGATTTAAGAAAAGTGAAGTATATGTCGTTTGTCCTATAACTATTCAGTAGACCGAGTCAGAACTTGTATGTTGGCTCCCTGGGGTTATTCACAGTTAAATATATTTCAGGTCCTTCTAAACAATAATAAGTAAATGTACTTGATATTTTAGTTGCAAGTTTTTTAAATATTCCTTTTGGACAGGGACAGAATGTAAATAAGTTGATTTCTGGTCAGCAGCGGAGACAGACAGCTGAACCTACAAGAACTTCAGATAAAGATCGGGACCGAGATTGAACTGCAGAATATTTGGAACAGGCAGTTCAACAGCGCCAACCATACCTGTCCAAAACTACCTGACTGAGAGCAGTCAAGTTTCAAAATCATTGCACCGAAGTTGATGTATAAATATATCTAAGAAAACAAGATTATGCCGAATTAACAGATGTAAAGGAAACACATATTATCATTGGATGATCAATTTATCACTGGCAGAAAAATTCAAATTGTGCATTTTTTTTACGTGTAACATTTTAAATATCTGGTTCATTTACTGTGAAACAAGTCAAGACCACCATGACCTTTAACCTGTTTATGCAAAAGCTGTCATTAAAATGATACAAATTTTAATACAGATTGGTCTGTCTACAGAATCTATCTGTTATGTATTTAATCTACAGTAAGCCAACCCTTGAATCCCCGTTGTCCAGTGTTACTTCCATTCGTTTCAGATGTACAGCACAAAGCTAGAAAACCAAGGTAACTAGGCATGAAGGACTATCAACTATGGGGAATTACTTTGTCCAGTAAAATAAGTCCAACCCTGACTTTTCAGTCAGAAGTCCGCCCCCTGTGTTTACTTTCAGGATAAGTATGATTCTCAGACACCAGATAAAAGTAACCTAAGCAGGAGAGTTCCTTTTCATAATGCTTCCTAACCCAATGTGATTCTGGTGGTAATTTTCCACCTAAATGGACCTTTCTCAAATTTTAATAATATGATCTTTTGTTATTATCAAGATTTGAAAAATTGATACATTTCTAAAGTACTTGAATCTTGTACCTGTATATAAACACACAATAGACATAATCTTAAATGATTTGTCATTCACTTCAGATTTATAAAACAAATCTTCGAAGTTTTTATTTTTGTGAGCTTTGGCAAGCAAAAATTAAAACTTCAAGAAAGGAAAACAAATCTAAGTTCCTTTTTATGAAATAACTTGAAAATTTTATATTTTAACAGGTTTTGAAGCCAAAATGTGGAAAACAGAGTCAAACGGAGGCAGCCATTTTGTGGTGCCATTTTTGTGGTGCCATTTTCAGAACATGACATAATATCATTGTTCAAATTATGACATCACAACCAATTACTGACTGATAACAGCCAATGGAAAACTCTCCAGGGTATATAACATTAGTGACCTATGTCACTTATTCACTAGATAACAGACTGGTGTTGCCAACCTCTAATTATCTGATACATGGTCATAGCCTTCCAAAAATCAAAGGTGACAGGGTGCATTAAAGGGTCATCAAAGACATTATAATCAATTATGATGTATAGTTATCACATCTGAAATAATTTCCATGATATTCTAGGATATGCTGAATATTATTGAATAGATCCAAAAGTTTATACTTATTTTTTTAAACATTGGTAAATAATCAAACCCAAAGAAATGCTGTGCTATTTAAGCATTTTTCACGATCTAAGCAGGTCATAATGTGACCAACATCAAGCTGACCTGATGAAATTAGAGAAGTCAGCAGTCTACAGACAGAGCATGATATAATGATAGACAATAAAGCATAGTTTTACAGTCCAATAGTCTGAGTATGGATTTTAAGATACAGAAAAATTAAATTAATTTTTTCATATAAAGGCTTAAACTAAAGATCCAAAGTTTCATCTTCATTTTCAGTAAAGTTTTTTCATTTTGTTTTAATTCTTCCATATTTTTTATTAAGAAAATGGGGGGAAATATGTCTAGACTCCTGTTCTAAAAATATATATGAGCTGGACCTTCATCTTGGATCAAATCTGAACACAACTAAAAAAATGGCTTTAGTATAAAACTCAAAATATCATCATTGTTACCTTTCGTTAAATTTTTATAAATGTGAGAATTTTAGGATTTTTGTAAGGTCATATTTAAACAATCTTTGTAGTATCATCCATAGAGCATTAACTTGGACAATATCGCGAATCTGTTACACCTAAAACTGGATCTGATAAGTTGACATATTTTGACTGTTTTGAACGAGGATACCACTCTGTGAGATAGTTACATCGTACCTACAGGTTACAAACCAGGCAGTTTGGTGTGTTTCACTATGCAGTGTATTTATTAAATTAAAATCTAAATTAATATTAAAACAATTATAACATTTTCTCTCCCTAGTTTCATTAAATCTTTGTTGAAATTAATTTCTAATTTTCAAAAAGCCCTATGATACATGAATGCCCGGCGTTACAGTAATAGTATAATGGCATGCTGTACTTTCCATGTAGCGCTTACACGGGTCAGATCGTTGACGTCGGGGTGGTGACATGAAGTCTATCTCCAATTCATAAACTCAAAATAAAAATTCATAGAAAATTTTCAATATCTACATATTCTATATACATTTTGGCATCCCGTGATAGTTTTAGATCGGATGTAAACGACGTACACTTATCATTACCATCGAATGATTGGTAGTGCTCGGTTCAACTCACCGTACCCGCTTGTAAACAAAGCGAGCACCTCGTCTCGCGAGGCGAGTTTCAATCAGAGATATTCGGATATAGTTCTATAATAGACATACGTCGTAATAAAATTCGATGTGTAATATAAAATAGACATAAACTGCAGTTAAAATATGAAAATATACTCACCAAAACCTGGTGTAATGGTTAGAAATAGCCACACGTAGAATATAGCCGACATCATTTCTCCGCCATGTCAAATACGACTGGCAGGCCTTCACGGTACACTGCCTACTGAATATTCATTATGACGTTGTGGCATGAATATTTATTATTCAAAACGTACACCTGAGAAAGTTTTTAAAGAAACGTGGAACGAGTACGAAATTATTCATGTCTTAGAATTAAACGTTGGATCCGTGGGTCAACAAAAAACACTAATAAAATGCAGTTTGTGCACCTGGGGAAGTGACCTTGTAAAATTGTGTTATTGGAGATGTGAGAACACGAGTATAACTAACTCCGCGAGGAGATGCACAGGTGCCGGCCACAATTTATTTCATTATAAATTTTTAAAAAATAGGTAATTATCTCATTTGAATATTAATTAGTTATTGTGATCAGTACTTGCGGTTATACCGCGGACTTTGAATGAATTCTAAGTCCATGACGTTGTTGTACAAGTGTATTGATGTATCAATGGACATTTTGTAGATATGGTTAAATTTTGTGTTTGTGTCAAAGGGTCTATTGGACATGTCCCGGTGGGTCTTACAATTTTAAGCTATACAACACACAACAGTGTGTGATAGTTTTCTACGGAATTATTACCGTAATACTATGTAATGTATATATACATATTTATGTAATTCCCCTTGTTCCGGTGAAGCGGGAGGTGACTTATACAAAGTTTAACAATGCTGTAAATTTTAAAATTATACATTATTGTCTTGTGCATTGTATGATGATCTTCTACAATAGAATGATCAGGTAGATTAGTAACATGTGTAAGTGATAAACATTATTTTCCTGTTTTTGTCATATTACGGTTTTAAAATATGGGTGGATGGAAAAGAAGGGGTGTTATTTCCCTTTTCCCCATCAGATTTCAATGAAAGAGCCCTCTCAACGAGGAGGAATAATTCCAGAAGGGTGCATTGAGCTGGATCTGTGACAAACATAGGCCTTTTGGTGTAAAATAAGGGGAGGGAGAAATATTTCCACCACCAATAACACAAATAGTTTACCTCTGATTTTAACGAGAACAATTAAATTGTGGGACTTTTCCATGAAAAAATCTGTTATCTTAAATCTTACAAACAAATGATTTCTGGCTGCGCTTTTTTTTTCAAATATGTTACCTTTGAAGAACCTCAAATATTTTCTGGACAAATTCAAATTCTAATGTTTATCGCACAATTCCCATTAAAACGGAATTTGACGGAAATGCATATTTTCTTTTTATAAAAATATGGATAAACCTTTTTCTTTACTATTAATTCTTATATTTTGTAGCTGACAAAACTATTAAGATTTCAGGTTTTCATTCTCTGACATATTTGGGTTCATTTCATCGGGAGACATATCTCTAACATTATCAAGTTAAGGACATCTGGTAACAAAAATGATACCGTTTTCAATGAGATTAGCAGATTCCTAATTTACGTAACCGCTCTATCAACCACACCTATTTATTAAAGTCGATAGAACGTTATATGCGGGCGGGTGTCTAGTGAGATAACAGGGTAGAGGGAAAACATGGAAAATTAAAGCAAAACATCGGAAACAAGTTCTGCTCTTTAGTACAGTGGTATATCAAGTAGTCATAACGATCAGCAATTAAAGCAAGTAAGTTGAAAATAAACAACGTTAAAGTTTGATTTCATGAATAAATTCTTAAACTGTAGATATAAAAGAAACGTGCTCCGTACTGACGGCAGTTTGGTTCGTCTGATTAGAAGAGACGTGCTGATAAAACACTGAAAGTGTACACTATTGAAAATTAAAAAAAGAAAGCAGTGCTGTTTGCAGTTGTTCAGAAATTTTCTATCAAATTAAATAATTTTGGTTTCACACAAAGTCAAAGTGGTTAAAAAAATCTACATTAAATTACAAACGAAGTCTACTACAATTGATAATTTTAACATTTTTTTTCGGGATTTCAATCTATACGAAGGGAGACAACTCGTTGAATTACGTTTGCCATATACTGTGTGCTAAGAGCGCAAATGCAGGGTTATTATAACCAGAGACGTATATAACACCTGCTACAAACGTCTGTGTTATAACTTGGAAACACAATATTATCACGATGAAATAATCAATTCTATTTGATACACTTTCACCAACATAAAGCGAAACAGAACCAGAATTACTCATTAAAACTATCAAATTCCATTTGTTTACATAAAAAGTATATTGCATATATAATTAGATTACCATAGCCCAAGTTATTTTGATGGTCCATCGATTTTCTTATATCAATCTGAAGTCAATGAACTTATTGGCCAATACTAAATGTAAGATGGTTGTTAGAATGTATGGTGTTTCTGTTGTTGTTAACCTTGCTCTTATTCTCAAATTTGATATTACTTATTTGATTGTCCAAGACGTGAGCTGTGGATGAAGATGACACTTACCTTTCTTGAACATCTGGTCTTATTCACCTTGTAACTTTCTAAAAGAATCATTTCTTTAAACTGCCATGCTAGATATGAAATAAATTCCAAAGAGTCAATCTATATCTTTACAAGTTTCAGCAGTAGTTTACATATACCAGAGAAGTCCATCCCTAGCATGGAAATGATTTTGGCAGTAGTAGGGACATATAGGGGCTGATTATGACCAAACCACATTGTCATATTGTCGCCTTGTTGTAACACAACACAAGATGGCTGTAATCAGCCATCACAGGGAAGTCTTATTGTAACTACAAACGAGACAAGTTGGATACTGGCGGAATTAGTAAGGTCAACTAATTTTTTTTTTATGAGAGATTTTTCTTCTCGATTTAAGTTCAATGCAGATATAATAAATAAATAAACAAATAATTTTTTTTATTTTTCTTTCAGTAAAACGGCTGGACTAATAGCCATCTGAACTATAATAAATTTTCATCATCTGTAAGCTTATCATTCCCAAACAAAGTTAAACCAACAGTGATTGGATGAGTGAATGTGATAAATATTCCTAATCAAAGTTGGGGGGAAAAAACTACAATGCATTAAATAATGCTTATTGGTTTCACCTGCTTCTTACAGAGGAACACAGAAAATTATCTATAATGTTTCTCTGTGGAAGTAAAACCTATGTGAACTTCAAACACAATTCTTAAACTGGTGTGACCCAATCTAGTGCTACTATAGTAAAAAAGTGAAATTCTCTAAGTGGGTTTGCTAGTTCTAAATTTTAAGCTTAAAAAGTGATAGTTTGGCCCGGAGCTCCAGATTCCGATGACAGATGACAAATTTATTATAAAGAATGGTACGACCAGCTGATGTTCAGATAGATACCTGTGATATGTTATGTCAATCTTGTAAGGAAAATTTGGAAAGATTGTAGTCACTGCGTTTTTATTCATTTTGAGCATTTTTTTTATGCATAGTTTCCAACTACGGTTGTCTTTTCTATGTAGGCGACATGATCTAACTTGGAAACTTAACTTCACAATTTCACTCGAGCACGCATAAAATTTCTCACGATCAAGGACTGATCTCTGGGTAAAGAAAGGACACACATGATTTTTTATTGACTGACAATTCATTTTTTGGCTTGGTTAAAATATTCCCAGGAATACACGGACTCAAAATGTTTCCTTTAAGACAAACCATTACCACTACCCTATAAAGAAAACCAATTCGAAAGCACAGAAATATATTGCTATTTTGGAAGCAACTTAAATGTAATGGATTCAAAGACTGAATATGATTCCAAGTTATTTTATTTTAATAAATTTGATAACCTTCCTAATTACTGAGAGGCTATCTTGGCTTCTGAAGAAGTATTTTTACATACAAATGTATTTTCTTTCTTATGACAATGCTATTGGAAGAGGGCCAAGATAGTTTGTCCTGTACCAATCAGAATAGAATTCTGCCCCTTATTAATTAGTTCTCGACAGTTATTGTTTAAAGGTCATCAGCGACAACAATATTTTGCAGGTCTTTATGTTTTGACATAGATGTCATCTAGGTAGTACCTTGATTCAATTTTATGTTATCTACAATCTAAATTGGTTATACAAGAAATATTCACACAATCTCAGCTTAAAAACAACAAAACACATTTCTGATGCATTGAATTGTAAAAGCACATTGTATCTTTACTCTATCAAAGAGATCATAACACAGCATCAATATCATTTACATATATAGTCATGTAATTCATAAGTATACATAATAGTCATGTACTTCATAAGTATACATAATAGTCATGTACTTCATAAGTATACATAACAGTCACGTACTTCATAAGTATACATAATAGTCACATACTTCATAAGTATACATAACAGTCTTGTACTTCATAAGTATACATAGTAGTCATGTACTGCATAAGTATACATAACAGTCATGTACTTCATAAGTATACATAGTAGTCATGTACTTCATAAGTATACATAGTAGTCATGTACTTCATAAGTATACATAGTAGTCATGTATACATAACATTCATGTACTTCATAAGTATACATAACAGTCATGTACTTCATAAGTAAACATATAATGTATTTCATAAGTATGCATAATAGTCATGTACTTCATAAGTATACATAGATATTTGTAAGTAAGAAATTGAATTTTTACCTTTGAAATACACAGTACTCCATCAATAACGCTGAGTTCTTTAACAACACTATATTACTACATACTAATGTAGATGATAAAATCATCATCCTGTAATATCTTACTAAATACATGTAAATACTGACAGAGATCACTTCCCTTGATCAACAACACTGCTTTCAGTCATTAGCCTTTTTCAAACTGGTTGTTGTTGATCAGCGTGAATCAGTTTAATGATTACAAATATCACTTGGCTTATTCATTAAAATGAACTAATTATAAGTCAAAAATTAACCATATACATTCCATTTGAAAAAATTGACCTGAATTATTTATATAAAATATCGCAATAATATCGATTTAAAAATAAATACTAGCCTTTCACTTAAAAAGTTTCAGTGTAAATAAATTAATTTTGTTATAGTATGTCATTGAACACATTTGAATATTTACCAATCCACCTTTTAGGGGTGGTGGTGCAAGCAAACAAACAATTATACTTACCCTGATATGTTGAAAATGTTGAACAATCGAAATGAGGTTAATTAAAATTTCGTTGAATTATTACTGAAGCATTGCTCTGTAAAATCAAATACATCACTAGCAGCGATTGAAATATTTATAGATCCTATATTTTGTGTTTTGAAGGTCATCCTTCTAAATCAGAGTGATGAAGGTCATCCCTCTTGTTGTGAGTGATGAAGGTCATCTCTAAAGTTGTGAGTGGCAAAGGTCACCACACCTCCCCCGGTAACAAAAAATGTACCCTTGGAATTCCAGGGGTTGCGAACTGATCAGGAACACAATTTTTGGATTTTGAAGATAAACAAAACATTGCCAAATTAACTGGTCAATTTGTATATCACTTCACACATCAAGAATACATACTCTTAACAACGTGTTTTAATCAATATACCATTAAAACCCGAGATCTCCTAAGTTTTAAAATATCTTAGCATAGACACAGTTCTCTGAGCATTTTTCTTATGCATGTGATCTAGAACATACATAAATGTACATGTAGTGATTTAACTGTGACAAATAACTGCTTCTTAAATTTGTTGTACCACAAGAACATGCATAGAACATGTTATAACTTAATTGACAGTCAAGATTTAATTTTTCATCTTTGCAGCAAGACAAATTCACGAAGTCGTTGAGGTATAGGAAGTTTATGTATAACATTTGGCAGGAATCTGTATCCTAATTTTCGCCGAAGCGCATGGCGTGATATATCCTGTAATGTTCGTACATTTTCACACAGTGGAATCAACATCTCTCTCAGCTTATTGTCCTGTTCCACCTTGCTCCATAGTTGTCCATTATCTGATCGTATATCAAATTGTCCAGAGGCTTTAAGAAGCAGCTCTAGACATGCATCATCTGCATCTGTGTTAAGTCCACTGACTTGTATCATAGCTGCTTTCATTAAAGGTGTGTCGCCATGTAGATTCTTTAAGTCTACTGACGCATTATATTCTAAAAGTAATTTAATAACATTAAAATGCCCTTTCCTGGAAGCCCAACTTAAAGGGGTGTCCAGATTAAAGTCTTGGGCATCAACATGTGCTCCATTCTGTAGTAGTAGTTTTACACAATCTACATTATTTTTAAATGCTGCCCAATGTAGTGGAGTGTCAAGGTTACCATCTCTGGCGTTGAGATCTGCACCGTTTTGTAACAGGATTTCCACACTCAAGGCATCTCTTTCCGCAGCATAGTGCAGAGCAGCTCGCTCATAACCATCCACATCGTTAACCTGTTTAACATGTACAACAAACTATTATATTGGTTTAAAATGTGTTATAAATGTGTTTGTAAATAGCCAATCAAAATCAAGGGCAACAGGATGTTTGAAAGGGTCATCGAGGAAAAAGGCATTACAACCAATTCTATTGTAAATTTATTACAAAATTCAATTAAAAATCTTATTAAAAGTTTTTAAATACTACTGAACAAATAAATAAAAAAATAAAGGTGATTCTAGCATTTTTCAAGATTAAAGCATCTTATTATATATCTGATATCAAGTTGACTGACAAAATCAGATAAGTGACAATTGATGACACTGCGTGTTAATTCACATCCTGTCAGTGACAATCTGACAAAGGTCACAGTGATTTCAAAGTGGTTTCTAAGCAAAACAAAGTTAGTACAATTTTACAAACTAGAAACAAGTCAGTTTGGTGTATTAGAAAATTAACTTCTGAGTTTTGATGTCCCGAAAAAATGTGTGAACTGTTAATGTCATGTTCCACTTAATATCATATTTCCCCCTCACAAATGGAACATGATATTAAGCAGGTTTCAGTGTACTGACATCTTTACATAGAAATTGACCTCCTGATAAACTCTGCTATTGAAAATGTTATTCTGTGAAATCATAAATTTTTGTCAGGCTCAAATACTTTTTAGAAGAAATACTAATATGTTTGCACTCAATTTTGAGGATTAATAATACTCACAAAATTCACTAGCACACCATACTAAAACTTATATCAATTTTGAACTTTTAAGCACTTCATGGACAGACAAAATCTTAGAATAAGGTAACCCACAAAAACAACAAAAATACAACCACCACAAAAATTAATATTTTACAGTATATCATTGCAGTATGCAACATTTCATCCCTCAGATCAGATACAAGTATTCATGCATCCCATAAAGCATGCAGATCCAAACTTAATCGTTATGCTTGTGATTGAGGGTGTGAATATACAAAGTATATATCACGGTCTAAACTTAAAGTAAAGCATAACGAAATAAGAGCTGCAACTAAATATTGAGTGAACATCAAACTCAGACATGATAAATTTCAACAGATACAGGGTTGGGTGGTGTTATTTTTGTTACTCATGTAGGTGCTCTTAATCCAGGAATTCATACAATTCCTATGTATATCACTTAATGATAAACAAATTACAACAGACATCAAATTAATAGTTTTGAATTTCATAAGAACTATCCATGAAGTCTTTTGTAAAAAAACAAAATTTGCCCTCAATGAAGGTATTTGATTTTGCAGTATCATATTAAATTGTAGGAAACAGATCTAGAGTATGACAACATATTAGATATACCCAAAAAAATAAGACCACCAAGCAGACCAATGTAGTACAAATACATAAGTTGATGTAAAATAATGCCTGTGAGGGATATATTTATATCAAAGGAAGGTATATTCACAAATTTTATGAGAAACAGAATATTGAACACTTCACCAGAACTCCACAGTTCTTACCCGGGCACCTTTCTCCAGCAGCAGTTTAAGGGTGTCCATGTCCGGAATCATACAGGCACAGTGGAGAGGTAGAAGAGTTCCATGAAGACGATTCACATCTGCACCCTGGTCAATCAGATACTCAATGTCATTGTCAGGAGTTGTTGTAAAGGTCTGCCAGTTACTGATGGCTCGTATTAATCGTTCTGAAAGCTCATATGATATTTGGGCGTTGGCCATCGTGTACCACATTACGGCTTGGAGGACACACCGTCTGTAAAACAGGAAAACATTATGTCCAATAAATCCTGGTTAATACATAATCATGTAACATTTCTCAACTATGCTTGATGGCCCTGGAGAAAATGCAGAAGAATCTGGAGTGTGTGTGCGGGGTCTGGAATAACAAGGTTGTATGTCTGAGAGGTTTGAATAGCAATGGGGTGTGTGTGAAGGTGTGGAATAGCAGGAGGGTGTGTGTGTGTGAAGGTTTGGAATAGCAGGAGGGTGTGTGTGTGAGGGTCTGGAATAGCAGAAGGGTGTGTGTGTGAGGGTCTGGAATAGCAGGAGGATGTGTGTGTGAGGGTCTAGAATAGCAGGAGGGTGTGTGTGTGTGTGTGTGTGTGAAGGTTTGGAATAGCTGGATGGTGTGTGTGTGAGGGTCTGGAATAGCAGGAGGGTCTGGAATAGCAGGAGGGTGTGTGTGTGTGAAGGTTTGGAATAGCAGGAGGGCGTGTGTGTGAGGGTCTGGAATAGCAGGAGGATGTGTGTGTGAGGGTCTAGAATAGCAGGAGGGTGTGTGTGTGTGTGTGTGTGTGAAGGTTTGGAATAGCTGGATGGTGTGTGTGTGAGGGTCTGGAATAGCAGGAGGGTGTGTGTGAAGGTCTGGAATAGTAGGAGGGTGTGTATGAAGGTCTGGAATAGCAGGAGGGTGTGTGTGTGAGGGTCTGAATAGCAGAAGGGTGTGTGTGTGAGGGTCTGGAATAGCAGGAGGATGTGTGTGTGAGGGTCTAGAATAGCAGGAGGGTGGGTGTGTGTGTGTGTGTGAAGGTTTGGAATAGCTGGATGGTGTGTGTGTGAGGGTCTGGAATAGCAGGAGGGTCTGGAATAGCAGGAGGGTGTGTGTGTGAAGGTTTGGAATAGCAGGAGGGCGTGTGTGTGAGGGTCTGGAATAGCAGGAGGATGTGTGTGTGAGGGTCTAGAATAGCAGGAGGGTGTGTGTGTGTGTGTGTGTGTGAAGGTTTGGAATAGCTGGATGGTGTGTGTGTGAGGGTCTGGAATAGCAGGAGGGTGTGTGTGAAGGTCTGGAATAGTAGGAGGGTGTGTATGAAGGTCTGGAATAGCAGGAGGGTGTGTGTGTGAGGGTCTGGAATAGCAGGAGGGTGTGTGTGAGGGTCTGGAATAGCAGGAGGATGTGTGTGAAGGTCTGGAATAGAAGGAGGGTGTGTGTGTGTGAAGGTTTGGAATAGCAGGAGGGTGTGTGTGTGAGGGTCTGGAATAGCAGGAGGGTGTGTGTGTGAAGGTTTGAAAAAGCAGGAGAGTGTGTGTGTGAGGGTTTGGAATAGCAGGAGAGTGTGTTTGTGAGGGTTTTGGAATAGCAGGAGAGTTTGTGTGTGAGGGTTTGGAATAGCAGGAGAGTGTGTGTGTGAGGGTCTGGAATAGCAGGAGGGTGAGTGTGTGAAGGTTTGGAACAGCAGGAGGGTGTGTGTGAAGGTCTGGAATAGCAGGAGGGTGTGTGTGAGGGTCTGGAATAGCAGGAGGGTGTGTGGGAGGGTTCGGAACAGCAGAAGGGTGTGTGTGAGGGTCTTGAATAGCAGGAAAGAGTGAGTGATGGTCTGAAATAGCAGGAGGGTGTGTGTGAGGGTCTGGAATAGCAGGAGGGTATGTGTGAGTGTCTGGAATAGCAGATGGGTGTGAGGAGGGTCTGGAGTAGCAGGAGGGTATGTGTGAGCATCTGGAATAGCAGAAGGGTGTGTGGGAGGAGTATGTAGTTGCTGGAGGTGTGTGAGAGGAACCTGCCAATGCCAGTTGGGTTCGTATTAGTGTCTGAAGAAGCTGAAATGTTATGAGAGGGTCAGGAGTAGCTGAAGAGTTGTGTGAGGATCTGGGGTAGATGAAGAGTTATGGAAGGTCAGGTGTAGCTGGAAGGTGTTGTGAGGGTCAGGATTAGCTGACGGGCTGTGTGTGGGTATGAAGTAGCTGGAGGGTTGTGGGAGGGTCAGAAATGTCTTATTTCTATTAAAATATATATATATATATATAATATATACGAGGCATTCCTTATATAAGTCGTGGTGTTCATTGTTCCATTGTTAATGGAACAGTTTAGAAAAGTATGTATCATATGTCCAGGTACCTTGTTGGCAGATTAAATAATATACTCCCTGCATCTGAACATGGACTTAAAAAATCTTCATGTTACTGGACACAAGGCCTAGTAGCCTTGTGGTCGTCTTGACGAGCCACCGAACTTAAGGCGCCAAGAGATACAAGAGTCAACATAATTTCTTCCACTCTGTCAAATGTCTTTGGTCTTTTGACTGACACAGAGTGGCTGAGATAAAACATCTACAGACTAGATATGGAGAATTTTTTTTGACAGTTCAGATAGCCTATCAGCTGGTTATACGGAGAAATATTTACAGTTATTTCCGTAAAAATTAATATATAGCTACAGTACGGAATTTTAAATGCGTCAAATAATCAAGGTATTATGAATATATTTACTGCAAATGACATCAAGGCGCAGAAATTCCAGGAATAAAACGCTTAACAGGAACTTGTATGCTGCAGCTGTGGCAATGTTGACAATTTCATTCTGGAATCTAAAGAGCCAATCAGAAGCTGAGAAAGCAGTTATCACGAGAAAAGAAACCAAAACAAATCATATTAATACAAAATTGTCTTATTTGAGTTATTTATCGATAGCATAAACACTAACATACTATATCAAACCATATATTAATAATATAATTATATATTGACAATGTTGTATAACATTCAGTGCGGAGCTACAAGATGTCAGCGGCCATGTCCATGCTTTGGTGTTTCATCAGCTGAAAGCAGATTTTTTTTTTGTGTTTAATTAATTAACAACCAGTATTTAGTTGCTCTTTTACAACTAAACAGTATGCTTCATATATCCAGACTGACGCATAGAAAAACTGTTTCTTCTCTGGCAAGGTAATTTAAAAGTAAAAACACAAGAACGTCTCTATATTTCAGAGGTTAATAGTCTATATCGGTGTATATAATGAATGTCGTGTGAATAATGCATGTCTTGTGACAGTTTTGGGACAAATGTAGCGCCCAGCAATTCATTAATCAAGATTTTAAAATTATATTATTAAATACTTCAGGGTTTTCAATAAGAGCCGGTCGCCGGCCAATTTGACCGGTTACTTTGATCATTTGGCCACCTACACCAATCCAGTTCCGTAATAATGTTCCGTACACGACTACACGTACACGACAGGCCAGCCTCCTACTTTCACTACACAGCCTACTACTAACAAAATTATGGAAAACCCTGTACTTTACACCAATGTCTAGCAACATGCAAAAATCGTTCTATATAAGAAAGCGATGGTCTTGTATCAATACAATTATATAGGTATATACATTGTATTTTACCCTTATAATGCAATGTATATTGATCGTATACTTACTGTACAGTGTAATATTTACCATGGCAGGGCATTCCTTTGATGTGTCCTTACCAAAGTCAGTTATCAGCTTATGAACTGCCAACAGTGTAGGAATATAGCATGTGATGTTGCCTGAGGTTTCCTTGCCTTATGATAAAGGATGATAAATAATTCATATCCTTGTGAATGCCAAATGGAAGTTGTTCAATACTTAAATTTACTATTAAATTCAAAAATTTCATTTACCAGCTGTTTACATTTTACCATTATATCAATATTTACCTGCAGCTCATCCAGGTTGTTAAGACGATGGAAATCATCATCAGTTCAAGATGCAGTCCGAAGCCTAAAAGATGGAGACAGAATCCATGGATACACAGTAAAGCGGGTAAATAAATTTACACTGTAGTCATGGGGCAGTATATTTAAGGGACATTACTTGTTTGTTTTATTTAACTGCACAGATCAGACCACAATGTTTTAGATATCTTATTAATGGAGTCTTTTTCAGATTAAATGGGGTCCTTCTACATTTGTTTCCTGATTCCTGAAAATATGTGGTCTTTTTTAAAATTTCTATGATTCAAAAGCTTATAGGGATTGCACAACACAAACTCTGGACATAAACTGTGTCATTATACCTGTGATAGAAATAAAATGTGTCAGGAAGGATGGATCAGTATTTACACTGGCATTATACTATGGTTGTGTAGGTGTGGTTATGGATTGTATTCATTGTTTAGTTTGTACAGATGTATTCAATTTGTATTTGAAATTTCATTTTTAATCTTGTAATATGTATTTCTTCTGATAAATGATGTAGTGTAGAATGATTAGTTTCAATATACAATATATTACCTGTATGAGTCTAGATCTATATCGCTGTCATCACTCACTGTTGTATTATAATTTGATGTAATTGTTTATACTGATTAGCTGAAAGGCTAAAGGCCAGTAATACTGTTTTAAACGTTAACAGTTAAATTAGTAAGATGACTGTGGAAGTAGTTGTTATTAGCCCAGCAGTGTTATAAACAGCTTGGGTCGTCTCCTCACCTCGAGTGTGAGTGAGTGACAGCGTGTGATTAGCCAATTAACAATAACTATACAGTAACATGACCCGCCCATGACCCACGGCGCCACTGACCCTACTGACACACCATCAGACGACGAGAACGCCATTTATTACAAAGACCAGACAGAGGAAGACAACTTCAACGCCGAGGAGTTCTTCCACAGTGACGACGACTTCTGGGGTTTCAAGAAACGCTATTAAACCGGCCTGCTATGTATTAAGACTTTCTGATAAACGATCCATAATCAATAAAACGTCTGATTATTTATTTTATGTAATATTCTTGTACATGTTATTTATTGTTATTTTGTAAATAAAATGTAGAATGAAAATGTTGTGTTATTTTGTATATGCTCATGGGTATGCTTTTTCAATGGGGGAAGGGGAATAACTCTAACTTTATTCATGTGACAAAGTCAAACAAAATGGCTTCCTATTACGAAGGACGACACAATACGAACCTGTAACGAGAAATTGGAAGGAATTAACCATGGAAACTATAATAAATAATCATAAATAATCATGTTTGGTTGAGGAAACATCATAGAAAAAACCATAGAACGATAATATCAGATATGCTTGGCTTTTAAGAACACAATTCAAGGAGATATGATATGAATTGTCGGAAGGAAAAAAGTGTCATTTCCTCTATATCTCTGTAATGTCCGCACCCCCTTTTTTGGATTGATTTTCGGTGAAAAAAAGTGCGGACATTACATGGGTTTTTACGGTACCTGTGTGTTACCTGTAGGTGTTTTGTTTACTGGAATGTACATGTGTCTGTTACTTGTGTTTTTAATTGTGGAAGGTGTTGTAAATTTCTTTTATACTCTTGTCAGTGTTTGTTAATGACCTACATGTATTACTTAAGTTTCTACTTGTGTATTATTTTTACCTGTTTGTTACTTTTGTAAGTATTCATTATCTACCTGTATGTTACCTATGTTAATTGTAATTTATCTGTGTTCATGATTATTGTTATTAACCTGTATGTTACTTTGTATGTATTTTTGTATGTATGTTGGTGGTGCTGACAGGTGTTTGTTATTTATCTTTACATTACCTGTATTTTCAGTTGGTGGAGATCCCAGAGTTGATGACTACAGGTGTTAGTCTAGAACATGATAAAACAGGTGCCCAGCATTGCCACTATGCACGGGAAGACAGCAATAACACATTCAGGTATGGATACAATCTGTGACTCTGTAAGTTATTCAGAATGGACAGTACAACACATTTCAGTACATTTATTATTCTATATATTCAATTTAGTAATTCTTACTATGTGTTGCCAGTCTTTTTTGTCTTTCATTCAATACAACACTAACTACTAACCTATTTCCTGGATAATTTTTTCGTAAGTCCAAGTGTCTTTATATGGTTAGAATGTTTATAATCAGAAGATTATCCTCAAAATCGACAAATCTACACCATGTAGTGAATTCTAAAAAAAATCATTTGGTAAAAAATATTAATAAGCAATCTTATTTTGATATTTTAAAAGAAGAACAAAAGCAAAAAGAATTGTTGCATTTCAGATTGGTGACAATGACGTAGGCCTTAATGTCCTAGATTTCCACATTTTGTCAGTTATTGCAATTTGTCTATAATGTTGTTTTCATTTAATGACTATTTTATAATGATTATTCATATTTTATGAGGAACAAGCTAAATAAAATTCGACTTGTAATTTCTGTTCCTCTGTGACTCTTTATGGTATTGCAATATATTGTAAAGGAGCTGAAATATCAAATGTGATTTTAATTAGATTGGGAAATGAAATAGTTCACCAAACTATTTCTACACACAGTGAAAAATTTGAAGTTGTAACACCAATTTTTTTACATTTATTTAACTGACTAAATGGTTAGATTTCATTATTTTTTCCAATGTGGTTGATTTAGGGAAAGATTTATAATACTTAAAATTAGACTCTTCACAGAATTGTAACATTCTCTGAGAGAAAATTGATAAAGATTATCAGCTTCAAACCAAGACTGATTGGTACTTGCTGTTGTGTCTACCATCATTGGCTGTTTTGATTGGAGATAGCCAAGTTCATTGTGTGACCTTTTTGAACCTCATTTTAACCCATCGTTTTGTAATGATTTCTAAATTTTTCCTGCGTTCCGGATGTGCAAAGACATTATTAACACTCTCTGACTGAAAATGATTAGTGTTGGATCGCTCCTAATTTATTAAAAATTTTTGACTTTCTTGATAAAATGGTTGTGCATACTTTTGAATATTTTAATTACCAGAAAATGTACAACATTTAACAGGTATTCAAATGTTATGCATTTTATGAGTTATGAAATAAAAATCTTACCATTTAGTCCCTTTAATATACAACCTCAAATGCAAGTTTTGTTGACGTAAAATTTTACAAATATGGAATCATTATTTGTGTGTTTTTAAGCATATCTTCCTATAATATAATTGTTTTAAATGGTTGTAACTATATGTAGTTGAATTTTGACCTGTTTCTAGTGTGATGTTCAGGACAACACCCATGGATGATACTGGAGTGCCGCACATTCTTGAACACACTACTTTGTGTGGATCACAAAAGTATCCTGTTAGGGACCCTTTCTTCAAAATGATCAACAGGACACTTGCCACTTTCATGAATGCTATGACAGGTAATGTTGTGTCGTATCTAGATTATTGTGATGTATGGCAGATGATGGTATGTATGTGTGCTACCTGACTATATTATGGTGTTTTGGCCTTTCAGTGGACAAGGCTAGCGCTACCAAACTGCTAAGTGACAGGTTAGGTTAAGGGTGTATGCTACCAAACTATGAAGTCTCAGGTGGTGATAAGAATGTATGCTACCTGACAGTGATGTGACTATTAATGTTACGGATGTATCCTACCTAAATGTGCAGTGAAAGATTTCGTTAAGGGTGTATGCTACCTAAATGTGTAGTGAAAGATTATGTTAAGGGTGTATGCTACCAAACTATGAAGTCTCAGGTGGTGATAAGAATGTATGCTACCTGAATGTGATGTGACTGTTGATGTTAAGGATGTATCCTACCTAAATGTGCAGTGAAAGATTACGTTAAGGGTGTATGCTACCTAAATGTGTAGTGAAAGATTATGTTAAGGGTGTATGCTACCTAAATGTATGGTGAAAGATTATGTTAAGGGTGTATGCTACCTAAATGTATGGTGAAAGATCATGTTAAGGGTGTATGCTACCTAACTCTAAAGTGACTGGAGATGATTTCCCCCGAAAAATGAGAAAATTAAATACAATGTTTCATTTCTTTTAATGCTTTGTTTTCTGTCACAGCCAGTGACTGGACGGTGTATCCTTTCTCTACACAAAATCAAAAGGACTACGAAAATCTTATGTCAGTGTACCTAGACGCTGTTTTCTATCCTCAACTCAGAGAACTGGATTTCAGGTAGAAATGAAGAAAATCTGTCATAAACTTGTCATTTGATTTAGTTTATTGATATTTGGTTTGTAATAATAATAATATTAGTAACAGGTAATCCTTTCATGGCAATTTATATGAGTTCTGTGTACATACTCTCAAAAACCCTATTTCCATATTTGTTACTAATTCAATGAAATCTAGTTTTACTAGCCTCCAATATTGACTAGATATGACAGGATACAGCAGATTGAGAATGAAAATTGTCAAAATACAATAAAGCCTGGCAAAGTTGAACTCTGTGGGATCATGTTAATAATTTGAGGAAAACAGAGTATTCAGATGTTGAGAGGTTGGTCAGAGATCATCAGGTAGTCTTCTATGAACGCTTTGTGTCCATGAATGAAGATTTTATTATTATATTGCTGATCAAAGTTTTAACTTATTTATGATGTCAGTGTTTTGAATTTTATTGCATTTTACAGAAGTGTGAATCTTAAAATTTGTCATTCATGGCACTGAGTGTGAACATTAAGAGATAGGGGATGAAAATGAATTAGAGAGATGCTGGATATTCAAGGAATAACAGTTTGAGGAAATCAAGTTTAAATTGAATAATTGAATAATAATTAATATGCCAGAAAATAACTACATGTATTCATAAGATTCTGATACAGAATTAATTTATGATACAAATTATTTTATTCTTGCTATTTTCACATTTTTCAGTCAAGAAGGATGGCGTCTTGAACATGAGGATCCCAACAATTCAGAATCCCCGATCATATTTAAAGGTGTTGTCTACAATGAGATGAAGGGAGTGTTTGTAAGTTGTTGCATCCAGAACCACACAGTAGAGATTCAATATTAGTTTACAGAACATAAAGTGTATGGTAGTGGTAAATCTAAACCTATTAGACTACCACAATCAACCTGTGTTCCCCTAGGTGTATGTATTTTTCTTTGAATGTATGGAATCAAATTAGCCATAAAAATCAACAAGGGAAAATTTGTCCACAGTAGATCTCAAGAAATGTTGTAAAATAAGTATTTTAAAATATGCCAACATAAAGACAATAAAATATAGTCCCAAAAATTCTATATTTTCTTTAATATGAAACCTTTTTTAAAGTTATATTGTTTCTCACACCTTATGTGCATTCTTTGCAAACATTTTCCAGATTTTTGAAATTTTCCAAAGTCTGAATTAGCTGTTGGTGCTAATAGAGAGAAAAAAATTGTTCATTCTTCTGAATAAAGAAACAATGAGGGTTTGTATCTTACAGTGACTTTATATATTGTAGTCTGATTCCGTGAACCTATTTATGCAAGCTGTCCAGAACAAACTCCTGCCTGACCATACATATGGTGTTGTGTCTGGAGGTGACCCACCAGCTATCACAGACCTCACCTGGAAACAACTTAAGGAATTCCATCATTCTCACTACCATCCAACAAACTCCAAGTAAGTCACTGACCAATCTCAGACTCCCAAGTAAGTCACTGACCAATCTCAGACTCCCAAGCAAGTCACTGACCGATATCAAACTCCCAATTAAGTCACGGAAAGACTTCTTCTGATTAACCATAAGTTCTAAAATTATGATTTTTTGACTGGTATGCTCCTTTTGATGAAGTTAAACGATGTTTCTGAAAAGATATAACCTTAAACCATATTCAGGTTACAGAGGTGAAGTTTGTTGAAACCTTCAAGCAACTGCGTTTTATTAACCAAAAGGCCTTCAATCTTATTGATTCGTTTTTGTGTTGAAACCCAACAATATGTTGGAAAACAAATGACCTTGAAATGTATCCAAGGTCAGGGTGGTTAATTTGTTAAAGAACTTCTTCTCATCAACCAAGACTTTGAATGTTAATGATGTAAAACGTTAATGTATTTGTGAATAGCATTGGATACCAGGTGAGTAATACAGGCCCATAAGGCCTCTTGCTGATGTATAAGGTCTATTCTTAACAGTGTTTTTAGGTTTCCGATCTATGGTGCCATTCCATTAGAGTGCAACCTGAAGCAGATAAATCTTCATTAGGTGCTCACTATTCTATTTATAACATTGTGTTTAGGTTCGTTACCTATGGTGACATCCCTCTAGAGCGCCACCTGGAGCTTATTAACAACAACTACTTGGAGAAGTTTGACCGAATCAACATTGACACACGAGTGCCTCTTCAGCCACGATGGAGCGAGCCTGTAAGTTTGTGACCATCTGTTTCTTCATGGGCATTTCTAGACCATGTCTCCGAAATGATTAATGATTTCACAAATCATGCTACAGATCAATCAGGTGGTCTAGTATTGCCTTTTCGCTGTACAGTTTCAGTGGTGTGTTCCCTGAACGCATACATGTCTAGAACAATAGGTAGAAACATCAAAGGGAGGGTAATTATAGTCTATATCATACATGTATTATATTTACCTGAGATATTTTACCTGTGGATCTACCTGTGTTACCTGTATTAACCTGTGATAACTTGCAGAAAGAAAACTAAGATATCAATATGAAGTTCAATATTTATTAACTTTTCTTATGATAATATTACAATTGATTAAATTTAAAATACATTTAATATAAAGAAAGAACACAAAGATGCCAATATTTATGAATATATTCTATCATAATAGCACAATTACCTTTAAATAACATGTAACTTCAACTAAAATATCAAGTTCAACATGTATGAATATATTCTATCATAATATTACAATACATTATATGATAAGTTGTTACCCCCAAGTCTATTTCTAATGAACTTAAAATTTAACTGAGCGTTAGCCATGATTGGGAATTGAAATACTAGAAGATTTGTTGAATGATAGCAAAGTAAATTATACCAATGTGAAAAATGTGGGAGCTTATATAGATAAACTGCATGAATAGCTTGGATACTCACCTCAAAGTGTCATGTCATCTGTAGCTTTGGTCCTATTAACTGAGTTCATCAGTTTTTTAATTGATCTTTGAGAGGTGAACAGTTTTAGATCAATTAATTTATTTAGCAAACATCATTTGAATATAAAATTTACTATACAAACACTTTTTAAAGAAAATAATCAAAATAATCATATCAAGCAGTTATTGTGATTTGAATAAATGAAATTGAATGCATGCATAATTGTGCATAAATTAAAAAATATTAAAACAAAATTGTACACAATTTATATCCTTCATCTTGTAAATTGAACATTTCTTAAATAATTTGTTTAAAGTTTATATATATAATCCATACAATTGTAATTTCTTCTTTTTTTTTTACTTTAAATAAGTCTATTATACACTATATGTCCTCATCTGTAATTTCCCACCCTAAAATCAGGATGCCTGTACACTCACAGGTAAATACAGGTAACTTGTACAGGTAAATATAACTACCTACACAAGGAAACAGACTATAATCACTGTGTAAACATATCACCCAAGACATGTTTTTAAAATGTATGCGTTCGGGGATACAGCCGTTTCAGTACCATGGAAACAAATAGTCAAAATTACTGATTTCATTGTTTCCTGAGTATTCTTCAGGAGACCTTCCACACACGTCAATCCAGTGGTCTTGTAATACCTTCTGCTGTGGAGAAGTTCCTAGTGTTGATATTTCTCTGTTTACCATGGAAACAAATAGTTATAATCACTTATTAAGCATTTCCAGAACATATTTCCCCAACACCTTTCAAAACAATGCCATAAAACTTCCATCTTACATCAATCAATCAAATGGTCTAGTGACGCCACCAGTTATAGAGGAGTTTTCAGTTTTAATATGTCTTTGGTTACCATGGAAACAGATAAACAAATCCACTGATTCCAGCCTTTCCAGAATTTATTTCCAAAACTGTATCAAATAATTTCATTGATCAGATTTTAATCACCACTTCTGTTCTATCATGTATATTTACTGCTACCTCTAAATATCCTATTTAATACTTTCAAAAATATATCATGCCTATGACTAGGCTTTCTTGGTAGGGATCTGAAAAACTATATCTTGTTTTAATTTGATTTTAATTTTGACCAAGGTTCAGAAAGCAGGTCAATCACACAATTGTTCTATTATACTTTATAAGTAATGCTTGATTTTGTCCTCCTCTGGTTATAGTGTTTGTGTAACTTCAGTTACACCATCAGCCTGGGCGATGTTTGAAAATTATATTAATTCTAAACACATTTCTTTGATTTCCTAATTCATTCTGTAATAGTTTTGACCCATATTATCTTCAATATCTGATATATATCACAGATACTATCTCTTTAATTGTTCTGCTTTTTTTATAGAGGACTGCTCACATTACGTGTCCCCATGATCCAACTGGGACGGAGAAACAGACAACAGTTTCCGCCAACTTTTTGCTATCAGAGCAAGTATCTTTTTGTTTAGAAAAAAAAATAATCTATTAAGAAAAGTAAATCAGAAAGTGGTCAGTGTGAGAATTTTGGTGGTCAATCTGAGACTCCACACACACAATTGGTCATTATGAGATTCTTAGTGGTCATTGTGGGATTATTGGTCAGTGTGAGGTTATAAGTGGTAAGTGAGAGATTGTTTGTGGTCAGTATGAGGTTGTTAGTGGTCAGTGAGAGATTATTAGTGGTCAGTGTGGAATTATTGGTCACTGAGACATTGTTAGTGGCCAGTGTGGGATTGTTAGTGGCCAGTGTGGGATTTTTAGTGGCCAGTGTGGGATTTTTAGTGGTCAGTGTGGGATTGTTTGTGGTCATTGTGAGACTGTTAGCGGTCAGTGTGGGATTGTTTGTGGTCATTGTGGGATTGTTTGTGGTCAGTGTGAGATTGTAAGTGGTCAGTGTGAGACTGTTAGTGGTCAGTGTGATACTGTCAGTGGTCAGTGTAGGATTGTTAGTGGTCAGTGTGAGACTCTTAGTGGTCAGTGTGATACTGTCAGTGGTCAGTGTGGGATTGTTAGTGGTCAGTGTGGGATTGTTAGTGGTCAGTGTGAGACTCTTAGTGGTCAGTGTGTGATTGTTAGTGGTCAGTGTAGGAATGTTAGTGGTCAGTGTGATACTGTTAGTGGTCATTATAAGATTGTTAGTGGTCAGTGTGGGATTGTTAGTGGTCAGTGTGAGATTGTTAGTGGTCAGTGTGATACTGTCAGTGGTCAGTGTAGGATTGTTAGTGGTCAGTGTAGGATTGTTAGTGGTCAGTGTGATACTGTTTGTGGTCAGTGTGAGATTGTTAGTGGTCAGTGTGGGAATTTTGGTGGTCAATCTGAGACTCCACACACACAATTGGTCATTATGAGATTCTTAGTGGTCATTGTGGGATTATTGGTCAGTGTGAGGTTGTAAGTGGTAAGTGAGAGATTGTTTGTGGTCAGTATGAGGTTGTTAGTGGTCAGTGAGAGATTATTAGTGGTCAGTGTGGGATTATTGGTCACTGTGAGGTTGTTAGTGGTCAGTGAGACATTGTTGGTGGTCAGTAAGACATTGTTAGTGGTCAGTGAGAGATTGTTGGTGGTCAGTGAGAGATTGTTAGTGGTCAGTGAGAGATTGTAAGTGATAAGTAGGGGAATGTTAGTGTGAGAAAAGAAGTAAATGTTGTATGTTAACTACTATCCCCCTATAATTTTTTAACCTCACCATCTACCCCTCTCTTTCTGTAGCAATATTATATAGGTTTTTCTTGATGATGGAATTGACTGCCTTGGAAAATTGATTAACTTATTTTGTTTATTCATTTTCAGAATTACAGACATATTTGAATCTTTCACGATGAATATAATCTGCACTCTTTTAACGGACGGAGAAACCTCCCCTTTTTATCAGGCTCTCCTTGAAGCGAATATAGGATCTGATTATGCTCCTTTGACAGGGTAAGAATATGATGTTGATCAATGTTTTTGATAAAAATAACTTACTCATAAACTTTTGATAACCACTTCTAGAGAAAATATATTTAAATACATGAAAAAAACTTCTGAAAGTATTTCTTTAAATTGTAAACAATTACACAAGTTGTTCAAACTTACACTAATCACTTTGTTGGCCGGGGTCATGGATGAAAGCACGAGAGGGGTCTTACTGTGGGAGGAAGCCAGAGAACTCTGGGAAAACCATGTGGTCCGACAGGTGACCCTATACTTTTTCACATCCATTCCGGGAATTAAACCCCGGACATCTAGGCTAAAGATAAGTGTGTTACCACTGCACCATCCAACCATTTCATTTCCTAGAATGTTTCTCTAATATTCCGTGTATTGCCAATGTTGGTTCTACTTTATCTGGAAACTGATAAGAAGATTTTTGAAATGTCAGTCAATTTGACCTGTTTTTGACCCCGGCACCTCAGCCCCTGTGGGTCAGTCAATGTCAATATATGCATCTCATCATACTGTCAGCTCATACTGATAATTCTAACCATGTTTGAACTATTACTGAAAGAAAATAAACAAATTATAAATGTAAGTTTCCTATATAAACTATAGTAGATTTTATTCCCACTTAAAGGGGATATGTCAGACCCTGGGGTCATGAAATTTACAATTTTTGTAAAGCACCATAAGACACATCCATCCATGAAGAGTATTTGGTTCTACTTTATCTGATTTTTGAAATTTCACTCAATATGACCCATTTTTGACCCCACCCAACAGCCCTTGGGGTCAGCCGAGATTAGCTTGCATTATTGTAGATTTATAACATGTCAAGACCAGTTTTTTCTGAAATTCCCATCCTATATGTAATTTTCAGTTACCAGGATATCATGAAGGAAGCAGTCTTTTGCGTTGGACTACGGGGCATCCATTCTGATGATGTAAATAAGGTCAAAGACATCATCTCTGTGACCTTTGACAAGGTCATCAGGTAGGTAGTAATTGACGTCACTGCAGGTTTGAACAATAGAAATATTTCACAATAAGGAGTGAACAGAAATGTTTAAAATGTGTCATACATGTGCAGAACTGTAAAAGTGCTTGCAAAGTAGGAGTATTGGGTCAAAAACCCTACACAGTGTATACAAATTGTACTGCAGGGGTGATAACCTGGTATAAAAATATATTGTAGGAGTGGAAAAAAGCTTGAATTCAAGTTGTGCAAGGATAACAAAGCGTTGTTGCATAAAATCCACTTTGCACAAATTGTAGTGCAGGAGTAAGAACCTCTTTGTAGAAAATGTATGATAGGGTTGAAAACCATTTTGTACAAAATGTAGTGCAGGGATGAAAACCTTTAAGAACCACTGTGTATAAAAATAATTAATAACATGCTGAAAATAAACTTTATCTACAGTGAGGGGTTTGACCAGAAGAACATAGATGCCCTACTACATCGTATTGAGCTGGCATTGAAACATCAGACTGGAAATTTTGGTCTCAACATGGCTCTGGTAGGCGTGGCAAAATTAGCTAATAAATCATGCTTGCCAAATATCTAAAAGAAGTAGAAAATCTACACATAATTATGATTTTTTTTTGTTGAATATCAATATCCTTTGCTAGATGTTTGTGAATTGAGAGATCTGGTTAAATTTGCTGAATACAAACTAGAAGTCGGTGATGCACTGCTTCGAGGTTGTACGGTACATTTGTTGTTAAAGTAATGAAACATTGCTAAGTGTCACTTTCAAATTGTCATTACATTGATGTTTATCATCCATAGTGTGTTCTAAGCATTTGTAAAAAAATTTCATCCAGTCGTAGCAAGTTCAATTATTCTTTGGAACAATATTCACTATCTGATAGTTTAAAAACTGGATCCAGATTGTTAGATACCAGGAAAATCAGGTTACTTATAAATCAAAGGCCGGCATTATAGTTAATCTATATTTAATATTTGTTTAATCAAAAGAATATGGCATCAGTCTGGAACCATGATGGTGATCCAATGGTAGCCCTACAGATCAATAACCAAATCTCACAGCTCAGACAGACACTCGCTGACAACCCAACATTCCTTCAGGACAAGGTCAAACAGTACTTCAAGGTCAGTTATTAAGATGATATTAGTATAAAAAACACTTAGAGCTCATTTTGGTTTTTTGCTTTAAATAATGACACAAATTTGCTAAGTGGGAGTACAAATTTACTTGTGTTTTAGAGTTAACAAAGCCCATGATGATACTGTATAGTATTGTGAAGATACATCCTTAAAGTATTTATAGATGATTGAACATTAGCATGTATCGAACACAAACATTATTTCCCCAGGATGAATTTAAGATATCTCATACCTTATAGGACAACAAACATTGTTTGGTGGTCACTATGGAACCAGACAAAGATTATGAAGAAGGCAGAAACAAAGAGGAGGCAGAAAGGCTAGAGAGGCATGTTAGCCAGTTGACTGCTGCTGACCGCAAGATTATTCTGGACACAGGTGAGAGGTCAATGTCATGTAGGTCAAGCATTCTTTGTTATCTAACCGTCAAGAAGTCACAATGTAAAAGTGAAGGAAGAGGTACAATAACAAGTGTCAAAGTGGGATGCCAAAGGTCAAGGGGTAATAGGTCAGGAAGGGAAAGAATGTGATAAAACTAAAACTAAAGTATCTAAAGTTACACTGAAGGATAAGCTGCAATTTCAAGGTACAACGGAGGATGTCAAAGGTCAAGGGTCAAAGGGTAGGGTTAGTAGAGGTCAGAAAGGGGTAGAATTAAATAAAGTTAAACTGAAGGAGGAGCTACAATTTCAAAGGGCAGTTGAGGATGCCAAAGGTCAAGGGTCACAGGGTACGGGTTAGAGGTCAGTGTATTATAGACAAAGAGGGGTGAAGAATCATGTAAAATTGATAGTTATATAATAATGTTTATATTGTTTATAAGATTGTATTTAACAATTCGGAAATAGACTATCTTGATTGTAGGATTTTATTTGGAATTAAAGAGTATGGAATTGTTATCACTTATTTACAAAATCACATACTGAAACATAATTACATTTGGCTATGAATTACATGGAAATATGAATGTTCAATTGATGTCATATTAAAAATATTACTGTACTGTTTATAAGAAATGTAATCTAAGTTAATCATTTGAAACCATTGACTCAGACAAAGAAGATTCAATAATATTACTTCATTATGTGTCTATCACATGTCGTAATTACCAGTGCACATGTTCAATGACAAATGTGAGTCAACACTCGTCATGTTGAATGGAAACATCTAAATATAGATGTATTAGATAAAAAACTAGATGTTAATCCTACAAGCAACTTCTTCCTAGGGAAGGAACTACTTGCAAATCAAATGGCTGTTGAGGATGTGAACTGTCTACCCACAATCCACCTGGATGAGATTGAGAGGAAGATAAAGTCAGAACCGGTTGAAGCTATTAACTTAGGTAAGAATTCCATGTTTATGTATGATAACAGGGACTTGATACAATTGTTAAACCCCATGATCTGTATGTGTGTGTTATAAGTCTTGTGGAATTTAGAATGTATGGCAGGTCCGTGGATATTACCTGTTTTAATCATTTTGTAAATAATCGTAATTCAGTTATCTGCCAGCTGTGTGATAAGAAAAATGAAGATTGTGCTACAAAGTATAAGAAGTTTTTGGCAGGAAATTGATTGTTTACATCAGTTTCTGTCCCAATAGATATAACACTTTAATGTGTTTTGATTGGCTGACAGACTGAACTTTGACTGGAAAGGTGCTCTTACTGACATTTGAATAGACAATAAGTAGGTTATAATTGTTTTTGTAACAATTTATTTTTTTATTAGGCATTGTCTCAGGATGACCTATTGCAATCCTCTTTTTCCGGCGTCATGTTTTGGAAAAATTTTTTAATTTTACATGGCTAAAGGCGCACCAAAATGTAAATTATATGGTATCCAGCCTCCAGGGGCCTGAACGGCGGGGTCAAATAAGGGTCAAAATGAGGGAAACTTTGAAAAACTCATATCAAATATACTTTATGTGTACACTTTATTTAAAGTTATATTACTTTTTTTAAAATAATCATTTCTATGACATGTTGCATTGTGACTCAGGTGACCGTTAAGGCCCTTGGGCCTCTTGTTTGGATTTCTATTCTATTCTTGTGTTGAAGATAACAAGCCACTTTGTTTCTAGTTATGATTTTAGTACAAATCTGTGTTTATTCAGGCATTATATAGATGGTTTCAATTTGTTCCTTTTGTTTATGTTGTAGGAGGTATTTCGGTACAGAAATGTGCAGCACCAACAAACGGGGTATCATACCTACGGATGATATCGAACCTGGCCTCAGTTTCAGATGACCTGAAACCTTATGTACCTCTCTTCTGTAATGTTATCACTAAGTAAGTGGTGAGGTTGGGAAATAAAACCGTTCTTGAGAGTAGTTTCATCTCAAATTGAATGATTCTCAGTCTGATAGCCAGACGTGCAGCCATTCGGTCTGATAGCCAGACGTGCAGCCATTCGATGTAATATTGTTATGATATTACAAAATAATAAACACGTTTTCACAATGAAAAAAGGCTTTTCAAGATAAACGAAATTTGTTCACTTAAGAATTCCTAAGATTATGTTCAGAAACATGGATTTTTGAGTGTGTTTGTTGACCTGAAAATATATGAAATATCTGATAGATTGTGAGAACTAAAGATTTTTATTAATCAAGAGTGACAAATTGTGTGTTGATAGGATGGGAGCTGGAGCACATGATTACAAATCTCTGTCACAGGACATAGACTTATACACAGGGGGACTGTCTGCTGGGGTTCATGTCAAGGCTCACCACACAGAGGACAAGACATATGAACAGGTAAACACACACAAAAGATACATGTGTATACTTACACACAAGGTGGCTGAGGATCATATCAAAGGCTCACCACACAGAGGACAAAACATACAACTTTTCGAAAAAAAGTTGAAATGAAAAGAAGTCTTTAAAATAATGCCATACAATTTACAACATATATAAAGGAATTCCAATAATCTGTAATGATAATAAAGTTCTTTTGAACACTTCTCATAACTCCTATTTATTTAATCATTAAGGCATTTTACTGGACATGTAAAGATATTTAATATTTTTGTTTCAGGGAGTGACATTTTCTTCCTACTGTTTAGATAGGAATTTGGACAGGATGCTTGGACTCTGGACTGATGTGTTTTCCAGGTGAGTTTCCCTGCCTAAGATTACATTTTACTGATATTTATATGCACCTGAGTTTTTACAGCTGTACATATTGCTGAAAAGTTTCTTCTGAAGAATACATGTTATGAGCCTCTTTTCTCCCAAAGGTACATACATATGCTTTATTAATACTTATACTTTATTTATTTCTATATTGTTAATCGTTTTGAGACAAGAATAATTCATTTCTTGTTTTGACAAAAAAAAAAAAAAATTCTTGATAAATGATGATAAATATGCCCCTGTTTCTTAAATAACACTTCAACAAACATGTTTATTCCTCACAATGGAGGTGGATTACATGTCTTTTATGTGTGCTTCAGACCAGACCTTAAGGATAATGACCGGTTCTTGACCTTGGTCAATATGACAGCTGCTGAGATGTCATCGTCTGTAGTGAGCAGGGGTCATTCTTTTGCCATCAGTCACTCCAGGGCAGGGCTAACCCCTGCAGGGTTCCTACAAGAACAGTTTGAAGGATTGACTCAGGTAACTTTTTTTTCAGAACATTTTCTTTGCGTTGATAATGTCACTAGAATACAACCAGTCAAAGATCTAAGTGTGACTTTTCAATGACTACATGGTCAGGAAAATAAAATTTCTGAGCCACCATATGTACACTTGTATCCCACTGCAGAGAACACTCTTAAAATCTACTGCACACCCAAGATCCAGAAAGAAGGGAACCTATTACGGCCCATAGTCGAATATACTGGTTCCATGGGTTACAATGTCTCCAGGTCACAAACAGACATTCTAGGACCAATGGTGGGGAATCAGAATATCATAGATTTTATTTATTTTATAGATATACCAGTCTATAAAGGTCACTTGTTTCTGGTCCATCTGTTAGGCATGAAGACTCCCTGCTAAAAGAGGCCACTTTCTCTATTCCCTTGAGTGACCTTTATGGAAAGGTTTAACTTTAGTTAACTCAAACATTGTTTACAGGACATGTAAATATTTCCAGGTCTTGATCACGAAACAGTTTAGACTTTCGTTAAATCAAAATGTCGTCTAAAATTTCAGTTTCATTCTAAAATGTTACTTAACAGACATGGGCATGTATATATTGTCAAGTTTTTTCAGTCTTGCATTTTTTGCCAAGTTAAAAATTGTTTGAAGGACAAATAGAGTCTGTATTGTTTGACATTAATTCTGGTCAAAAGAAATAATGCCAATCATATTAGTGTAAAATTCTCGGTAAACTGTTGAACTTTGTGTCAATTTTTGGCTGTTGATGATTTTTATGAAATGCAATCACACTTTCAAGCTTATTGCCATGTATGTACTGGTGTTTCTTTCACAGCTAGAACTTTTGAACGGTATTGTTGGAGGGGAACCAGAGTCGGTCTTCAAAGTCATCAATAAAATGGAGCAGATCAGCAAATGTTTATTGAATAAATCAAACCTAAGGTACGAAACTTTACAATCTATGAGAGTAAATTCTGAAAATATTTTTTTGTTTGTAGTTAACAAAATCTGGGAACATGATCATTGCAGTTGATATGTTGTCAAGATAAACAGAAATATTTCTGTTTTGAGCTGAAAATAATTCAAATTTGGTTGGAATTATTAGCATGGAAAGGCAGTCTTATAACATGAAGTGTTGTGACCATGGTCAACCCCTAAGAGTCTCTTATGAACTGGCTTCAAATGGATCAAATTAGCTTAACTTTGAAAAATATCCCTCAGTTTTGGATACTATAAATTAACTTCAGTTAACTTGAGTTCAGTTCTTAAAACTTTTTTAAAAAATCAACTTAACGTACATTGTAACTTTAAACTTTGATTAGGGTAGCTGTAAATGCAATGCCCGAGTCTATGGATGCCACTCTGAAATCTGTAGAGGGATTTCTGTCTTCATTGCCAGGGGATGCTGTTGTCTCCAACTACCTCACAAAGGTATGTGTGTTTGTGTTTGACACATTTCATTGTAAATAAATATCATTTATCCTTCAATAGATTAAACTATTGGTTGTTGTAAATGATTAAAACAGCCAATAGAGAGTCACTGTGACAGAGCTACTGTTTTGTATTTATAATTAACTACACATTGGAAAAAATTTGACTCACTATTTCATATTTTGTATTAAACGTGGCACAGAATACTTGTATAAAGTGATAGAACCATTGTTTCGTATTATCTTATTAATTGTCACATACAATATTTATTTAAGGTGACAAAGCCATTGTTTCGTAATTTTATTCCTCAGGACACAGATTATAAGGTGAAGGAGACACAGACACAGTTTGAGCGGCCATTCTCTGTCAATTACATGGGAAAATCTTTCTTGACAGTGCCTTATACTCATGAAGATTTCCCCAGGTTAGTTACTGTATAGTGTGACCTAAAAGAGTAGAAAATGTAGGAAATATTTGAATTTCTAAATAACTGAAATCTTGAACACTTTAATTCTAGAAAATAATTTATGTTATGACCTTGACGCCCCTGTAAATGTCTGCATCTCTTGACTCCTCTGTAAATGTCTGCATCTCTTGACTCCTCTGTAAATGTCTGCATCTCTTGACTCCTCTGTAAATGTCTGCATCTCTTGACTCCTCTGTAAATCTTGACTCCTCTGTAAATGCCTGCATCTCTTGACTCCTCTGTAAATGCCTGCATCTCTTGACTCCTCTGTAAATGCCTGCATCTCTTGACTCCTCTGTAAATGCCTACATCTCTTGACTCCTCTGTAAATGCCTGCATCTCTTGACTCCTCTGTAAATGCCTGCATCTCTTGACTCCCCTGTAAATGCCTGCATCTCTTGACTCCCCTGTAAATGCCTGCATCTCTTGGCTCCCCTGTAAATGCCTGCATCTCTTGTCTCCCCTGTAAATGCCTGCATCTCTTGACTCAAAAGTAAATACCTGCATCTCTTGGCTCCCCTGTAAATGCCTGTATCTCTTGTAAAGTCCGGGATATCTAGACTCCCCTGTAAATGCCTGCATCTCTTGACTCAAAAGTAAATGCCTGCATCTCTTGGCTCCCCTGTAAATGCCTGTATCTCTTGACTCCCCTGTAAATGCCTGCATCTCTTGACTCAAAAGTAAATACCTGCATCTCTTGACTCAAAAGTAAATACCTGCATCTCTTGACTCCCCTGTAAATGCCTGCATCACTTGACTCCCCTGTAAATGCCTGCATCTCTTGGCTCCCCTGTAAATGCCTGCATCTCTTGACTCCCCTGTAAATGCCTGCATCTCTTGACTCCCCTGTAAATGCATGCATCTCTTGGCTCCCTGTAAATGCCTACATGTCTTGACTCTCCTGTAAATGCCTGCATCTCTTTGCTCCCTTGTAAATGCCTACATCTCTTGACTCCCCTGTAAATGCCTACATCTCTTGACTCCCCTGTAAATGCCTGCATCTCTTGACTCCCCTGTAAATGCCTACATCTCTTGACTCCCCTGTAAATGCCTACATCTCTTGACTCCTCTGTAAATGTCTGCATCTCTTGACTCCCCTGTAAATGCCTGCATCTCTTTGCTCCCTTGTAAATGCCTACATGTCTTGACTCTCCTGTAAATGCCTGCATCTCTTTGCTCCCTTGTAAATGCCTACATGTCTTGACTCTCCTGTAAATGCCTGCATCTCTTTGCTCCCTTGTAAATGCCTACATCTCTTGACTCTCCTGTAAATGCCTGCATCTCTTGGCTCCCTGTAAATGCCTGCATCTCTTGACTCCCCTGTAAATGCCTGCATCTCTTGACTCCCCTGTAAATGCCTGCATCTCTTGGCTCCCCTGTAAATGCCTGCATCTCTTGTCTCCCCTGTAAATGCCTGCATCTCCTGACTCCCATGTAAATGCCTGCATCTCTTGACTCCCCTGTAAATGCCTACATCTCTTGACTCCCCTGTAAATGCCTACATCTCTTGACTCCCCTGTAAATGCCTACATCTCTTGGCTCCCTGTAAATGTCTACATGTCCTGACTACCCTGTAAATGCCTACATCTCTTGACTCCCCTGTAAATGCCTACATGCTCTTGACTACCCTGTAAATGCCTACATCTCTTGACTCCCCTGTAAATGCCTACATCTCTTGGCTCCCTGTAAATGTCTACATGTCCTGACTACCCTGTAAATGCCTACATCTCTTGACTCCCCTGTAAATGCCTACATCTCTTGGCTCCCTGTAAATGTCTACATGTCTTGACTCCCCTGTAAATGCCTACATCTCTTGGCTCCCTGTAAATGTCTACATGTCCTGACTACCCTGTAAATGCCTACATCTCCTGACTACACTGTAAATGCTTACTCTTAGGAACACATGCCTGAGGCATTTATCCAATGATTTAGTTAGTTTTTATGTAGCTGCATTTGCGGTAGAGAAATTTTCATTTTCAACCTGTTTTTTGCTTTCTTCAGAATGAATCTGTTCTAAAATTTTGTAGATAACAGAGAGACGTTTATTAATAGTATGTAAGTATGAGGGAATTGGGGATTGATACAGGTTACACTAAATACTTAGTTATGTTTAGATTGATTTTTATTACCTTTTAAATATCCAATATTTCATGTTGTTCCTTCATTCTGCCAAGTTTCCAACGTAGTGAAATTTATTTTATACACTTGTTGATTTTTGTTCTTTTTTCAGATTACGAGTTCTTGCCAAATTGATGTGGGCCAAGTTTTTACATAGAGAAATAAGGTAAGGACAATGAAACAGATTCAGGAAATTAGAAATACACATATCATGAACAGAGGCAACATTAAAACTGTAGAATTGACAGGGCAATTATTTTTCTAATGTTCAATGTTAAACGATTATTATATGCTTATTTCTTAAAATGAAAAATAACTATTACACTTAGTTGGTAGGATAGTACCAGATTTTGCATACTTTTATGAAAGCAGAGATGTTTAACGTACTGATATATAATTGATACGTTTTCATACATATTGTCGGAATATGATTTGAATTTTTGCGACACAAATTTGAAAAAGTTAAGTTAAGTTAAGTTTATTACCAGAACAGGATATACCTATCCTCTACTCTGGTCTCAAAAAACATACAATATATATACATGATATTTCATATAATAAATATAGTATGTACAAATCAAAATAATATGTCCAGCTTTTAGTTCCGTTGAATTACTATTAAGACAGTCTATATTGATATATCAGCTCTATAATTAAAAATGATATCTTGGTTTTCCCATAACTTATCAAGCCTATTTTTGAAACAGTTCGTGTTTGAGGCAGATACAACAGTTTCTGGTAATGTGTTCCAAATGCGTGCTGCTCTCACAGAAAAGTAATTACTTCTTAGTTTAGATTTAGCTCTTTGTGGAAAAAGTTTTTTTGAGTTTACTCTAACACTGTGTTTATCGGACATGTTCTCCCATAACTTTATGCATGTACAGCACTCTTGTCGTACACTCCGCTGATCATTTTATATATCTCGATCATGTCACCTCGCAAGCGTCTATAGGCCAAGGTAGACAGTTTTAGTGTTTTTAATCTTTCTTCATATGATAAATTCCGTAATCCAGGTAGGCACCGCGTTGCTCTTCTTTGTTAAGAAACAAAATAATAAAAAGTTGATGTTACTAGATATTCTACTAATGATAAACAACCCTACTGTTTAACAGGGAGAAAGGCGGGGCTTATGGAAGTGGGGCTGTCTGCTCAGACGGTGTCTTCTCACTTTTCTCATACAGGTAAGTACTTAACAAAGCAGTGATATTTATTTAGATTTCAGAGAATTTTACTAGAATTAGAACTCTGGTGAGGGAAACTGATATGTGCTGGCTCAGCTGTTTTTGTGGTTCTCAGTAGGCTGATAAACGAAGCTACATCTAGATATTCCTTGACTCAGGGCAGTCTTTCTCACTTATACTTTTCTCAGTATATGTCCATTGTACTGATTGGCCTTTTGCTAGGACATGGGACGTGTTTGTACAATAGAGAGTCAATCAAACTCTCCTGGTGATGGTAAAGATATGGTAAAGATATCAATGAAGTTTCTGTAAATCATTTTAGTGTTAGTCAGAAGGGAGTGAACAATCATTTCTGCACCCTCCTTCACCTTGATTAACATGTTTAGGGTACAATTGAGATCATTTCTGCACCCTCCTTCTCCTTGATCTAAGATGTTTAGGGTACAATTGAGATGCCCTCTTTCACTGGATGGCATGTGATGGGCCTTCCATGTGTTGTTCACTGAGGTAGTTACCAGCTACTGCAAGGAGACCCTGCCTCAAAGTGAACCTGGCTGATGACGGGCAATAAACCTGACAAACAGACAAATAAAAAAATCTTATATGTGATGTGTGATTGGAGAGGCTTTAGTTTTGATAATGTCGAATTTACATTATAAAGATAATGTCACAATCTCTTTGCACGATGTTGATGATTTTTCATTTATTTTTCTGTAACTTTATATATTTGACAAACTTTAAGGTTTCACAGCATTGTAATCTGACATCATTTTTATTTGGAAATTAAGTTACAAAAATGATGTGTTACAGATATTTTATCCTTCCTGAGTTATTTTTAATGAAACACAGAAAATTGGTATTTTAAGATATACATGTACTGTGATTTAAAAGTACATACTTCCAATCCAGGGATCCCAACTCTCTGAAGACGCTTGAAGTGTTTGACGAAGCAGTTAAGTGGCTGTGCAGGGGAGATTACACTCATAACGACGTCGACGAGGCAAAGTTATCAGTTTTTCAAGAGGTAATCAATTTTTTTATATTGAATGTAGAAATTCTTTATTGTCAAATTTCACAGTTAATATGTCACTGGTGTGTCAATTAAGGTGTGACCATCTTGTGTGTTTTCATATTTAAAACAAAATTAACATGCTTTCAAAATGTGATATATTACAGTAATTTTCATTATACATTGATATACTAATTAGAACAGGTAAGGTTCATGGTGAATTCAAATGTCTTGTCATGGTAAATCTATTTACCTAATATACAGATGTTTGCAACCTATAGAGTTTTGCACTTGATCAGACAGGATTCCTGGAGTTCAGGTCAAGGTCTTAACATTTCAGTTTTGAAATTTTTTTCTGATACCTTGTCACTCACATCAAAAAGTGAGGTTATAATCACAACATACCCAAACATCACCTGTTAAGTGGTTTTTAAGTTTATTTGGTTGACATTTTTGCCTCTAAAGGTGAGACTTCATCAGAACCATGAAGTCCCCAGCCTGTGATATATCAAGTTTCCACATCATTTTCATCAGCCCCTAACAACATTTGTGACATCCTCAACTGATTGGTTAGATTAAAAATATACAATGTGAGGTCATGTTTCTTCTACAGTCAGACAAACCAGTGACACCCGGGAACTCTGGAATGATGCTGTTTACCAACGGAGTGACAGACGAGATGAGACAAACAATGCGAGACCAGCTGTTCCAAGTCACGAAAAAGGACATCACCTCTGTTGCTCTCAGGTAACAGTTATTTACAATCTCTTGTGTTTCCAGATCTTTTATTCCATTTAGTTTACCTACAATGTCTTTTAACTGAGGTTTAAATAGATTCCTTCAAGTCTAAAACAAAGAATGAGCATGTTGTACTGTCATTGTATTTACTTTTCACAATAAAGATATTGTGCTGAAATATGATTGCACCAAAATAAGTATGTTTACAGTTCTTTGTATCAGAAATATATTTAGAACTGGGTATAAGGCAAATGTTGTACCACAGGTTTAGTTCCCTATGCCTGAGTAGGCTGTAGGTTTCACTCCAGGTACATATCTGTCAGTCATCTTGTAATTAGACTTATGACCTGATATTTAAACTGTCATCTTAATTTTGGTATTATGTAGGCTATACTTTGTGTAGTAGGAGTGGAAAAGTTCATGGCCAGACTGGGGTACAAACTCGAGACCTAACTCTAGCACTAGGTCTGGTATCCAAACAATGAGGGTTACAAAACTTCTTTTTTAAAGCTGTATATTAATTTGTTTCAGAAAAAAAAAATTGAATTTATCTTTCATCTTGTTAAAATCAGGTTCTGGATTATATTGCAGGTATCTGAAAAAAGGTGAAAGATCAAATGCAGTATCGTTCCTGGGCCCGGCCAATCAGAAAGTGCAGGAAGATCAGAAATGGAAAATCATCAAAAGTTGATAAAGACCAAGATTAACATGAATAATTTTTGATTGGATGATTGAATTTAAAACAAAGAAAATGTTTATTGGTATTTTTTTTGTGAGATTAAGGAAAATACCACTATATTATAGAATATATTCATATGTTATCAAGGCATTAAATGACTTTCATTGTACGTGGCAGTCATAAATAATTCCTAAGTCTTACAGATTTTATTAATTTTGTTTCATTTACAATTTAAGTTGGACTGGATGGAAGAGTACTGTGGAATTTCTTTGAACATAGATTGCACTGTTAATACCAAGGCTTTTCCTAAGTTAGCCATACTTTAGAAGTTTTTCATTGCTCAGTTATGCAATGTTTGATTTAACAATTAGACTTGAAGTAAGTTTTCTTTGCTTGCTGTGATGGTCTTGCAGATTATTAGAATCTTTCACCGCCTTGGAGGTGAGAAATGTGATTCTGAAACCCAAGGGGAAAGATGTTTAAGTCAGCAAAAACAAGCATTTGCAACTTAAACATCTATTCCAGAGGGTTGAGATCATTCCCTCTCACCAATGAGAAAGATTATTATCTCTTAACCTGCTGGTTTAAGTAGGTATTAGTGTGTGTTTTTTGTTGTCGCAATGCTTTATATCGTTGACAATATTGAATTGTTTTTGATGCCAGTAAATCACCCATGGGTGAGACAAGGAAATCTCACACTGGTAAAAGCATGGATTTATCTGTCCAGGGTAAGAGACAAGAATATCCTATACCCCCATGTATGTTTCCATCAGCACAAAAATGATTGAGTGATTCATACAATGTTTGGTGTGCTGTACAAAAAAGAGGTTCACATAATGGAACACACTAACAGATTAATATATATGTCCCATATTTTTGTATCTATATCTGTAATATTCTTGTATTCTTAATTGGATCTTGTTTGCTTAATATCTTCTTACTTCAGTTAGTAGTTCTGTATCATTATGTGATAAAAGAGGCCAAGTTGATTTGTAATGGAGGAACTCAAGGAAAAGAAGAGAGTGATTTCCCTTGTCAGTCATGGAATGATAATAATACTGTTATGTGTGGTTGATTTCTGTGAGTATTGTGTGAGTTACAATGATCTGTTAGATGTGTGATATCAATATGCGTAGATGTCAGAGCTTGAATAAAAGATTTCAAAATATTTTCATACGACGTATTTTTGTATCAAAGGAATGATCTTATTCCCTCTGTCCTTTCCTTCTTCAGTCCTCCTTTTTCTTCATTCCATTTTTCCATCTATTGGAGGCAACACTGACCCAGCGAATATGTCTTGGTAAAATCAAAAGTTTAGGGTTAGCTTTTTGAGAGATTCCAAGCAAAAGAATATCTCACAAATTACCAGGCATGTCTGTCTCTTGAAAATATTACACAGGCACTTAACCCAAACCAAAGATTGTTCAATTGATGTTTGCTGCAGTGCAATGTTTTATCTTTATCTAAAATATTGCTGGTGTTGATTTTAGTTATGGTATTGTGATTTGCACATTTTAATATTACATATTTGGTATTGCAAGGAATAGAGAGGTGTTTTACCTTGAGCAGGGTACATGGAATATAATTGTGTTTAGTCCCACAGTGCTGCATTTCCCAGCTGGTGGTGCTGATATTTCATTACATACTAGTTCCAAGCCAACTAATATCGGTTCTTATGCCCATGTATTTACAGAGTGATGGCCCTTTGTTCATCCAACATAACTTTGACTAGGAACTTTCTCCTATACTGTCACCAAAACTTGTTGTCCTACCTAAATTTTTAACCAAGTAGAAATGAATGCTTCATGTATGTTAAAATATCAATAGAGTTTGAATATTGTTCACTTTCTTTCATTTAAAAGAAATTCTTTGATGCCTGATAATTTTCCAAATGGCTGTTTTATATAAAGGCTATATTCTATAAGTTAAAAGAATACAAAACAGAAATCTTAATGTTTTATGAAGGCACAATGGTCTAGTGGAAGGACATTGTGCTGGTTATCAAAGGGTCATTAGGTTGACTCCAGTCATTGGCGGTGCTAGAAATGTTTAATGTATTTTAAACGTTAGTGCCAAAAGACAGCTCTTGATGAGAGAGCAGAGAAATATTTCGGCTCGTAGCAAACTTGTAAATGGCTTTGAGATAGCTATGTTGCTGTGATAAAACCACATATAAGAACCTCAAAGTTATATCAAACACTTGAATGTCCACAAGACGTTGCTCATATTTATTTTATTTCTTTATTGTAGCTTTTTAGTCCTTCAGTCTGGACAGGAAATATTTTAGTCAACCAACATCAATGTTCTGTCCTCTGTGTGTAGTCCATCGTCCTGGATGGTTTTTTCCTCAAATTTTGTATGTTGATTTGCCTTGGTCCCTAGTTGTGCTGCATTGATTTGGGAATGATAAAAAATTACGATGTGGTTGTCGGGGCCAACCTTAATTTAGAATATGAAAGTTTGTGTTTGGCTGTTTCTTGAGAAGGACTGGATGGATCTTTCCCAAATTCTTTATATAGGCTCCCTTTTGAGACAATTTTGATAAGGACGGGATGGATCTCCTTTCTTAGATTTTATCTATCGGTTCCCCTTGGTCCCTAGTTGTGGTCGTCTATTACTTGAGAAGGACTTTATGGATTCTAAAATTACATACATGGGTTCCCCTGGGCCCCTAGTTTTGGCCTTTTGATTTTGTAACTAATCTCAAAAACAAAATCTTTGATTTGACAGTTGAAGAATGGAACCATTATTCAACAGGATCTCTTCCTAGAAGCTTCCTGTACCTGATTCTGCATAAGCATATAGTATTATGGCCCTACTTCTTAAGTAATTCATGTGACAATTCTACTGCTAAGGGGTTTAATCTGATTAAAGCTCATGCCACCGGACTTTGTCCTCTGACAGCATTTCCTGAGTTACTGTATCTTACATAATGATGAAAATTAGAAGAAAGAAAAAACTCAAAGAGAAAACATACACATGTTTTGCTTTCTAACTTGGTTTATTTCTAAAACACATTATAAATTAAAAACATATGACATATTTTGAATAATACTTTTCATTTTGTATTAATTAATCTTTAATTAAATTTTACAATGAAAGTATGCATTTATTCAGTTTGCAAAAAGGTTTTTCTTTCATACCAGCATGTGTTATTGAGTCTGGTTTAGAAGACTTGCATATACACAAGCCCTGACCCGGAAATAAACTTATCTTATCTTATGGAAACTAAAAAATCCTATCATAGCTTACACTCAATTATTTAAATTGATGAATCTAAACTGATTCAGTTTTCCTGATTTTAAGTAGTTTTTATCAGGTACGTACAATTAGTCCTTTTTTTATACATGAATGACGACCGAAATAAAAATTTACATTTAAATATTACACATTTTCATTACCTATTACCGCATGATCCGGATATTTAACGTCTGCTGTATATATTTAGTTTACCTTTTTCACTTCCGGTCAGTTTGTTGACAGGTGCCTGGAAACGAGAGAGGTGAGAATTTAAATGTCGAAAATTAATTAAAATTAAATATTGATATTTAATTTAACTGATCGAATTAATTTGCATTGAAATAACAATTATTGAGGTCAGTTCTGATACAGGTCGATTAAAACACGTAATTAGTAAAATAAAAGCGTCAACTTTTTGGCATCGACATTTCAATCTTAACACTTTTAAAATACTTGTTCGAAGGGAAAAAACGTTATTTTTATTTCATTAAGAGCAGACACATATTGCAGTCTAATGGGTAATGTTCTGTGGAATACAAACCGATAACTGCCATACAAATAAGTTATTTTTCACCACGCGGCACGCTAGAAGTAGAATAAAAACTATGACAATCCAAATTAAATTACTTCCGAGTGACCACTCAAAAAGGCCATCATATAAAGCGCATTTAAAGCAAATAAGACATTTGGTTAATTCCGAATGAGAATTATAGAGATCAATTTTGGGGAAAGAATGTTGTAAGATGTTTGTTCAGCTGCACGTGTGTAAAATAGAGTGGCAGATCTTAATTGTATATAGGATCATGGTCGACGTCAAGCTTCACGCTAGAGGGAATTTCTCTTTAGCTCAGTGGCAGTTTGTCGGACTAAAGGCCTGGAGGTCATGGGTTCAACCCCAGGTGGAAGCACACTCATCTCTTTGCTGGTTACTGATAGTGACCAAGGCCCTTTCCATGGTGACAGAGAGTTAGAACCTAGGTAGATGTGATGTTTGGGGGTGAATACATAAAAAGCCAGGGGAGTAGTATAGCAGAATTTAATTGTACTTAGAATCATAGTCAACCTCTAGCGTTGTGCTGGGGGAAATTTCACTGTAGCCCAGTGGTAGAGCATCTGACTAGAGACCTCCTGTTACAATTGAAGTTAACTTTTTTTTTTTCAAATCTACAAAAATGTTTAAGCTGAAAGTTGAATGTAATGTGAAATCCGTACTGTCCCACATGTATAAAGGTGATAAAAACAAATTAATTTGTCTTAAACTGTCAAAGAGCATTGCTAAAACTTTCTGCTTTTTGCTAATGCTTCTTACTATAAGGTGCCTGCATTTACATAAAGTAGCTAGCAACAAGAGACGTATCTTAATTAACAGTACTGTCATTTTGTACAAGTTTGAATTATAATTAGCTGATTTCTGAAATCATTTGAAGGAGATTGCTACTTTTGAAATTGTAGATACACACAAAGATCTAATACATATATCTAAAGGACAGTATAATCTGAGGTATGCTGATGATAAATAAGTACATCAGGTATATGTGTATGGTAAAAAGAACATTAAAGCAAATTTGATTTGTAACAAGAAGATGCAGCAAAGTTTGCTTTCATTGGGTTCAGCAGTCAGGTTTAAAACTTCCGGCAACCAAAACATGACTACACTGGAGTCAGGTGTAAAACTTCAGGCAACCAAACCATGACTACACCGGAGTCAGGTGTAAAACTTCAGGCAACCAAACCATGACTACACCGGAGTCAGGTGTAAAACTTCAGGCAACCAAACCATGACTACACCGGAGTCAGGTGTAAAACTTCAGGCAACCAAACCATGACTACACCGGAGTCAGGTGTAAAACTTCAGGCAACCAAACCATGACTACACCGGAGTCAGGTGTAAAACTTCAGGCAACCAAACCATGACTACACTGGAGTCAGGTGTAAAACTTCAGGCAACCAAACCATGACTACACCGGAGTCAGGTGTAAAACTTCAGGCAACCAAAACATGACTACACTGGAGTCAGGTGTAAAACTTCAGGCAACCAAACCATGACTACACTGGAGTCAGGTGTAAAACTTCAGGCAACCAAACCATGACTACACCGGAGTCAGGTGTAAAACTTCAGGCAACCAAACCATGACTACACCGGAGTCAGGTGTAAAACTTCAGGCAACCAAACCATGACTACACCGGAGTCAGGTGTAAAACTTCAGGCAACCAAACCATGACTACACCGGAGTCAGGTGTAAAACTTCAGGCAACCAAACCATGACTACACCGGAGTCAGGTGTAAAACTTCAGGCAACCAAACCATGACTACACCGGAGTCAGGTGTAAAACTTCAGGCAACCAAAACATGACTACACTGGAGTCAGGTGTAAAACTTCAGGCAACCAAACCATGACTACACCGGAGTCAGGTGTAAAACTTCAGGCAACCAAACCATGACTACACCGGAGTCAGGTGTAAAACTTCAGGCAACCAAACCATGACTACACCGGAGTCAGGTGTAAAACTTCAGGCAACCAAACCATGACTACACCGGAGTCAGGTGTAAAACTTCAGGCAACCAAACCATGACTACACCGGAGTCAGGTGTAAAACTTCAGGCAACCAAACCATGACTACACCGGAGTCAGGTGTAAAACTTCAGGCAACCAAACCATGACTACACCGGAGTCAGGTGTAAAACTTCAGGCAACCAAACCATGACTACACTGGAGTCAGGTGTAAAACTTCAGGCAACCAAACCATGACTACACCGGAGTCAGGTGTAAAACTTCAGGCAACCAAACCATGACTACACTGGAGTCAGGTGTAAAACTTCAGGCAACCAAACCATGACTACACAGGAGTCATATATTTGTTTTCTTTTGGTTACAGTTTTATTTTACTGCAGCTTAGAATCAAAATCTGCAGTTTCAGACATACTTCAAGTTATTGCAAACAGTTTGAATAAGTTAAAAAAAAAAATTTTTATTGTTGTAAAAGCAAATGTTTTAGCAGTTTTACCATACAACGTTACAACACTAAGGAAAAAATTATCCTAAACCCCGGAACTTGGATGTTTTAATAGGCAAGGTTATTCTCTTGATTATTTTGTGAGAAAATGTCTCCTTTTATGTGATGCATATCATTAAACAAAAATACAAACACAAATATAGCACAGTGATGTCATAAAAGTTAACTGAAAAAGGGGAGATAAATCTCTTCTGCTAAAGGTACTTGTGGTTTAAATCAAGGGAGTTAACTATGTAGATGTTACCAGTTTATGTTAATTGTCATTCCTTACAGTGATAATGCAGTGATATGAAGGGTACCACAATACACTCTGGGAGAGATTGATATCATCTGCCCAGACCAAAGAGATATAATGTAAAATCAAAATGCTCAGCATTACCACATGTAATTAAAGCAACATTATTTACATAGCATAGATTTCAAATGTGACAGCACTGAATCATTTGATAGTTCAAGCTGGCTGAAATCTTCTTTTGATATAGCTAGGTCAAAATTTTTTGTAAGAAAGTTTGGAAAAAAACAAAGAAAAAAAACCCAAATAAATTGTACAACATTGAAAGAGGTTTTGTTCAATATCATTGACATTTTTCTGGGAGGTGCAAAAATTAATTTTTTCTTGGTCATTCAATTGATTTACATGTAAAGTTGAAGAGCTTAATTATTTATGTGAATTTTTCTATTTTCTTTGTAAATTCAGCTGATCACCACAGTTTTTAGAAATAGAGATTTTATCTACCAGGAATACATGTCTTTATATGATTTATCTCAAAAACTAATTTAAATTCACAATAATCACTATTTCAATTAGACCTAGTTTTAGAGACAAATTTAATTACTTAAGATTCAGTTTATGATCCAACTTTTATCATTAGGAAATCATTGTTGATAGAACCAAATAATACACATCAAGACATCACTATTCAATTAGTGAACAATTTAAGTTGCACCATCATTAATGATAAATGAAAAAAATGGAGAAAAAATGAAAAAAATGGAGAAAAAAATAGCCTATGTATATAAATTTAGTCTGGTTTGTACCACTCTGCATAAAGCAATCTAGATGAAGAGATAAGATTTCGATGGAAACATGTGAATATGACAGTATTATCCCACAGGTTCACACAATGGCACTGCAGCACAGGCGTTCTGATTTATCAACTATTGGGGGTTCACCAGAACCTCCTAAAGTACCTGTGGACATTCAAGAGGGAACGGAAGAGTACCATCTAACCAGAGAGTTCCAAGGTGTTGAGATCATCAGATCAGGTAGGTCACCTCACACTTTTGGACTGACTGTTTGACCTAGTTTGCAGACTGACTGTTTCACCTAGACTGTGGACTGACCATTTGTCCCTAGATTGTGGACTGACCATTTGTTTTAGATTGTGGACTGACCATTTGTCCCTAGATTGTGGACTGACTGTTTGACCCAGATTGTGAACTGACCATTTGTCCCTAGATTGTGGACTGACCATTTGTCCCTAGATTGTGGACTGACCATTTGTCCCTAGATTGTGGACTGACCATTTGTCCCTAGATTGTGGACTGACTGTTTGACCTAGATTGTGGACTGACCATTTGTCCCTAGATTGTGGACTGACTGTTTGACCCAGATTGTGGACTGACCATTTGTCCCTAGATTGTGGACTGACTGTTTCACTAGTTCAAGTTTTGATCTTTCCATTTATGTTTCAGACTTATGGACTTTCAGATTTAAGAGATATAATCAATATCTTTTGAAAAGGCATTCCTTTTTTATTAGTCTTGAATACAATAGCAGTATTATTTATATTTAATTCGCTACCAAAACATTGAGAATATATTGATGTATTTGAAGGTCAGAGGTCATGGTTGTTTGTATATAAATACATATTACTTATTTTGAAAATCTGAATAGATAGTTTAGTAATCACTGTTTGAAATGTTTAATTTTCCATACATGTAAATTAGATAGTTTATTGAAAGCATCCATGCAATAAGGAAGATATAACCCCAAACATTTACATTGGATTCATATACATTACATTAACACAACCCCAACAAAATCAATTCACAAAATGCCTGTGAACTTCAATTCCTGGATTTTCTTCAGACAAATATTTAATTTAAACAATTTTAAGAAAAAAAGTACTGATTCTGAAATTAAATTCATACCTTTCTCTATCTTTTTCAAAAAACCACAAAATAAATTTCAAGAGGAAGCAACAGATTTAAAATGTTAAATTATAAACAGATCTGGTGTTAGTAGTAGCTGATTCAGAACTGTATTAATAAGAAAAACCATTTCATCTAATTCTTTGGTGAAATGATTTTATAATAATATCTATACATAATTTGGTTCGTATTATCACATAATACGATACTTACCCAAATAAGAACAAAGAGTCACACAGATTGATTCCTCTGAAAATGAATTTTCTGGTAAAAGACGAGATATTCCTTGTGTAATGGTTTCCAGATTATTCATGTGAATACTGTTCCGTTTACAACGCACTGCGTCCACAAATCTTGTGAGATATGGATTGTAAATTGTGTTAGTACAGTTTAATGGTAATGACTACCACTAGTATCTGCCCTACCTGAGTACCTGTGCGTACATCTCTGTGTACACAATTATTTAGCCATGTTACACATCAGTTGTTTACAATTTGTTTTGTATCCTTGGTTGATATCAGTTTTCCACCCAGAGCTCGGTGTTTATAATTTACCTTGGAGTTTTTGAAACTGATATTATTGTTGATAATTATGTTAACATTACAACAAGGTCTTTGTTGGAGGTTGGGTAGAATCTGAGTTACCTGTACAAACGAGAAATTGACGAAGTATATCTTTGTATGTTTAAAGCTATAGGAACAGGTGTATTAATGTATATTTACAAGCATTACCATAACGTTGTGTTATTAGTGGTGTCACTCTCTGGAAATTGGTTTTAAAACTCTACAGGGTTGGGAATAAGGTTGATATAATTATAAATTTTCAGAGATGAGACTGACTCAGGGACCATTGTTAAGTAGTCTAATAGAACCATCTAAGAACCAGACACACTGACAAACCTCTGTAAATCAGACACACTAACATAAACCTCTGTAAACCAGACACTCCGACAAACCTCTGTAAATCAGACACACTAACATAAACCTCTGTAAACCAGACACGCTAACATAAACCTCTATAAACCAGACACACTAACATAAACCTCTGTAAACCAGACACACTAACATAAACCTCTGTAAACCAGACACACAAACATAAACCTCTGTAAACTAGACACACTAACATAAACCTCTATAAACCAGACACTAATATTGACCTCTGTAAACCAGACACACAAACATAAACCTCTATAAACCAGACACACTAACATAAACCTCTGTAAACCAGACACGCTAACATAAACCTCTATAAACCAGACACTAATATTGACCTCTGTAAACCAGACACACAAACATAAACCTCTGTAAACCAGACACACAAACATAAACCTCTGTAAACCAGACACACTAACATAAACCTCTGTAAACCAGACACACAGACAAACCTCTGTAAACCAGATACACTAACATAAACCTCTATAAACCAGACACACTAACATAAACCTCTGTTAACCAGACACACTAACATAAACCTCTGTAAACCAGACACACAGACATAAACCTCTGTAAACCAGACACACTAACATAAACCTCTATAAACCAGACACACTGACAAACCTCTGTAAACCAGACACACTAACATAAACCTCTGTAAACCAGACACACTAACATAAACCTCTGTAAACCAGACACACTAACATAAACCTCTATAAACCAGACACACTAACATAAACCTCTGTAAACCAGACACACTAACATAAACCTCTGTAAACCAGACACACTAATATTGACCTCTGTAAACCAGGCACACTAACATAAACCTCTGTTAACCAGACACACTAACATAAACCTCTGTAAACCAGACACACTAATATTGACCTCTGTAAACCAGACACACTAACATAAACCTCTGTAAACCAGACACACTAACATAAACCTCTGTAAACCAGACACACTAACATAAACCTCTGTAAACCAGACACACACTATTCTCACCAGATAAACCTCTGTAAACCAGACACACTAACATAAACCTCTGTAAACCAGACACACAGACAAACCTCTGTAAACCAGACACACAGACAAACCTCTGTAAATCAGACACACTAACATAAACCTCTGTAAACCAGACACACAGACAAACCTCTGTAAACCAGACACACAGACAAACCTCTGTAAACCAGACACACTAACATAAACCTCTGTAAACCAGACACACTAACATAAACCTCTGTAAACCAGACACACTAACATAAACCTCTGTAAACCAGACACACTAACATAAACCTCTGTAAACCAGACACACTAACATAAACCTCTGTAAACCAGACACACAGACAAACCTCTGTAAACCAGACACACAGACAAACCTCTGTAAACCAGACACACTAACATAAACCTCTGTAAACCAGACACACAGACAAACCTCTGTAAACCAGACACACAGACAAACATCTGTAAACTAGACACACTAACATAAACCTCTATAAACCAGATAAACTATCATCACTTCAAAAATTAGATGATTAAAACCATAAATATGTTGAATTTAGACAAATTATTCATTCGTACATACAATGTCCTAGAGAGTGTTTGTGATAGGATTTTATAGGATGATAAATTGATCTGGTCACTTCAATGATGGCCACTTATGTCCACTAAATGGTCAATCTTCTCCAGCCATATTGATTTAGAATTAGGAATCAATGTTGACTTTATATTAACGATCAATTCCTATTCAAAAAGTATAAATAGGAATGAAGTATGAACAACATAGATATACTTGTTGTCATTCTATGATACCATGGCATGAAATATTTATAGGAATTAAATCAGATTTGTCAGTAATAATACAGTGATATCTTGTTAACATATATCATTTGATAAATTCTCATGTTTTAAACTTTAAACTAGTATTTTAAGACTTAGACACATTTAGCACATTTAAAGATTTTATAGATAAGCTGTTTATTTTGTCAAAAGGAAAGGAAAAATGTTATATCACTTACCAATATATCAAACGTTTTCATTTTTTTTTAGACTTTCAGATATTTTTGTAACTAAAGTAATGACCAATAAAGTAATGTATAGATTTCATTGGAGCACAAATATGTGTAATAGATTTAAAAGTTTCTAGATTTTTTTTTTCAGTTCAATGTTTGAAATGTAGTCGTCTTGATGAATAAGTTTTTAATTTTTGGCATCCAATAGAATAATATATAAAATTATTTTGATGATTTTCGCATCAAGCTGGCCATGTTAGTAAGATATATACATAGTTAGGGAAATATATGTTGAAAACCAAAGCAATTCACACACACTCAATAGTTATTAATTTTGTCAATTTTTTAACTGTAAATTGTTATTGTCAACAATCAACATTATGTAAAATAAAAAACACTTACCTGTACAAATGCTTCATCAACTTGTTAGGTTTTATGATTTTGTCGTGTACATATCAGGTAAACACATCCCTGTTCACTGTAAAAACTTTAAAAAAAAATATGGAATGCCAACACTAGCAACAGAAAAAGCAAATATGAAACTATAGAAACTCTCGAGGGTCGATCAAGATAACTTAGGGTCAGCCATGATTAAACTTCTCTAGGCAAAAGTTGATGGCTAAAACTAACACACTGTATAGCATTCCTCAGTGTAGGTCCACAACCTAATGTAAATATCCAACACACTGCTGGCAAATAGGTTTAAATATTGTGTCAGACAAACCCTATACAATCGTCAAATAAAGAAGATCAGATCCTGTTTCTTAAACTGTAACGGAAAATGAGGCCAACTAACTCTAATTGATTGATTTTAACCTTTGTGAAAAATTGATAGGATATAAATTATTTAAAAAATGTATACCAGATACAACCTGTATGATGGAGTTTCTGTTTTTACTATCATAGGAAGGACGTAAAATAAAATATCACAGTCAAGGAATGCTGGTATCTAAACATGTTATATTACATAGTAATTTTTGTTTGACTCTACTCATCTTGGTATCAATATATTCACTGAAGAAATGGGCTGTGTCTATTGCTGTTTGTCCATGTTCCCAATTAAAAAAAATTGTGAATTCCTATAACCTGTGTATTTGTATACCGTAAAAACACACAGCTTTTTTTTTTTTTTTTGAGAAATGAATGTCCACAGTTGGGGGTGCTCAGTTTTTTTTTTTTTTCATGGAAAAATTCAAGATTCTGTGAGGCTGCCATCATTGTTTGTCAGAATTATCTGGTACTTAAAACTGACACAAAAAGGATTTAACAATTTATTTATGAACAAAAATGATAACTAAATACTGTATATACATTAATGCAAACGATCAGAGTGAATATCATGCAAAACCTGGATGAAGTGTTTGAAAATGTGATAGCAACTAGACAAACAGCAAACTAACGATCGACAAAGACAGTGGCCTGTTTGGGACATTGAAAAATTGGCTGATTATAATTTGATGTATATAGTTGCTAAATGTATAATAGTTGATACGCTAGTGTGATGTAACAAGGGTTCTCACTCAGCAAATTTGTCCAAGAGAAGCCTCTGTGATAGAGGTGAAACTAGTAGATAGATATAACACCCACTCAGAAGTAACATGTGAGTATGTTGTGATTAATTTCCTCTATTTAATATTTTGGTTTTGTTTAATCACTCTGCATACCTTGGTACCCTTTGTCCCCCTAATGTCCCCTTGTTAGAAAACATGGGAGAAAAACCCTGATTATAATTTTGGATTGTGCTCACATTAGTTGCCTCCTGCAATCATGTAGTAGCATACAGTAGACTCTATTCTTGGACTCTACATAGTCCTATAAAAAGAAGACATTGAAGAAACTACTCCTGACTTACAGGCGAAGTCTCACAATTAGTCACATCTTCAGTCATGCACCAAAGGAGGCTGCACTGTAATGTAGTGTGCAAGATCTGAAAACTAAGTTTTCTGATCAGGAAATATTGTGACAGTTTCTTCTTGTCGTAAATAATCTTAAAAAGCAGTCAGTGTGTAAAGTTGATAAGTTGTAAGATATCAATGTCGGAGAAATCAGTTTTCATAACTTGTTGCCTTCATTTATATAGAAATCTAATTTGCTGCATTTGGTATAGAATGTAGAAAGTACTATGATCCTCTACTGTACCAGTCCATTAAATCTGTAAAGATGGTGTAGTTTTTATTGCAGAATTTTAAATAAGTGTAATGCTGGTGAAAAATTACTGATGTATCATGGTTACTAAAGAATCTTGGAAATTTATAATCACTTGTTCTGACTAAATTTTTGTATGTACTTCCAGACCTAAACCTGTTAACTTTTTTTGTTTGGCCTCGTCTATTAAAGGAAACCATGGAGAGACAATACCTGTATCATACTATTCATATAGAGTGTAATTTAGTGTTGTGAAAGGAAAATAAAATGCCTGGGTTAGGTCTTAATGTTACTTACATGTTTTGGTGAGTGACAACCCCTTCATTTTTACTAAAGCATTGATAGTTTGACAATATCAGGTCAAAAATCTTTGGAGGAGTTTCCGTTTTAGCATGTACTAAAATTCACAAGACTTTGAACCCCTATGATAATAAGTATTGCTTTTGTTGTCGTTCAATGCTAATAACTTTGTAAATTTTAGAAAAATAATTCTGTTAAAAAAGTTACATACAAGTTCACTAGACTTGAAACGACCAGAGAGCGGCTGTCAAAATCACCCCTGTAAATTTAAAGGAGAATTAAAATAATTGCTCCTTTGTAAAATAGCTTACCTGTTAGAACTGTCAGATGGAAGCTATGAAAGACAGTACAAGATAAAGAGGATTATGAACTGTTTGTAAGAAAGTTCTAAAATAAATAGACCCAAGGCTTTCAAAGTATAACGGGTTTAGGTAGAGACGGCACCTAACACAGTTTTCTATTTAGAGTCTACCAATGTGTTTTTAGTTAGATTTGTCGACTAATAGAGGACTGTGTAAATGTCCTTAACAAAGATATTGTGTCATCTATCATTGGATTCTGATAAAAAACCAACATTACCTAGATAAACCATCCTACTGGTACATCTATTTTATTTTACCATATTTATCCTTAAATAAACCCTGTGATCCAAAACATTACATTTTACTCTAATTGAAGGGGTGGGCCTATTAAAGGACAATGAAATATCACTGATTATTATGATTTTACTGGAGAAGGATATATGGGTAGCTAGAGCTTTCTTTTTGTTGTGATGAAGTAAAAATTTCATTTAAAAACGGGGCATTCTAACTTCATATTATTATCAAATTTCGATAACATTATATTACTTTTAACTTCTATAAAAACTTTTTATTTTTATTTTAAAATGCATTCTAGTCAAATGTTAGCAGTTATGTAAATGTTTCGATATTTTCAAATTTGAATGTAAATTATTAAAAAACCTCAAAATTTTCTGACATTTACTTCAGGTATTTTGATTGGTTTTTGAAAGTGAACAACTGGTTTTATCATAGGAGCCTATCACAGGAATAGTACTATGACCCTTATTGATTTACAATTTTCTGTATGTGAATGATCAGGACTGTGGAAATCAATGGAAGGATTCTATTAGGGAACTTTTTTATCTCACAATTATAAACCTATAGTGAGTTAAGGCCAGCTTTAAGCTGTGAGTGTTATCGAACAGTGAATGTAGATTGTTCATTGACAGACAGGGGCTCTTGTTTGCACACAGTCACGACGTCATTGAAGCGTACTGTGTAGTATTTCTACCTAGAAACTGGGAAGGTGTTTATACCAGTCATTTGGCATTTAAATTCAATGTGTATTTGGAAATATATGTAGGCCCTTAACCACCATTTGTATTTTAAAATCATGTTACTTGTGATAGATATTGTGTGTTAATCACAGGATTTTAATGATATCTGTTGTGTTCTTCTGAATTTATGGATATGTGACATTTTTCTCAAGAAATGTGACAGAATTTGACTGAAAATGACAAGAAGATGGCACAGAATCCAGTGTCTCAGGAATCTGATCAAGTTGTCTGCAGATAAGAATTGATTTAAATTCGCAGTTATTTATTTTCAACTTAAGTTATTAAGTAACTGATATTAATTTATAGGTCCTATGTCGCTTGAGGAGGTATATGTTATACCTTAATTTTTCGGTTTTATGGAAAATTAACTGAGAGGAAACCATTGCTTCTGTATGGACCAGTGAACAGCTGTATGATGTGTCATTAATTGAGCCAGACTTTGAGGAGTTCTCTCCAACGTGTGGGGTATAGGATCAGATAAAAAGGGATTCTTCATCGGCTTTAACGCCATCAACTCAAGGACGTTTGAGATACCTGGCAAAGCATTTGCAGGAATTAGAGATAAATTTTGATTGACGGGATGGAAATTTCTGTTGATCAGTGATTTTTATATCAGAACGTTTCGATCTTAGATCTGTTGTAAAATTATCTCATGAATCGGAGTCTGTTGCCATAGCAACAAATAATATATATCATCCTTGAAAATTGTACCATTGTTATAAAGAGTGGTGAAAATAAGTTGAAGAGACTGCACTGATCCCTCAGTTGTTGAACTTCTACAGATAAATAATTGTTTTGATTCAGTGATTGTAGGAGAATAGATCTTATTGAATAATCATGAATAAGTTACGTCGTCATGGAGAATGTTTCAATATGCCATTGTGGGATCTAGAGGACAGATACGGCTACCTGTTACCGTGGTTCCTCAAATTGATTGGATGTAAGTTTTATATATATTAATGTCTTTTTTATGACATTTAGGTTTCCTGTCAACAATCAAGTTTTACATGCCACCTTTTTCTAAACTTTATTTTGACTGTTTTTCAGATACTCCGGAGACTTTACTGCCAGAACTCCCAATAACTCCAGATATTTCTATTGTATGTGAGAAATGCAAGGAACACATTGACCTGCCATCTCTTAGGGATCACAGAATTTATCATGAAAACCTGTCAATTCTTAAGTACAATGGCAGTGCCAAACCACCCACTACAGATGCCTTACTGCGTCGTAGAAATGCAATCTTAAGAAAACTGAAATCGACAGCAACAGCTGATAAACCACTGGATCCGAAATCTATACAAAAAGTAAATGATGCTTATGAATATCTAAAATCAGAAATTGACGGAAGTTTTGGAGAATTTCGTCACATTGATGAAGAGGTGAGCACAGCAGTGAAAGGTGTTGCATTAAACTGCAGTCCTGCTTGTGTGACAGCTGTTGGAATCTGCTCCACAAGAAATGAACGATGGAAAAGCTACATGGAAGATGCTCACGTGTACCAAGACTTTTTTGGAGAGGATCGTAACAAATGCTACCTGGCATTATTTGATGGCCACCATGGACGCTTTGCTGCTGAAATTGCAGCGGCAGAGTTGCATCATCTCCTTCTGTATGAAATGGCAAAGTTTGATCCTCGAACAAAACCTCTGCCACACAATATCAGTGATAACCAGGATATGTTTCAGTTTCAGTTTGAACGACCTGAAACAAAGGAGAGTGAGAGAGTCCTACTGCATGAGGAAAGTGTCAATATCGTTCAACAAATTATTAATTTATGCGAGGACAAGTATGATGAAATTGTCAAAGACTTGTCTTCGTCATTAGATCAAAAGGAAAAGGCCCACAGTGAGGAAACTCCAAAGTCAGATGACGATAAAAGCTCCAGCAAAGACCTTATTGAAAAAACACCACGAAAGAAAAAGAAAGAAAAACCGGTATTTACACTAAAGATGGAGGATGCCCTAAAGAAAACGTACTATCTTATAGATATCTTATTGTCTTATGGAAAAGATGAATGTTCTCGTGTTCGCTGGAGTGGAAGTTCTGCAGTGACTTTAGTCATTCACAATACTGACAATTCCAGTGTCATGGACCGAACAATCTCACCTGTACCAGAGGAGGAGGAAGCAACAAGCGCAAAGAATGGCGGTGATGAGGAGAAAGAAGATTCTAAAGAGGAGAGTGGAGGATTAGACCCCCCAAGGGAGCTGGGAATGATCTACCTTGCTAATGCAGGTGAATGTTATAAAATTTTTAAAAAAAAGGATAATATTATGACACATTGTTTAAATCTTATCCTCATTCTATTACTTTATAGTTTTTGGCCTACAGTCACCATGAGGAAATAAGGTTGATAAACATTGTTCAGCATCAATTGTTTGGTACTTATGATGTACAAACCATGAGGATCATTGTCATGCCCTGGTCTTCTCCATCTTTATATTAAGTTAAGACTGGTCATTACTGAAAGGGTACAAGTCTAATATTGCTTAGCAATGGTGTATACATATAGTAAGCAATTTCCAGATTTGATCCTAAGTGTGAGATCCTGTATTCTCTGTTAAGTTTTTAACATTGGAAGCAATTAGATCAAAGGCAGTTGAATAAGTTCTCCATTCTTGTCTTCAGGTAATGTGCGAGCTGTGTTAGTGAGAGGAAACAAGCCCTACACCCTAACAAAGGACCACTCGCCAAACAACCCTAAGGAGAAGGAACGAATCATCAAAGCAGGTAAATTAGGATTTGTCATAGTGTTATACAGACGATGTATTAAAGGGACGTGTTGATTAAGGGGTCAATTTTCTCTTAATCACTTTAAAAATCTGGAGTAATTATTCCACAAGTCAGGAGCTTCATAATCATTTAGCTGCAATTTTGCAGGATTGAAAAATAACCAAAACAGTGGGTTTTTTCCCCAACGCAGGTTGATAGCGCTTCATACTGGTCATTTGTTTCATGAAGTCTCACTAAGTAGTCATCGAAATATCATACTTTCTTCTGGTTATGTTAAAAAACTCTGCCAAACAGGTGTTTTTAAAAATGTTCTTGTACTTATAATCACTTGTAGTCAAAGAAAGCTACTTGTTTTTGTGTTTTTTTCAATTAATTGATTAATGATAACTGATGTTTGCGGAGTGATTGTATTTTTTATCTTGAAATTAAAATTGATCATATAGAATTGAAAACTCTCCCTTTGTAAAACATGTACATATCAAACCCTTTATACATACCTTTCTTATGTATCTTTCTTGTGGTGCATTTAACAGTGATGATCGTGAGTGTAATGAGATAGTTGTAAGATTGATTTTTCTACCACCAGGGGGAGACATAAGTGAGAGCACCAAAGAGATGAGGGTCAATGGAGTGCTTGGTGCAACCCGAGGTTTTGGTAACCATGGTGACGTCAGACTGAAGCGCTGTGTTTTGGTGGATCCCCATACAATTGCAGTGCCTGTGGATCAGTATGCTCAGTTCCTCATTCTTGCTTCACATGGTGTGTGGGAGGTGTTCACGGAACAAGAGGCTGCTTCTCTCCTCTTAAAGGTGAAGGTCATTGTGAGAGTGGATAAAGGTCAAAGGGATGACCTATAGCCATCGCGTTTTGTTCCTCATTGTGCACTGTGCATAAACTGTCCATACAAATGACTTCTTCTCAATAACCAAAAGGCTGAGGGTGCTGATATTGGGTTTATGGCATGCGTGGTTGAAAGGTTACCGATTTTGTTCATGTAATTGACCTTGTCCCTCTTTAAAGGTCACATGTTTTATAATCTTCTAATGACTTCTCAATAATAAAATGTTCCAAGCTGCTAATAATGGTTCTTTTACATAATTTAATGAAGTTACACCAAATTAATTAAAATGATTTACCTTGACCTACTTTCAAGATCTTTTAGGTCAAATGAGTCGAGCAATTTAGCCTTATTTCACCTCCTTCATATATAGGTCTTTATAGTCAGATGATCCTTAAGACCCTTGGGCCTCTTGTCTAAGAGAATAGTATGCTTTTAAAATCCAAGAATGGTTTCCAACTTTCAGGAATTTCTTGAGATAGTTGCAATGCAATAAACATTACTACAACCAATGGCTAGATAAACTCTTCTGATCATTTGTTCATTAATGGATTAATGGCCACTATTGCGGCCTTTCCATCTTTCAGGGGACATGAGTCTTCAAATATCAACCCTATGTTTAATTTTGGTGATAAAACTTGTCTAAAACTTCAAAAAAAATCTCTCAAAATTGATTTGTATGTTTTGGAGTTTTTTTTCTTTCTTTTTTTTTTGTGTTGTTGATTATTTTAATATTGCCTGCATAAAGAATTTATAATAATATTTGAATGTGAATTATTCTAGAATTAATTGATTGAAACTTATTTCTATTATTACAGTTGCTGCCATCCAACTTTATCCCTGCTCCAAGCACAGTCAGCTCCACTATTAAGCCTCTATTAGAGCCCACCAAGTCTAAAACACAAGATGGCACAGATCCAAGCCAGAGAAGAGTCTCCTTCTCCCAGTTTGACAGACATTCTTCCCCTTCCCAGGGGTCAAGGGAGGAAGAGATCGAAGTCAAGGTTGAAGTTGAAGTTGAGGTCAATGTTGAACCCCAGACGCCATTTGACGATGAACCACAACTTATAGCTCCAAAGCGAGAAAAAATGAAAAGTGCTGGATCCATAATATCAGAAAAGTCGGAAGAATCTGATAAAACACATAAATCAAAAAAATCTGAAAAGTCTTCAAGATCAATGTCTGCGAAGTCTGTGAGATCAGTCAAATCTGATAAAAATGGCAAGAGTAAGCTTATTTACTACGAAGACGACATGTTGCCGGAGATTGGAAGTCATGTGATGCATTCTGATGATGAGGATTCTGGAAACGATGCAGACATTGAAACAGTCACAGACATTTTATCTATCCCAGCATTTTCTAGATTGTCAAGTTATGGTAGAACCATGAGCAGAGAACACATCCAGAGAGAATTTGCCAAAACAATGGCAGAGCATCTAATACAGGCAGCTCTGCTTGCTGGGGCCAAGGATAATATCACTGTTACAGTTGTACTGTTGGCAGGATGTGGATTGTAAAGGGGGATAACTCTGTTGTGATATTTTCACATAACACTGTGTGCCTTTTCCTTTTAAAAGGAAGTAACAATAGAATTGGGTTAATCAAAGGTACAAATACATGATCAGGAATTCTTGATTTTCAGCTTCCTACTTTGCACATGTAATGTTTATTTGCTGGGTTTAAGCAGCTGAGGTCATTTTCAGGCAGGTTCCCCTAGTAGTAGCTGTATGGTGGCTACCTCACTGAACAACATGCAGGAGGCCTGCCACATGCTATTAAAAACAATAAGGCTATCAAATTGTCTAACAACCACAGCAAGACAGGACCAAATATGTTATCTTTAAGTTTCCTAAGAAACACAAACTGCCCCAGGTAGGATCAGACCACACACCTCAGATCTTCACCTGAGAAACACAAACTACCCCAGGTAGGGATCAAACCATGCACCTCAGATTATCACCCATGAGGTTGCAACTTTAAAGATCAGGTTGGTGAACAAAATAAACCTGAAAATAGGATTGAAAGAAAAGTTAATATTCAGCTTCTGACTGCAGACCACTACAATACCATCAGCAAGTCTATATCTGAACAGATCTTTGAAACTACGTAAAAATGCCATTCAGATACATAACCATTTCTTGTTCCAGTTGTGACCATCATACTGTAAAATGCTTACATTTATAATCAAAGTCCGAAGAATCAATTATACACAAACACCAAAGCTCAAATTAGGGACTGATTATTTGAAAAAATTAGATATATGTAATAATGTAGTGATATTTTTCCTCATCTTAGATCAACAGGGGCGGGCATATCAAAAGGCATGGGCTTATAGGGGGATTGATATGTTGTGATCTGGATACTCTTGTTCCACGGGGATAGTTATGAAAATGGATTGCTGAATTTTTGTGCTTTTTACATCTATTGGAAGATTTTTTAACCAACATTTACATTTACGAGTCTAAATTAGGTTTTTGACAATCTGAATTTGGTATTCACTGCTGTTGAATAATTATAAAGTATTATCATTAACGCAAGAAAAATATATTTAAAAGTCAATATAATGCCAGGAAATTCCAAAAAGTTTCATAGAACCCTGTTTCTCATCCTGTAAGGATACATGGGTTATATATTGATGTATGTGTTTGATATATTAAAGGATAAGTCACCTGTAAGTATATCTAACAGTTACAAGTATATTAAAGGATGTCACCTATAGGTGTGTATCTAACAGTTACAGGTATATTAAAGGATGTCACCTATAGGTGTGTATCTAACAGGTATATTAAAGGATGTCACCTATAGGTGTGTATCTAACAGTTACAGGTATATTAAAGGATGTCACCTATAGGTGTGTAGTTAACAGTTACAGGTATATTAAAGGATGTCACCTATAGGTGTGTATCTAACAGTTACAGGTATATTAAAGGATGTCACCTATAGGTGTGTAGTTAACAGTTACAGGTATATTAAAGGATGTCACCTATAGGTGTGTATCTAACAGGTATATTAAAGGATGTCACCTATAGGTGTGTATCTAACAGTTACAGGTATATTAAAGGATGTCACCTATAGGTGTGTATCTAACAGGTATATTAAAGGATGTCACGTATAAGTGTGTATCTAACAGTTACAGGTATATTAAAGGATGTCACCTATAGGTGTGTATCTAACAGGTATATTAAAGGATGTCACCTATAGGTGTGTATCTAACAGTTACAGGTATATTAAAGGATGTCACCTATAGGTGTGTATCTAACAGGTATATTAAAGGATGTCACCTATAGGTGTGTATCTAACAGTTACAAGTATATTAAAGGATGTCACCTATAGGTGTGTATTTAACAGTTACAAGTATATTAAAGGATGTCACCTATAGGTGTGTATCTAACAGTTACAGGTATATTAAAGGATGTCACCTATAGGTGTGTATCTAACAGGTATATTAAAGGATGTCACCTATAGGTGTGTATCTAACAGTTACAGGTATATTAAAGGATGTCACCTATAGGTGTGTATCTAACAGTTACAGGTATATTAAAGGATGTCACCTATAGGTGTGTAAAGGATGTCACCTATATAACAGGTATATTAAAGGATGTCACCTATAGGTGTGTATCTAACAGTTACAGGTATATTAAAGGATGTCACCTATAGGTGTGTAACAGTTACAAGTATATTAAAGGATGTCACAGGTGTGTATCTAACAGTTACAGGTATATTAAAGGATGTCACCTATAGGTGTGTATCTAACAGTTACAGGTATATTAAAGGATGTCACCTATAGGTGTGTATCTAACAGTATATTACAGGATGTCACGTATAAGTGTGTATCTAACATACAGGTATATTAAAGGATGTCACCTATAGGTGTGTATCTAACAGGTATATTAAAGGATGTCACCTATAGGTGTGTATCTAACAGTTACAGGTATATTAAAGGATGTCACCTATAGGTGTGTATCTAACAGGTATATTAAAGGATGTCACCTATAACAGTTGTATATTAAAGGATGTCACCTATAGGTGTGTATCTAACAGTTACAGGTATATTAAAGGATGTCACCTATAGGTGTGTATCTAACAGTTACAGGTGTGAATCTAACAGTTACAGGTATATTAAAGGATGTCACCTATAGGTGTGTATCTAACAGTTACAGGTATATTAAAGGATGTCACCTATAGGTGTGTATCTAACAGTTACAGGTATATTAAAGGATGTCACCTATAGGTGTGTATCTAACAGGTATATTAAAGGATGTCACCTATAGGTGTGTATCTAACAGGTATATTAAAGGATGTCACCTATAGGTGTGTATCTAACAGTTACAAGTATATTAAAGGATGTCACCTATAGGTGTGTATTTAACAGTTACAAGTATATTAAAGGATGTCACCTATAGGTGTGTATCTAACAGTTACAGGTATATTAAAGGATGTCACCTATAGGTGTGTATCTAACAGGTATATTAAAGGATGTCACCTATAGGTGTGTATCTAACAGTTACAGGTATATTAAAGGATGTCACCTATAGGTGTGTATCTAACAGGTATATTAAAGGATGTCACCTATAGGTGTGTATCTAACAGTTACAGGTATATTAAAGGATGTCACCTATAGGTGTGTATCTAACAGGTATATTAAAGGATGTCACCTATAGGTGTGTATCTAACAGGTATATTAAAGGATGTCACCTATAGGTGTGTATCTAACAGTTACAGGTATATTAAAGGATGTCACCTATAGGTGTGTATCTAACAGGTATATTAAAGGATGTCACCTATAGGTGTGTATCTAACAGTTACAGGTATATTAAAGGATGTCACCTATAGGTGTGTATCTAACAGGTATATTAAAGGATGTCACCTATAGGTGTGTATCTAACAGTTACAGGTATATTAAAGGATGTCACCTATAGGTGTGTATTTAACAGTTACAGGTATATTAAAGGATATCACTTATAGGTGTGTATCTAACAGTTACAGGTATATTAAAGGATATCACTTATAGGTGTGTATCTAACAGTTACAGGTATATTAAAGGATATCACTTATAGGTGTGTATCTAACAGTTACAGGTATATTAAAGGATGTCACTTATAGGTGTGTAGTTAACAGTTACAGGTATATTAAAGGATGTCACCTATAGGTGTGTAGTTAACAGTTACAGGTATATTAAAGGATGTCACCTATAGGTGTGTAGTTAACAGTTACAGGTATATTAAAGGATGTCACCTATAGGTGTGTAGTTAACAGTTACAGGTATATTAAAGGATGTCACCTTTAGGTGTGTATTTAACAGTTACAGGCATATTAAAGGATGTCACCTATAGGTGTGTATCTAACAGTTACAGGCATATTAAAGGATATCACTTATAGGTGTGTATCTAACAGTTACAGGTATATTAAAGGATATCACTTATAGGTGTGTATCTAACAGTTACAGGCATATTAAAGGATGTCACCTATAGGTGTGTATTTAACAGTTACAGGTATATTAAAGGATATCACCTATAGGTGTGTATCTAACAGTTACAGGTATATTATCTATAATGAATACAATAGATATATGATTTATTCAGTATGTGCTTTTTATTATGATAAGTTTTGATTGCAGTGCCAAAGTCCTAAATTTGCATACAACTGAATCTATAAACCCTATAATTTATATTTTAAATCATGTCTTAAAAAATTTGATTATGTAAAGGGGGAATAACTCACTAAGTAGTGAAATATTCCAAAGTTTAAAAAAAAGTATTATTGTATTTTTATCCATTTAGTGATGACTTGCAGCTGTGATGTATTTTTTCAATAAATTATATTTCTGTAATGAACTTTATAAGTGTGTGCCTTGACTTACAATATATGGACGTTTGTTACTTTAGTCCTTTAATTTTTGTCTAGAAAAACGATGCTCTATAGCTATACAATGTTATACAACACGAGTTTACGATTGTTAGCTCAAACTCGAGTAAAGTGAAGAGCGAGCATAATCATAAGTTCTGGTACTTCATCAGTCGTGTCTAAAATTTGACACCAATAATTCGAACTCACTCAAATTGAACACTTAAATAACTTGAGGTTTCCTACAGTCCTGCCGACTTTGAGATGACAAGGTTGGATTACATATATTTACATGTTAAGTAAGCCGAGAAAAACACATAGAAGGTCAATAAGCTTTATAATTGTTAATTTTTTTAAATTATTCATCTTCATGTTTAAGTAGAAATATTTGCCTGTTGTGTATTTAGAATTTTAACTGGTTAAAGGTGTTCTGTGTAATTGGTATATGCCTTAATGTTGATCTTTTATATTTAAGATACAATGGAATATGGATTGACAGACAGTGACTTGCACATTGATAAGTTGTTTTACAATTCCCAGCCTTGTTATCATGATATGCTTTATGTCAGAATTCACTTTTGAAAAATCAAGGCCCACCTTCATGCAACCAATTATGCAGAAACATAAATTAAAACCAAATTAAACCATCGTTAAAAAACATGTCACACAGAAATATCTATAATTGAAAACAGTATTCAACTTTGTGTTCCTGAAAGTCATCAAAACACTAATTGAACAATGAATAATGTATCACTGAAGAAGTGATGTAATTACTGGGAGACTGATTCAGTGACAGTTTGTTTACGTCACATGGTATATCAGTTTCTATGGTGATGACCGATTTCATTTCATGTAGTTTGATGTTCACAGAATTTTGCTATTTTTTTATGTGCCAATTTGTCATTATAGTCAATATATATTAATTGTGATACATCCAGTGTTTATTTCATATCATAAATGATTTATTTATAATTTCAACATTATCCATTTTGTACGTGATCTATTAAAAGTTAAAATATGGTATACATTTGCTATATATATCTGATGTAGGATTCTGAATTAAGGTGTAGCTAGACTTTTTTTTTATTTTTTTTGTCTTTCTTTTTTTCCAAATTGTAATTTTCAAGTTGTATATTTCATAAATGTTATTTTTACCTGAGTAGAAAGACAAAAAAATCCTCTTTAGATGAGAAAGTCCAGGGTGATAGTTTTAATTTGTATTTTATATTTGTTTGTTATGTCAGGGTGATAATTGTTATATAAAAGTTGACAAACAATTTATTGTCAATGATCATTGTTATGTAAAAGTTGACTAACAATTTATTGTCAGTGATCATGTTTATATAAAAGTTGACTAACAATTTATTGTCAGTGATCATTGTTATGTAAAAGTTGACTAACAATTTATTGTCAGTGATCATTTTTGTATAAAAGTTGACAAACAATTTATTGTCATGGTGATAATTGTTATATAAAATGTTGACTAACAATTTATTGTCATGGTGATCATTGTTATATAAAAGTTGACAAACAGTTTATTGTCAGGGTGTTTGTTGTTATATAAAAGGTTGACTTACTAAATGTGATAATTTCAAAACTTTGTTCACTTCTATTTGTATGAGGACCATGTTTTTAGAAGTTTTAAACTTTTAAAATGTATATCATATCAATACATTTCTATGATTATATAATATGAGACTGTCTCGTTGTTTCAATACATCGTTTAAATCAAAGTTCTCTTGTATCATAAATCTTACCACATGTCTTCTTTCATTATGTGTCGTAAATGAACTTTTTTATTTAAAAGACTGCCTATTTTAGACTAGATGAGAGTGTTTTTACAAAATTTTGCTAAGATCATTCACAAGGATAGGGCCTGGAGGAGGACACTGATGTTCATCTCCGAAACACTTCTCCTTATATACAAATTTACACAGAATATTGACCCAATTCAGCGTGGAGCTTCCCTGAAGGTATTTGAAGTTGTATGTATGTAAATGAATTAGGGAGCAAGCCCTTAAAATTGAAAATATACACTAGAATTCATAAACAATCGAAAATGCATGGGTTAGGCCAACGATTTATATTCTAATGATGTCCATCCTCAGTTAGGAGTGGAATGATATTGAATTTTGACATGGTGCATCCCCTGGAGACGGTAATTCATATTATTGTGACAGCAAACCTCAGTATAGAGATTTTGATTAGCAAAGTTATTTTGGAAGGAAATTTAATCATCCCTGGAACTATGTTCAGGTATAAATGAAGAGTTTGTATTTCTGAGGAAACAGAAATCATTGGCTGAGTTAGTTAACTGGGGAAATTTAAGGGGGAAATGTTGGTAATTCTTATCCAGATGTAATTGCTAAATAAAAATGGTAAAAAGATGTATGCATATGGTCATGAATTAATTTTTTTTTCAAATATTGAAATACTTGCTTCAAATTTAGAATTTTATGATATTGATAACAAAACAAACAGGGTTGATAAATAAGATGAAGTTCTATCAGATTTATATATGTCTATTTTATTTTATTTTCAAGTACAAAGAGGAAATTTATTACAAAAGTAATTTCAAAATAAAATGAACATTTGATATATACATCAATATCCTAGATATTGAACCATATTCACAATTTAGAAAGCTAAGAGAAGTAATCTTTTTACACTAAAAATATTTTATTTACATTTTAAAATATCTAAAACTAAAAATTAAAACCACTCAATCTAATGTCATAACTTATCACAGTTTGGCTCTGACAGCTTGGACGGAATACACAGGTAATGTAAACTTTGTCCGTAAACACATAAAGATAGCACATGATCATAACATACAAAGGACGATACACGTATGTACAACGTCGACAGCAATACAAGAGATTTTCATTTAAAATTGAATTCAATATTTAAAAAAACATATTTCAATATCTAACCACTATTTTCAGTGAAATATGTTAAAAGAGATAATTAAACGAGAATGATTAACAGAATTCAATCTGTTTTTCATTATTATTATCAGAAATGTTCACCTTAATAAAAAGGACAAAATTATTCTGAAGACAATCAGTGATATATAAAGCAAATTATACAGCAGCTGAACACTAAATATTGTAACAACAATGAACAGGAGACTTACATAACAAATGTGTGAGAGTGCCATTGTCAAATAAATCATTGGAAAATCACATATTACTTCAGAGTTTGTCTAAGATGGAAGAAGATCGTCATAAGACATTTTTATTAACATTTTTTAGAAAGAAATTTACAAAAAAGATTAAAGAAAAAAATATAATACTATGATGATTGTGAATATTTTAAGATGAGCACTTGTAAGGTAAAATTTTAACTTCCTAGCTGGGTTGTTATGGTTTTAAGATCTTATAGTTTTTCATTAAAAGTTGCTAAAAGTATATTTTCAATGATAGTACAGATATATTAAAATAGGAAGCACATCTCAATAAATCAATATTTTCCAACGAATGAAATTAAAAGTGCATTGAAAAATCTTGTGCAGGACCTAACTGACTTTCAAATATACATCACTTTATTTACTTACTTATCTAATGCTGTTAGCATACAATTTTTGATTTCTTAAAACACCACTTAAATACCACTTAATGAAACAAACACAGAAGATAATGATAACCAATTATTCTTACTGCTAGCTTTTGTCTCTAAGCTGACTATGCAGTTATTACTTGTACAAGAAACATTAAATTCAACCTGAATATTCAATAGTTTCAATTAATGCTTTTCAGAAAAATACTGAATATTTTTTCAAAGTATTCATACTAGAAACATCTGATTTTTCAAAAAACATACATATACATTTACTAATTATAGAAAACATTCTTGAATCTTGCATAATTTAATGTGCATATACTTTTTGTAAATATATTTGCATATCTACAATGATACACAGAATACTGCAGATGTCACACCTGAATTTTCCAGAAACAGTTTAATACTTTCAGCTACTAAAGCTTAACCAACATAACATGTTAAATGTTACAATTTGCATATCAATTTTGCATAACATTCTTGACAAGTTAAATACTGATAATGAGTCAAAATAAATCACACAAAGTAATACCCTTAAATTACATAACAGAAACCAAAATCCTTAAATTTTTCAATGTGACTGAATAAATTATAAACAGCCTTTTCATCTGAATTTTTTTTTAATCTTTGATAAATATTGCTTTATATTGCAATACATATTTCATTCTTAAGAGTACAAAATATTTATATGTTCTGTTTTGTCTCTATAGATTAATATACATTTAGTAATGATACATGTACATGTATTTAATATTACATGATATTTTATATCTAAAAATATCGTTTACAACTTAAGGCTATATGCTACCTTCACATATCAATCATGGTATTTATCTCCTTAAATAGCCTGAGTATATAAGAATAATGAAAATTGCCACAAGTTCATTTTAAAAAAATACACATTCTTAAAATCTACTAGGAGACATACAGCTTTTGAATAAGCTTTTATCCTATTGTGTCTTCAATTCTGTGGGAACTCTCCTGTTATAAATTTACTTTATTCTCTTCAACAATTCAAAAGAGTTTTTTTTTTTCAATTTCTTGTTTTGATCATCATATACTGTCACCTCATGTATATTCTTCTAATGTCTGAACTGATATTTTTCTTTGCTTTGAGGATAAAAATTGTTTAAAATTTACATATGACTATTAAAAGTCTAGTGAACTTTGACCTGGATGAGATCTCATCATGATGACCTATGACCTAGATGGCGAGTGGATGCTTTCCTTCCAAGACTTGATTGGCAAGTACATCATCAAGGACACCTCGGAAGGATTCCACACTGACATGGCCCTTGGGATGCTGCTTGGCAGCTGTCTGGTACAATGTCTCCACATTTTCTCCAGTCATCCTTACCCCAACATTAGTAAAGATTTCTTTAATCTGAAAGTTTCAAAATAAAAAGTTAAAATGCATTGTATTTAGAATTACAATATATGTATATTAGGAAAATTCTATGATACATTAGTTTTATTGTCATGATATAATTTCAAAAATTGAAAAAAAAAATAATAAAAATGGAAATTATTTGCAAAAATTACAGTAACTTTGCTCTTTAATCATACAACAAGAATCTGGAATTAAATCTCACCTCCTCCAGGGTCCTGGGCAGTAAGAAGTCTTTCTCAAACACACCTCTACGGCTAAAAATGGAGGGGTTCATCAAACCATATGCATCTGACTCATCTCCGTAGTTCTTCCGGTCATCAACTCGTCTGATCCTAGGACCTGGAAGGTCTGTTCGGATTGTTGGGACACCATATCTTCTAAAGTCTGAAAAATTCAGATATGAAATGTATTAATCTTTGTTAATCTAACTGCATTGTTTTTTCTTTGATTCGTAATCATATACACATTTGTAAAAACACCCATCTTTATATTCAGAGGAAGAGAATGGGTGAACTACGTTACAGCTTAATAATTAAAATTAAAATTTCTTACAAGATTGAACATGGTAGAAAGAAATATATTATTTATGAGAGCAGTACCTCTGGTATCCACACCGCCAATGACTGCGTTGATCATACTAGAGCTAGTGCGATGATTGCCGATGGCCATGTCAATCTGTTTCTGTAGTCGACGTGGGGTACTTTCTGCACTCTGTGGGGTCTTTTGGTGGAGGTCCTCTTGAGAAACCTGTACTTCACTTCCTGAGTGAGGGGTCCTTACATGGGGGCTGGGGGCAGACTTTGGGGTCACCGGGGTTTTAGGAGTCTCTGAAAATTAGACAAGTTATTGCTGATGTGGATATGCTAATACTCTTCATGACAACAATATTACTGAGGTGACAGACATAAGTAGCATACCGATTGTAATACATGGTGACAAAACGATGTATATTTACTAATTCATTCAAACTTAATAATTTGATGTTGTTTTCTGTCATATGATCGGTAGCCCTTCCAATCTCATGTAAATTGTGCATTTCTGCTATTTGTGCAGTTAAAATCATTTGAGCAAATTTAGTGTTGCTTTCACTTGTATACAAAACAACTACCTTTTTATTTCTAAATGAATACCTGTTTTGGGCCCAAAACCAGATGGCATTTTGTCTTTCCAGTTGAGGAAGTTAGAAAACTCTAGGTAGTCTATACAGCCATCCCGGTTAGTGTCACAATAGTCCATCAGTTGTTCAAGCAATTCTGGTTCTACAGGTAAATGATATTGGGCACAAGCTTCTCGTAGACCTTGCATTTTGATCTTACCACTTCCATCCTACAATAAGTATTGTTAGAGGTCAGTCCAATTCTTGGAGTTAAAAATTGTAGAGGAGAGGGGTATTTTTTTAAGAATGAAATTCAGTTTTTAAATGGCAAATTTTACAATTGTATCATGTTCAAAGATTTACAGGCTCGGATCATGCCAAATTGTACTTAACATGACGCATATTGCTGACAAATCATCTTTAATAGCCGCATTTCAGGTGCCATAAATTCCATCAAATGTGAGTATATCCTCAAACAGCAGGTTCATATCATATCAAGTGGTAATCAAATAAAGACTAAAATGCATTATTCATTGAGAATGAGTGAAAAGCTTTGGAGTGCTATCCTGTGGGTATTCTAACCAAACTTACCTTGTCATAATGTCTGAAGGCTGCCAGGAGGTCGTGGAAGTTGTGATAGTTAGCCTTCTTCAGATGTTGTCTGATAGCGGCCATTACACCCCTTTGTCGGTCCTTACCCCGCAAGTATGTCCCTGGGGGTCGCATGTGTAGTAGGTCTCCTGCTCCATATTCATCTGGTTTGACCAGAATCCCGAAGGTGTGATCAGGAGCAACCTTCAGAGTGTCCTTAATCCTGTGTATTTACAAATAAGTTATAATATTTACATGTACTTTAGTTATCATTGAAAAGGAATACTGGAATTTTAATATATAAATCATCACTGGTAATGGATATAGGAATTTTTATATGTTAATCATCTTTAAATAATTCCGGAATGGGAAATCTATAATTTTACTGTAAATGATAATACCATATTTATCTAGCTATAATTCCATGTCTGGTAATAAGCCCATCTATACCATCTGCCGTTCTGTGAAATTATCGAAGAACAAATGTCATATTTCATTGTTCTAAAAGCCCATTCCCTGGTTATGATATAAAGATCTTTCCTTAATAACGAGTGAAGAATATGACTCAGTATTGAGGACAGTAATCTGTTTGTGTTTGGTGACCTCTTTGTAAAGGTGGCCTGTTTTAACAAGTACTTTCAGGATGACCTCAAAATACATGTACATGTAATGTTTCATGTCATCATTGTAAAATGATGACCTATATGTTTATAAGAGAAGCTTGTAGGTGACCTATATGTGAACTGAAGACCTCTGTGTTTAGATAAGTAAAGCTTGCAGGTGACCTGTATGTGAACTGAAGACCTCTGTGTTCAGATATGTGAAGCTTGTAGGTGACCTATACATGAACTGTAGACCTCTGTGTTCAGATATGTGAAGCTGTAGGTGACCTATACATGAACTGTAGACCTTTGTGTTCAGATATGTGAAGCTGTAGGTGACCTATATGTGAATTGAAGACCTCTGTGTTAAGATATGTGAAGCTTGTAGGTGACCTATATGTGAACTGAAGACCTCTGTGTTTAGGTATGTGAAGCTTGTATGTGCCTATATGTGTGAACGGTTGTCCTCTACATAAAATGACCTTATTGCACTGATAGCCTCCATAATGCCACCATAGATAAGAAGTTTGAAATCAACTCAAGTTTTTTGCAGCATGATGTAGACAATGTACATGGATATATTCCAGTCAGAGCCTGTTGACCTTTCTTTGGAATCAAGGAGTATCACACAATAATTTTTAAAGATTCTATTTCCACTTATTGTTATCATCACACTTTTAATCCAGATGCCAAGGTACATGGCAGGAAACTGGAGCACCACTTAGCAAAAACTCATGTGAACAGCAAGGTTACCCTATACAGTTATACATCTGATCAAAGAACCCGGACAATATGGCTGCCACTGTCATGCTGAAAAGCAGGTGGGTTATCCACTCAGGGCCAATAACAAACTATTCCAAATTCAAGCACATATGAAGACCTTTAAATTATTTTTACCTGACGAAATTGAATTGAGAATTCAATGAAAACTTAAAACATATTGTATATGTGAAGACATCATGAGCAATTTTCTTTAACCTATTTTTTCTAGTGCAGTGCCCTGTTGTTGACATAAGAAAAATTCAGTAATTTTCTTACGGATCATGAACTGTTCCTAGCTGGGGCTGTGTTCTTTCCCTGAAGTCATCAACACGTTTTGATACAATTTTGGTAGCTTTTTCCTGCTGGGCCTGTGACATCCATCGAAGAGTCTGGCGGACTTTCCTTCCATCATTACTGTGAGGAGTGGGAATTCCAAACTTTGATTTTTCGTTGAACCCAGTAGAAGTATAGTTTCTGTGGTGCTGTTCTCCAACATCATAGTCACTGTGAGTGTCTCTGTATAGTTCATGTCCTACAGCTGATTCCTTCTCTACTTCTGCATAGGTTTTATTAGGATTTATAAGACCACCCGCACCAATATCTAAAAAAGAAAAGAAAAAAATTCATTTTATAACTATCAACGCAAATTGTCCTGAATAACTGATCAAGCTGGTCAGGCCATGGTCATTTAAGTTAAAAATACTTGGCCAAGTAATAAAATGAAATATCCATTGGATAATTTTATGCAAATGCGTAAAAGAAAAGAAAAAAACATGTACTGACAACAATTTATTCCAATTTAAGGTTGCCTATTATTTTCCTCTTGTATTTCCTATTTTAAACATTTTGGTCTCCCTCATTACATCCTCAACTCCTTTCTAATTTCAAAACTACAGCATCACTATAACATTCTACTTGCAAGGTATACTGAAATTATAACTGAAATATATATCAACCATATTATTCCTACAATAAGACCAGCTGATTTCTTACTGTACTGAAAGTGAATCAGATGTGAGTGGTATTATTAAAAAATATGGGCTTATTTTTGGATGAAGTTTATACATGTATTATAAAAAGACAGAATTCGCACCTAATTCTGTTGGAATTCCAAATGTAAATTCATCTTTATTCAGACCCTTTGGCAAACATGGAATTTGGTTGTGAGAAGTTCCTAGAGGAGCTTTCAGATGACTGGCATAGATAAGTTCTTTCCTGTCCAACTTTTTCTGCTGAAACAATGTTTTTGGATCAGGATTTGCCAGCTCGCCTGCATTAGCAGATGACTGTGTGTTGATACCATGACACATATCCTTTGCCCATTGACGATGAGGATCGGATGCTTTTCCATAGAAAACTCTCATCTGGCCAGCATCTGGTCTAAGTGTGGCCCTGAATCGTCGAATAACATCCGCAGATGGGGGCTGACAATATAAACATTTAATTATATATGCATTCAAGAAATATATTCATCACATCAGTCAATTCATCTTTACTGAAATTTAAAATTTATTTGTCTAAGTAAGGTTCATGAAACAAAAGAAATACATTATATGACAGTAAAAAGTATTATTGGTATATGCCTTTGCTTCATGTAACTATCTAAGGAATCATATTAAATGAAATAATCATAATATTTTACTCCACCAAAATGTGTATGTGTACTCACCCTATTATCTTTAGGTTTCAAACATGATAATGCTGTATCACCTGTTGCTGTTAGTTTTCCTGCCTGAAAAATGACAGGTTATGACATTCACTAAACAAACATTTAATTATTCTGGGTGTTTCAGCGACGTTTTAGCAATGCTACACTATGTTTTTTTTTCAATATAACTACATGTAATACAAAAATCCCTGAAGATCTTTATTCATACCCTTAGATCGGAAAGGCACGGAAGTATGAGACATTGTATTGATTGAGAAAAAAACAACCTTAAGTGACGGCTTACGTTCACTCTGTATCTGAAACTGTCTGCGTTTGCATCTTTGCTAACATGTAAAACAATCTTCACAGACACCAACCCCTCCGGCATTTTCCGGACAGTAACGCTTTACATCAAGTCTTAACAAACACATCAAATATTTCCATATTCATTATAATCACACAATCATATTGTCTGCTTACCGGTCTTGTATCTGGTGACCAATCCTTGTATTTACCCGTATAAATACCAGTCGCAGCAATCCCTGGTAATGTTACTGAAGACATGTTTTCGCGTGTACTGCTGTCAAACAAGTTGACACGGATCAATGTTACGATAAATTATGTTTACGCGCTAAAGTCTACAACTAATTCAACTTGCAGTTACTTCTTTTCCATTTATCGAATCAATGAATACTTTCTAAAACTGTCTTCTCTTCCTGAAGGCTGTTTCCCGGCGATAACGCGGGTGAACCCCTTCGAGAAACAGCGGAACCTACAGCTTCTTTACACTTTGTTGATAAAGCCTTAGCAACAGAGGTAAGGTCATCGAAAACCAGCTTCCGGTGTTATTTTCGTATTCAATAAACAACTTTAAAAGCATGATAAAATATATACCTTTGAAAAGTTGAACATATGGAAAAGAGGCACCTGTAAAAAGTCAAAGTTGGCTATCAAGAAATCGTTATTTATGAAAATATTATATACTTTAATTTTCCAAGGGAGGTAATCCTTCTATAACATGGGGTGTTTTGACTGTATCTGAGAAGACGGGAAATAATGTTTCATAGAAACAAACAGTGTGTTATAATTATACTGCGATTTTCAATCAGGAAAAAGGGGGAAAATACAGAATTTTACAGACCAATAAATAGAAACTAGAAGATATTATGTTCAAAACATTTTTGCAATGTGTATAAATAAAAATACTTATCTCTTTGTTTGTTTTTTTAAGGCAATATCATAATCTCCACCAAGAAATTTTTTCACGGAAATATTTATTCAGTCGGACACATCGTAGTAATACTGTGTCATACAACGCTGGTCATTAAACTATTCTGTCTGAAACGATACAAAGAAAGATTGCAACTTCCTGTGTGAAACATATCTTCTATCTAACACATTCTGGCAAATGCGCTAAGACATACATAAAAGAACATAAAAGGCTCAAATAAACGGTAACGTATTGTCAATGCTGGGTCATCGTATATACACGCAATCTCTGTCAAATTCTTTTCCGCACCTCATTATTTCACCCTTAATTTTACTTAACGTTAAAGCTTTAGGGAAGCATGGGTGGTTTCTATGATCTCATTGGCTATAGTTCTATTTTCTTGGTTGATATTGAGGCGAGGAGTGTTAAATGATCGCGAATTGCAATGCCTTCATGAACAGTTTATTTATTTATTTTTATCATTTTTTTAAATTATTGAAAAGTATTGAAACCACAAATGGTCAAACGCAAGTTTGTTGCAAAAGATTGTAATCATTTTACCTGATATGCATCAAATGCTGTTCATAATATAAATTACATTATATGGGAGCAGAAGAGTGATCAGGAAGATAAACAAAATTGACAGAAACCAGAAACAAAAGTCTGGAGTCAACAGTTAGGTAGATATCACTATATGTTGACCATTACATACATAAATTGTTTGGTATCAACAATTAAGTTTTGAGCAAGCTTACAAATACTTTTGTTTTATTTCATATCGAAAGAATGATCATCATGTTAAATTTTTTTTTTTTTTTTTTTAATTTTTTTTTTTTTTTGTGATAACATTGTTCTCAATTTGAGAACGTGAAATTATAAGCTCCTTGGATCAACTACTGTCAGGACGTACGTACACCTTGTACTTGTTAGTACGATGTGAATTACAAATTTTTACTCTGTTAATTCGAACTCGGAAAAACTCGAATACTCCGCCTAACTCGAAGTACTTTGTCGGTCCGGGCAAAACCTATCTTTATCTCAGTAATAAAAGCTCGGAAACCTCGAATTAGGAAAACTTGAAAAACTCTGATAATTCGAAGTGGAATTTTATCCCGGAAATCAAAATCCTACTTTATCCGAAATGTTACGACGGATATGGCAATATACTTGTGTATTATAGATTAAATAGAAGAGAGAGAGAGAGTAGGAGGGAGAGAGAGGGGGGAGTAAATGGTCTAAATTTGTCGACCTCAGTGCAAAATTGACGAATTTAATCATGGACACATTGTGAATTAGATTGACGCATCAAAATGTCGACACATCGTGTATTAGATTGACGCGTCAAAATATCAACACCTTACAGTGGTTACATGTGAACACGTGGTGCATAAAATGTGAACAAGTTTTGTATTACATGTGATGAAATGTGAACAAGTTGTGCATTAGATAACACATTAGAAGATGACCGCATTGTGCATTAGATTGACGCGTCACAATGGGAACATGTCGTGTATTAGATTGTCGCATTAAAATTTGAACATGTTGTGTATTAAATGCTATAAAATATGGACACGTTGTGTATTGCACTGACGCGTTAAAGTGCGTGAAATTGATTTGTATTAGATGTGATTAAATGTGAACAGGTTGTTTATTAAATTAAAAATTCAAAATGCGAGCACGTGTCGGTGTCATGACAATGGTCACATTGAGGATTCACCGTTTTGTGCTCTCATTTACAATGATCACGACTATTGATGTACCAGAATGGCGCGTTAAAAGTGAACACGTTATAGTCCATGCAGACATACTTGAAAAAATAAGAATGACCTATTAAAATGATTGAAACGTGTTTTTCAATACTCGTTAAAAATAAACACAAAAACACACGACTGATACAGTAATAGCAACTTATATGTACAATACCAGAGACGTACATATACGTCTCTGACAATACTGAGGCGTTCAAACGAGTTTACTTTAAATGTTAACACGTCATCAAGTTTGCGAAAGTCTGACGCGATAAAACGCGTGAACATGAAAAGTCAGTCATTATGTTCACACGCCAAGTTGTTCACATGAAACATTTAGTTTTGCATACCGTTGAACATTGAAAGTTCATTTTAACTTCTTTATTAACGAATTTCGCTTTATATTGGTAATTGTGCCCGAATTATTCTAACGGTCTATCGATTTTTTTTTCGTATGTCGGTCTAGAGTCGATGAACTCCGGACCGATATAAAAAGTCGATAGATCGTCAGAATAATTCCTAGGGGCTAACGGGGAAACGGGAATTATAAGCAAAGAGCAGAACATACTGTAATTAACTAAATTCGGCAACATTCATATTACAGACTATTTTGAGCATGATTTAGGTTGGATAAAAGACTGCTAGAAGTACAATAAGTCTATTTAAATTAAGTTTTGATAAACAAATAAGAGAGAGTTAGAATATGTGTTTTTTTTATTAATAAGTAACAGTAGAATATATATCTTGTGAACCTAGGGCTAAGAAGTTTGGGTACTCCGTGTAAAAACCCGTCTCTAATCACTACTGAATTCGTTGTATATAAATGATGAACTGATTAAAATTTTGTTAAAATCTTATGTCCATTACTACGAATGTGCAAATAAAAATGTTAAAGCTGAATGAAATTTCACTGTAGCTCATCGCCGAAAAATACGCATGCCTATAAATAGTGTTCGACATTTCAATGGTTTAACACTATGCAGAACTTAGTAATCTAATTTGCATGTTTTGATACGGTAGACTTACCAGATTTTTAAGTGTCTAGTTACAATTCTAGACGTGGGTATCTATATCAAGCACACGAGGAAAGCCTATGACCTTAACATGAAACATGCATTGAACTCTACATAAAAAGACTTTATCATCGTCAGACAACACAGGAGCTGTTGGTAAGGAGCCCGAGAAATCAATATACGGTAGAACGAGAAAAAAAGAAGCAGAAGAAACATTGACTTCCGACATGACGTCATTTCTATGGGGTGTCTTTTTGCTGCACATGGTAATTGTATTACTACGCATAAATACAATCTTAGAATGTAAATAATTCTGTCCTTTTGAGATGAAAGACGTTGGCAAATATCTTGTTATAATACATTCTGTGTCTCATATGATTGAAGTCTGTTAATTGTTTGATATTAAGGTTGATAATTTTGCACTAATTTTTGCAACGGAAGCGTATCCGATTTGTCATACAGCGGCTGCAACGACAAGAGGGTGTTTCTGCGTATATTTTTGACAGATAGAGGGATTGAGAGGACATTTTTAACCCTCTACATAATTATACGTCACAATTTGAAAGAATACTCTCTTGTCACTTGTGGTAAGGCATAGATAATTTATAACATTTTGAAACAATACAGATATTCCCCCAATGAATGGCACACTTACGATTTGACGTCAATGTAATGGCCGACAGTTTGGTCTTCCTTGTTTACAAAGTTGTCTCGGTTCGTTTGTTATGTGTATTGGTTTTCGCTTAACAGTTGTAATAAAAACGGTGTCGCCATCTATAATTTAAAAGATGTGTGGATTGTAAAGAAAATTATCAGAATTTAATTAAATCGCATCTATGTTAGCCTAATTATGAGAATTTCATTCTGCCCCAATTTCAAAAGACATGCCAGGTTTTCAGCTGACTGTGACTCATCTAAATTATTTTATGTAACTTTCGTGTCTTTGTTTACATTGTTTATTTTGTTTCAGGGTTGAAATGTTTTGAGCATGGTTTAAACATTTGGAATACATGTGAAATATTTTTAATGGTGTCGAGGAAATGTTACAGGCGTATCAAAGTAAATTGATTTTCTTATGTTTGTAAATGTCGTTGGAAACGAGATATAGTTTTATTTATACTGCTAAAGGTACCATCTCAATATTCATTTTCTTACTTCTATAACCCAGAAATGAAATAATTTGGCATCTAAAGACGTTCCATCATAATCATAGCAGTTGTGGGCTTGTAATATAGGTCATTATGTATTTCTTTGCTTACATTAAGATTCGAACCAGGGAACTCTGGCTTAGGTCTAGTCTTACGCTCAGTAGATTGAGCTAAAGAGATAATATGTCTAGCTGATCGCATGTTATTTATTACTTCTACCTCCCAGAAAGAACTTGTTCTCGGGTTACCAGGGACTACAGCAATGTCTGTGGGACAAAGCAAAGTTTTAATCTCGGGTCCCTGCATGTGTGCTTTTGGAAGAGAAGTTACTATTTTTTTCTCCACTAGGATTGGAACCCAGAAATTCTGGCTGACTGGCACTCAGCTGATCAAGATAAAGAAAGTATCTCACTTTTCAGACAGTATGTTGTGGCCAGTGTTTGTTGGCCAATGACATTTCAACACTTACATTACATGTATAGGTAAAGGCATTGATGCATGTTTGAGGTCTGAAAGTACACCACATGTATGTTGTTGATACTTGTGTTTGTTCTCTGTAATCGGGATCCTATCAATTTATAAGGAATGTTTTCAGAGCTGCATCACCTATGATAGTACACGTACATTAAACATTATGCCTGATATAATTCTTCACCTGTATTACTTATAGGTTAAAAGAAATAAAAAAATATATTCTGCCCCAATCAGACATGTACATCTTATCACTAGGCTAAACTGCTCCCAACTCTTATGCTACTTTGCCTCATTTAATGATATCAACTACAATCAAGATCGATGTTCTAAAGTTTCAACTTATCTGTGGCCACACAATTCCCTGTAGGCTACACTTGGTTTGGGAAATGGCTCCAAATTTGTAAGAAAGAAAAATAGAGAAAAAGGTTGCTCTCGGCTCAAACCTTTATCATATATCTTCCAGTACTTATTTTCAGAAAAAGTGAACTTGCTACTATCTGAAGCTGGTAAGACAGAAAAATAAGTGTAATTTTTGAACAGCATCTGGTAAAGAAAAAAGAGTAATGAAAAGAAATCTACTCCTGCTAGGTTGCATTTGTGAACCTTTTGTAGCAATTTGTAGTTTTGTTTTGAAGCAAACAGTCTTACTGCTATCAATATTTGAGCTAATTGACAGTTTATTGGTATTTCTCACAGAGATGATGTAACAAGAATCTAACTACAAGTTAAACATAACAAAGGTACAAAACAAAAATACAAAATTTACTTGTCTTGGCCTAATGACATTAGGAAAAGGGATTCAAACTATCAGATCTACACAATGCTGTATGTGATGCAAGAAAATCCAGACTGTGACATTGCTACACAGAAAAAAAATGACCCAGCCAATCCTTCTTCACCTGACCACTGAACAAATGGAGTATTGCGTTTGTTTCAATACTTCATTCGTTGTAGAGTTTAGCCTCCATTGAATTTGCATCCTTGAAATAGGGGAAGGCTTCCTTATCAGATAGACTTTGTTAAGACAGGCACTTTTTATGCATTATCATCATCTTAATCAATACACAGGTAGCTATAATTTGGTGTACCAGCAGCTGTTACTTTTAAGTTTTTTTGCATCAAGAGTTATATACACTGCTTTGCCTACAAGTGAAAAGCAAAGCCTCTGTTATTATAAAAACATTGCAATTACAATGATAGTTAAGAATTTCTTATTAAATACATAACTATGATAATGTAACTATTCGATTTATTGTGTTGAAGCCTAAAAGTTCACCTGCATCATTATCACCTACAGGCAGCATTAATATTCTGTACATTAATTTTAGGTAAGAAATGTGTGGTCATGTCCTTCACATCTAAATTCATATCCCACAAAATTTATATTCATGTGTATTGTATATTTCAGATTAACTCCAATGATTTTATATCAAATCTTTTTATTTTTCAGAAAAGGGGCAATAACGAATAATCCAGAGTGAATATCGTCCTATAAGGAAGACTATTTTGTTGTCAGTCTCTGGTCCACCAAGGGCCAGGTGTATACAGTAACAATACTGAAAACTCACACAGAACTCTGATATGGCCAACCGTGCTGGTGCACAGAGACCCAATGGGGCCACCCAGGGGAAAATTTGTCAATTCAAACTGGTTTTGCTTGGAGAATCCGCTGTGGGAAAATCAAGTTTGGTATTAAGATTTGTGAAAGGACAATTTCATGAATATCAAGAAAGTACAATTGGAGGTAATTGTTCTACTTTATTAAAGATATTCATATTCTGAGAGCAATGCTTTTTATGAGTGAATATTACAACACCATGTGGGGGCACATTTTGGGAAAAAGAATATTGTTTTCTTTAAAAAAAGAGACGGGCAAATATTTTTTTTCTTTTTAAAGAAAAAAGAAGGGCAAATGTCTAGCTTGGAACATTGTTTAGATATAATTCTATTAACATTGAAAAAGACATCTGCATTTTATGCAATGTTCTGATAATGATAAGCATATACAGGTTAATATAACATGTCTCTATAGATGTCAAACTAAATAATGCCCTTGTTACACCAAATAAAACATCTAGAATGTAGAATTTAATATATTGGAATTTGATTAACAAATTGTTTAAGATAACTACAGAAACTTAATGTATGGGTCTGAAAGTACATAATGATCATTGATGGTCTAATAATTTGTTCCTGGATAGGACTACGAATTGTAGACTGTACTAAAAACATGAAAGACACTGGAGATGAATGTCAGGGATTAATTTGACATCTTTTACTTCAAAAAGGGGGTAGTATTTCTGAGTGTTTTCCCCTCTTAATATTATTTTGACTGGAAATTTGTTTATAAACTGAAAACAATGGGAAGATTTTCTCAAAATAGAGCAAATTAGTATATTTTAACTGAATAACATAGCTTGAAATGATGCAGCCATGAAAAAAAACTATTGATCTAACATCAAAGTTGTTATATTTTGTCCATGTAATCTTCTTGAATGTCATATATTTTAACTCTATCCCTCTTTAAAATTCTGACTAAAAAGGCTCTCCGAAGTATTTCTCCATTTTTCAAAATAGACCAAAAAATTTGCTTTTTTACAGGATGGGTGATATTTGATATTGATATTCATCATTAGTTGGATGTTCCAGTGATTTTGGAGACTTGGATAATTGAGTCCTGAATACATGCTTTTCCTGTGGGACTCCCTCAAAATTTAAGCACTCACTATGTCTCTGTATTGTGACTCATCATAATTTCTAAATTGGTGTTCTAGACTCACCTGAAAAAATCTTATAAAAATGACCATATTCAATATTAATATTTATAGTTAGTTTGATATTCAAAATTGACGCATACAACTGCTTATAATAGCTATACATGTAATCTACGGACATTGACTTTAGAATACTGAGTAACATGCATGTAATGATAGCTTGGATATCTGAAGTAGAGAAAATTACGTTGTGATTCTATGTGTGTGTTGCAGTGTTTGATTTCATACACATGGGTATTTTAGTCGCTTACATCGGTCACAAATGTGAAAGGTTATCATGTTGACATTTGAAATTTATTGGACACTTCAAATCTGTTTCAATTTAGGTGATGGAAAATGGTAGTATATTGTACTAAACGTATATCTATACATAGTGTATATTGTAGATATTTTTACAACATTCTTTCAGATATAGTTAAATAATTGACATGATCTATTAGACAAGATGTACATCATTATAGTCCTGTTTTAGGAAACTTCTTCTATATGTTTTATGTAGAAAGATTCTCACTTATTTATATTTTTTGCTACAAATTTTAAAAAAAAAATAGTTAAAATCCTCTTAGATCTTTGTCAATTAAAAATCTTTTTCAATTCAAATCCTTGACTGAAGCTTTCTCACATGAATATTTTTACAAAAGATTTTTAGTCCATTGAAATCTTCTGTTAAGCTTTTATCACTTAAAATATTCATTTTTTTTTATGTCAGTTACATTCTTCTACTGAAGCTTTTATCAATTCAAATCTGTTACTGAAATTTTTCTCAGTTAAAATCTTCTGATATCAATTGCAAATTCACCCATTAATAAAAATGAAAGCCTTTGTCAATTGATATTTTGCTAGAAACATGGACTTAAAATTTACACTATAACACAATCTTCTGCTATAACATGTCTTTTGAAATCTTACAGTAGAGTCTTTGTCAGGAAAATTTGTCCAGTGTTGACTCATTGAGTGGATGGTATATACATCAGGTGTATTTTTTGTGGTTGGACGGTCACCATTCATGAGTCGAAGTCCCGATGTGTCAAAGTTTTCTCGACGATCCCTTGAACTTCGACACATCGAAGTTTTACTGTACTAAACAATGTTCTAGTTGTAATGCTTCAAGATGTAGTAATTATAGAAACTTGTCCGACTGTATAGATATATGATAAACAATGATGGTTATTTTCTATCTTTGACAGCTGCATTTCTAACACAGACAGTGTGTTTAGATGATACAACAGTAAAGTTTGAAATCTGGGACACAGCAGGACAGGAACGCTATCACAGTTTGGCCCCAATGTACTACAGAGGAGCACAGGCCGCCATTGTTGTATATGATATTACGAACCAAGTGAGTTATAAGTGACATATTGTCTTATTTACTAGATTCATAACCAATAGACTAATATTTCTGATTTATCACTTGCATTTGTGCAATTGTGTTGTTCATTTGTGAAAAATTTGTATTGATGAAAGGAACCAAATTATGAAAGAAATGTGAATATAACACAGTGACTTTTTTCAAAAATGTATTTATAGCATTTAAAGGAATACTTACTGCAGGACTGATAAAAGACATCCATAATTTGATGAGATTTGTTTGTTTGAAGGACACATTTGGAAGAGCAAAGACCTGGGTGAAAGAACTACAAAGGCAAGCCAGTCCAAATATTGTGATAGCTCTAGCTGGCAACAAATCTGATCTATCAAACAAACGAATGGTTGAATATGAGGTAAAACTTTTGTACTTTGTGTTTTTGTAGCATATTCCATGTTAAGAGATATTAATTCTATCATCAGCAACTTTCTACAATTTCTTAAACCTTCCTCGATTCCCACACCCACCCACTTATATATCCAGGAAGTGATGGGTGTATACATTTCTGTGCCTATCATTGTAACCTTGTCTACCCTGTATCTCTCATGTCAAGGTCAGAGGTCACACTTGACCATAGGTTTAGATCAGAAGAAAGGCTGTTGAAAATATGATGGAGTATTAAGTTGAGGCTGTATTCTGCTGAATGTATGAAAATGAAATTGTACTCGCTTTTACAATTACAAAACGTCTAACAGTGCTCTAGGTTTAGTAAACTCACTCTAACAATGAAGTTGTACACACTTTGTAAAAAAAAAAACCTGAACTGTTCTATCTTTGCTGAATAAAGTTGTATGAACTTTAATAAAAACCAAATACTGGTAATTTAAATCTTTATATACAACCTATCAATCTTCCAGAAAGTCTTAGATAATGCAAATAGTTGTCTGTGATGTATTTAAAAAGATTTCTTGGTATTTCAGGAAGCCCAAGCATACGCAGAAGAAAATAGTCTGTTGTTCATGGAGACATCTGCTAAAACTGCCATGAATGTGAATGATATTTTTTTGGCAATAGGTGAGTGATTTTCATTCATTATACACCAATTTGTAGAGATGATGTGGGGTCTGTATTTTATCCTTTTGTGTCAAACAATCTTGTGTAAAAGATTCATCATGAAAATCTTAAGATTTCATTCATACTGACACAAGATTGTACTATCAGGATTTTACACCGAAGTAGAAAGTTCAATGGTGAATTCAAATATGAACATATTGACTACCCATGCATTTTTTCATGATAGCATTTCAGAATTTACAGATCATATAACAGTATTAGAAAGATCAACACACTGAACTCTAGAAACCTGTCATTTTTGTTGATGTTGATTCCTGAAATTTGTATATACTATGAGTATGATCCTATATTTTACTCTGATGCATATGTACATTATTTTCTTGAACCTCTTACTCTCCACAACTTGTTTCTAATTCAAAGTATCACTAACATTTGTTACTAAAAACCACTTCAAGATTAGTGTGATGGAACTGCTGAACAGAATCAATTTCCACCTGTTATTTGTTTGAATCCTTTCCATGTTTCTATGTCAAGCAGACTACGAAAGAAATGGTATGTGTTGATATTGATTTAAGAAACCGAAAAGAGCAGAATTTGTATTCCTGGGTGGTAAACAGTAACATCAGAGTCAAAATAGAAAATGTCAACCTGGTCTACACTAACATTTTATCACTTTATTTTACATGATTGGTCATTAAATGTTACAGCCAAGAAATTACCTAAAAATGAAGGTGGGGGAGCAGCACAGCCGCGACAACAAGGGATGAAGCTAAACAATAGCGAAACGAGTCAAGCGTCAGAAGGTGGATGCTGCAAGTAACAAGCAATGTGATTGGACAATGCAATGGGACTAGACATATGGTCCAGTGGAATAACGGACTCCCAATGGGCTTTTTATTGAAGAATTATTTCAAATAAGATAAAGCTAAATGTGACCAAGACATAATGTCTGTGTAGCAGGGGCTTGTCTGTACCATGCTACGTGTTCAGGATTTTCAAGGTTGTCACGTTGTATTTGTAGGACAACAGATTGTCGAGAGGTCTACATTTAATTGAAGAAGCAGGATTTGTCACATGTTTTGAACTTAAATTTACGTTCGATTTTTGACAGTCTGCGGTTCTCAATCTGATAATTCAAATAAATTATGAGAAAATATCACATTTCTGGGTCTAGAAGATAAAAAAAAATTTCAAGATTGCCATTATTCATTCTATGATATATATCAAAGAAATTTTGTAGCATATTAAGAATTTCAGAGATGGAGGAGATGATGTGACCCTGATTTAAACTAGGGGATAGCTTAATAGAATCAAAGATTTTTAGAGGCATGTCCTATTAAGTTTTTCCTTTTCTGCTTTAACAGCAGTGATTATGAAAGGACATTTTTGTTAGGAAATAGTTTTGTGGCAGAATGTTGTTTCTGAAGCTGTTTTGTTGGCAGTTCTTCATTGTTGATATTTTTTCTCCCATTCTTTATCCAAAGTAATAGCATATGAAAGTCTAAATAAATATTTAAAAGAACAAATTATCATCAAAAAATCTTCTAGATGTACAGAACATAAATTTTTTCTCATCTCTTCCAAAATGGATTTTGTTGGTCTTGGCTTCTTCTTTAAGGCAGATAACCATAACTTGATTGGCAGAACTTGAAAAAGAAATCCATTAAACTTCTGAAAGTTTGTACTAAGATTTACCAGGTTAAGTATTTCTTTAAAAAAAATCCTGATATGTTTAAATTCCAGGTTTGGTGTGAAGGAATTGGTGTATGTAATATTGAAAAAATAAAATACTACTATGTGATTAGGTAAGATATTTGCATAAAATCCAAGGTTAACTGACTAAGAGAAAAGTCTGCTAGAATGATATGTTACATCATTTTGTATGAGAATTTTGCTTTGTATGGTCATATTTGCTAGCTTAAAAAGGTGTTATTCTTAGTCGGGAGATTGAATTCCTCAATAAGGAACAGTCTACAAAATGTCTATGTAGACCAGTAAAAGTGCATAAGACATTTTAACATCATATAGAAAGGTAATTCAACATGATGTTACTACACCTAGAACAAAGGGCATCATTGTAGAACATTTAGATAGATTTTACTGTTGTGTTTCGACATATTTATTTCAAAAATAATACATGTACAGCTGATTATTTGTCTGTTATAAAACCTGCACTTATTGTAGTGCATTAGTCTGGTTGGTCTGATAACTACAACACAAGGCACGGATTGCAGAGCGATCAATCTTTTTTCTATTAATGAGCTAAAGCATGTGGCACTGGTTGCAGTGCGATTGTTGGTGTATGTTATCCATTAATAAATTACAGCATGTTGCACCAATGGTCGTGCAATCATATGTGACGTTGACATAGATCATTGGTAGACTTTGATAGAGGGATTTAGGGGTGGGGAATGGTATGGATGATAGATGTTTTCACACTTGTTTGCACACATGCTGTATTTTTGTGTTTTTCTTGTTTGTGCTTCTACTCGTGTAAACATTGTTTTGAAAGGAAGAAATGTTTAAATGTGTATTTGTTCACAAAATAGTAATAGAATGATGTACTTTTCCTGGGACCCTGTTTTTGACAACACAAAAAAATGTAAACTTGTCAAGTCCTGAAATAATGTGCACTATTTGTTTTTTTCGGGAGAAAAGACTAGATGAGTGAGTTATAGAAATGATACTTGGCTGTGTGTATTTACAGAGTGCTTGTGAGAGTGGAATGATTTGTAAATTGTGTATATTCGGGAATGTATAGTAAATACACATTTAATTGGTTTAACTGTACCATAATATATTTATAACCATTCAAGTAAAAGTAGACTTAGTGATTTTTAATGAAGTAACCTACCCTCAATGCTACTGTCATTCACAAGTCCAGACTGGGATCAGTGTATTTTCATTGTTTTCTGTGTCTGTTTATCTACTGCAGTATTTTAAAAGCATGTGTAGTTAACTCTTCAAGATTTTTCCATCAAAATAATAAACAGTCTGCTTTGTGATTGATGCAAAGACCTTATTCTTTTGCCAAGTTTCCATTCTAAGTGTATACTGGAAAGGAAGATCAGATTTGTGAATTGTTTTGTATTTATTCAGAAAAAGGCATTTTTCACATTGTGTTCATTCTTTGGAAGCTTTCCGATAAGAACAATCTGCTATTTCACATGTTATCAGTGTGCATGTTTGAGGACAGGCTCTGTTTTCATGTCTATTTGTAAATCTTGGAGAGGCAACTGCTATGCTTTTGTACTATTTATGTGTAAATTCTTTGTCCATAAGGTTAAGCATTTGACCAGAAAGATAGTGATCATTCACATATTATCTCACTCCCATAATTTTCTGTTGAGGATCGAAGGTTTTTTGTAAACGATGGGATCTTATTAATCTGTACTTCAGTAATTCTTCAGGTTCTAAAATTTCAGCAAGTATCGCCAATAAATCATTGGATGTAAGGCTTAGAGAATGTACAAATGGTAACTACAGTTCTTTATTCTTAAATGTGTAAAGGAGACAGCAGGCTTTGCAGACAGTCAAACATCTGTATACATTTGCATTTGAAGTGTGTGTCTTAAAAACAGACAGTCTTGATTAAAAAAGCCTGGGATTATCCATAATTTATGCAGAACTACCACTGCACTATGAGTGTTTGTTTATTTCTGGTTGATTACAAGATCCACAGTGACTTAATAAAACAAAGGGTAGTTAATCTCCTCGACTAATGTACATAAGAAAAACTAAGTCAACATTTTATCTGATTATGGCTTCTATATATAGTGTAAACATTGACTCGTCATTGTATTTGTAAGAATACAGGTAGAATTTGTAAAAAGGTATTATAAAGATACATTGATGAAACACTTAAAATCATTTGTTGTTGTTAATTATCTAGATTTTTTTTTTAAACAAAACCATGCTGATATGTGACACCTTTCTTCTCCCAATGTTTGTGATAATGCTGTGTATGACTTTATGTTCCATAGAGAAATTATCATGATACAAATAATACTGAAATAAAAAATCTGATAATGAAAACCAATCTTGAGTTCAAAATTTAATCCTTGATTAATTGATAAATTGATGTTTGTTTTATGAAATAGCATACAGGTTTTCTTTCTTCTGCTGGGATGACTTAAGGAATAGCATTCAATCAGGTTTCCCCGGAGAAATAGTACAGTGAAAAATATCATTACATAAGTCATTCTTTGAAGACTTATCTGTGGAAGATGTCACCTTTACATCTATCAGCAGAGAATGAGATGTAAATGTTCTGTAATATTTCACCTATTTTGCTAGTTTCAACCTTTTACAGAATTTTTAATAATCCAACTGTTTTTTATCCATACACAAATATTTGTGGTGGGAGGTGGGGTTCAGCCAATATGTCAATGCTCATCAGTCACTTGTTTAGTAGAAAATGAAAGTTGATTTTCACTGATCTGACAAAAACTTATTTCCTGTCAATTACTAATTAATTAGCAGTAAATAGATAAACGTAATTTGAGGCTTTAGAGAGATACTGACACACAAAAGAAACGTATCCTCCATTTTTTATGTCTGTCAAAAATATATACGTGATGATTACGATATGGCGTTGTCAGTCCGTCCATTGTTAATTTTATTTGAATGCAAATCTTCCAGAAAATACAACAGACCTTTTTTTAACTCGGTGGGCTTTATCTCCATGACATAATATTCTGTTTTGCCAGAATGATAGTTTGATTCAAATATTTTGAAGAGTTACTGCCCCTCGTTTGAACTTGTCTGAAGATGTCCTTTCCTAATTTCCAATCTATTCCATTTAAACTCGGTAGGCTCAATCACCATGTCATGAAGTTATCTTTTATGCACAGTAGCTTGGTTCATCAGTTCTTTTAATGAGTTATTGTACTTTGATACAGAATTTGTCGCAATTTCTCTTCGTTGATTTAAATTCATTACATGAAATTCTATAAATTTGAGAAGAGTTACTGCCCTTTGTTTTTTCAGCACTATGTCAAGCATATAGCGCAGTTTTCCCTTTTGACATTTTGACACTTTGGCATGGGACGGGGGTTTATTGTTCTGCCCGCAGTACTCTTTGTTTGTAATATTTTTAGCTCACCTGGCCCGTCCGTTCGGCGTCCGTCAACTTTTCATTTGAACAATACCGAAAGGCGTAGAGATATCATATTTGGCTGGAAGGTTCCTTTGATGAAGCCAAACAAAGTTTGCAAAAAGAAATTACCTTGACCCATAATCAAGGTCACAGAGGTCAAATGTGATAAAACATTTAAACGACTTCTTCCAATATACCAGAAGGCCTAGAATCATTACATATGGCTGGAAGATTCCTTTAATGAAGCCAAACAAAGTTTGCGAAAAAAATTACCTCGACCCATATTCAAGGTCACAGAGGTCAAATGTGTTAAAACATTTCAACAACTTCTTCCAAAATATCAGAAGGCCTAGAATCATTATATATGGCTGAAAGGTTCCTTTGATGAAGCCCAACAAAGTTTGCGAAAAAATGACCTTGACCCATATTCAAGGTCAAAGAGGTCAAATGTGTTAAAACATTTAAACAACTTCTTCCAAAATACCAGAAGGCCTAGAATCATTAAATATGGCTGGAAGGTTCCTTTGATGAAGCCAAACAAAGTTTGCAAAAAGAAATGACCTTGACCCATATTCAATGTCACAGATGTCAAATGTGTTAAAAAATTTAAGCCACTTCTTTCAAAATACCGGAAGGCCTAGAATCATTATATATGGCTAAAAGGTTCCTTTGATGAAGCCCAACAAAGTTTGCGAAAAAATGACCTTGACCCATATTCATGGTCACAGAGGTCAAATGTTTTAAAACATTTAAACAACTTCTTCCAAAATACTGAAAGGCGTAGAGTTATCATATTTTGCTGGAAGGTTCCTTTGATGAAGCCCAACAAAGTTTGCAAAAAGAAATGACCCTGACCCATATTCATGGTCACAGAGGTCAAATGTGATTAAACATTTAAACGACTTCTTCCAATATACCAGAAGGCCTAGAATCATTACATATGGCTGGAAGATTCCTTTAATGAAGCCAAACAAAGTTTGCGAAAAAAATTACCTTGACCCATATTCAAGGTCACAGAGGTCAAATGTGTTAAAACAAAAACTTCTTCCAAAATATCAGAAGGCCTAGAATCATTATATATGGCTGAAAGGTTCCTTTGATGAAGCCCAACAAAGTTTGCGAAAAAATGACCTTGACCCATATTCATGGTCACAGAGGTCAAATGTTTTAAAACATTTAAACAACTTCTTCCAAAATACTGAAAGGCGTAGAGTTATCATATTTTGCTGGAAGGTTCCTTTGATGAAGCCCAACAAAGTTTGCAAAAAGAAATGACCCTGACCCATATTCAAGGTCACAGAGGTCAAATGTGATAAAACATTTAAACGACTTCTTCCAAAATACCCGAAGGCCTAGAATCATTACATATGGCTGGAAGGTTCCTTTGATGAAGCCCAGCAAAGTTTGCGAAAAAAATAACCTTGACCCATATTCAAGGTCACAGAGGTCAAATGTGTTAAAAAAATTTAGCAACTTCTTTCAAAATACCGGAAGGCCTAGAATAATTATATTAGGCTACTATGTTCCTGTTATGGTATCCTACAAAGTTGCTAAAAGAAATTACCTTGACCCATATTCAAGGTCACAGAAGTCAAATGTGTTAAAACATTTCAACAACTTCTTCCAAAATATCAGAAGGCCTAGAATCATTATATATGGCTGAAAGGTTCCTTTGATGAAGCCCAACAAAGTTTGCGAAAAAAATGACCTTGATCCATCTTCATGGTCACAGAGGTCAAATGTTTTAAAACATTTAAACGACTTCTTCCAAAATACTAAAAGGCGTAGAGTTATCATATTTTGCTGGCAGGTTCCTTTGATGAAGCCAAACAAAGTTTATAAAAAGAAATGACCTTGACCCATATTCAAGGTCACAGAGGTCAAATGTGTTAAAACATTTAAACGACTTCTTCCAAAATACCAGAAGGCCTAGAATCATTATATATGGCTGGAAGGTTCCTTTGATGAAGCCAAACAAAGTTTGCAAAAAGAAATGACCTTGACCCATATTCAATGTCACAGATGTCAAATGTGTTAAAAAATTTAAGCGACTTCTTTCAAAATACCGGAAGGCCTAGAATTATTATATTAGGCTACTATGTTCCTCTTGTATCCTACGAAGCTTGATAAAAGAAATGACCTTGACCAATCTTCATGGTCACAGGAGTCTAAACAATTTCTTCTGAAATATCGAAAAGCCTAGAATCATTAAATTTGGCCAGTATGTTCCTTTTATGAAGTCAAAGAAAGTAAAAGAAGTGACCTTGACCCATAGCCAAGGTCACAGGGGTCAAATATGTTAAATGTGGAACATATGTTGGTCATAAAGATCCATGTGAGCGATACAGGTTCTCTGGGCCTCTTGTTAATATTTCATTCAAATATATCGCTTAATTTACACAACGAATTGGAGATACTGTTGGTATCCCTTTTCTAGTGAATGTAGAATGTTGCGGTTACCATTGGAATTTTCCTACTTCAAAAATGAGTATGCAAAATTCTGCTATTCATCGAGATTTTAGTGGATTTGGGTGGTACCAAATGTGTTGGATATGTTCCACACGTGCTCTGCTGACCAGAGATTGGGACCGTACAGGTGCCAAGGTAACGTGTCCACAATGATCTGGCAATGATAGTCCATTTCACGTCACAAAACATGACACCGAGCATTGTCTTGATACGTCATGCTGAGGGATAAACAGTATGACACCTGACCCAGTTGCTCGAAATGATACAGAGTGTTTTCAATTTTATTTAATTCATGTTTGAAAATTTTCACTAACAACTGGTTATCTCTAATTGGTCTTGAACAATCGGGACCAGAATGCAGAACATTGTGAATGTATCGTTGAGCCGTCAAGATTATCGTCATTACCCTTTCTCAAAGGGGGAAGGGGGGGAAGGGGGGTGAAGGGGGTAATCGTCACACGGACAACTATGGACATTTGAGACAGGATATCCTAGTTTCATTAGTTACCTCTGATGTATTGAAATAACGTCCTTTTCTTCAGACACATTTCTATGATTTTGAATTCAAAACTAATTGATATTATTTCATTGTGTATGCTGATACATATAATGTATGTATGTGTAGTCGGCGGTGTTTACTACCTCAATGAAAACATACTGCAGGCCAATTTCATTTCATCCAAAAAAAATAAGGATGAAAAATCTTACCCAGAAACACAAAGCACGAGTACAGAAACTGGTCCGCTTTTCCTCTTCCTAAGATACACGAACTGTCAAGGTCAGAAGCGTTAACCAAGTTCCTTAGATCTTCACCCGAGGCAACGTAGGCTGAAAATTTACCAACTGAACTCAGCTATCACTGCCTCTCACCACTGGTCAAGTGATTTTTCATTGCCGTTTAGTTTTATAATGAAATTTCTACTATCAAAAATATAAAATTGACTTTGAGCTTCCGACCTAACGACATTAACATGTTATCAGATGACTTTCAATTTCATAATTGTTCAAACGGCATGGACTGAAAGAATGCACTTACTTATTTGACCTTGATGTGAAGGCCACAATGCATTGCGCATCGCCTGTTGGCAATGCAGCCAGATCAATTAATAATCAAGATATTTAACAATCCAAAAGTTACAGCTCGCACAAGGGTGTAGGAGAAGACTGACAGTAATGACCATGGCGAGAAAAACAAACTAAATACTTTGGAAGGGTAGAACCGTTTCCGGGCATATTATTACATAAAGATTCCGTTAGGAATATCATTACAAGTGTTTGTCACCGAAGAGGGGTGTTTTTTTATTTTATTTTTTAGTTCTTAAATTACGCCAATGATTTTCCTGAGGTAATAAAGAAAAGTATTAGACCCGGCAAACAAACGGTATGAAGATTTGAACACGAGAAACTGTTTCGGGGTCGGGATAACTGCATTTGATGAATGTAGAAAATGGTTGTTGAAAATGTGAAGAGGTCAAAGTGAGAACAGAGATAGAGACAATAAAATATGTGATATATTCAGTATCAAAAATAAACGACTTAGATAAAGCAAAATGGAGTGAAATAATGAAAGCGATGAACATTATTTCGAGTCTTCCTCAATCAGTAATTCAAAGCATAACTAACTTTGGAACGTCGATCATCGACACTTACACAGTAGAATCTACAGAGAAATGAGACAATAACGTTACTACAACCAAGGCCTTTATATAGTTCAAAATGAAATTCGTTACCGTGCCACATTCAAGATGGTCGACATGGCCACCAACTTCAAAATTTTGTTACCGATATTTCTACTGGTACACAGATATACATGAAACCTGTTAATACTGCATGCAAAATAAAAATTATCTCGTTATTCCGAGTTACGTTATCTCGTTTTTCAGTAACACGTTAAAACGAAGTAACGTAACTCGTAATAACGAGACCATTTTTAATGGTATTTATCGGCTTACACATTGTTCATTCGGCGATTCCGGGTAGTATACAGAGCCAAACGACCTAGTTCAGAATATAACTCAAAAGAAGGTGTACTCTTTTTAATATTCAAGATTTTGTTCAAAAGAAATCGGTGTGTACTTTTTCTATCTGATCAGCTGGGAGAAAACCCTAGACTTCACAGCTATGATTAATTTCGTAAGTACGCCTAGGCTACAGATCAGCTCACACGATACTCTTCAGTGAGCATATATACTTGCGTGCAGTTGAACTGATCACGTGATGTGTTTACGATCAGTCAATCATGTATAATAGTTGTGTAGTAAACACATGCACTTTTAGATATCTTAAAAATAACTTTTATGTAAGGAAGTTTGTTATTTTCAACGCCTCTGGATCTGCTAAGGATCGGAAGTGAGCGCAAATGACTTGGTTTTAACTATGGACCGATTCAGCTAGATATGTAACAGTTACAACTATATACATATTAGAATATTTGGATTTGCCACAAAGTCCCAACCCAAGGTCAATATAATTGTTGATATATATATATATATATGTATGGACCGTGGGTTGGGAATGCGTGACAAGTCCCCCATACCCCCGCCCCCTCCTCTCTCTCTCTCTCTATATATATATATATATAAATATCTCGATTTTATTTGCCATGTCAAGTGTTTGATTTCTTTATATACGATAAACAAAGTTTTTATCTTTTTTAACTTTATATCTATATATATGTAAGGACCGTGGTTTGGGACTTAATTTCAGGTCCCTGTGGATATTTTTATTCAATTCAATTCTTTTATTACTCTTGACATTACGACATATCAGTCAAATAATAAAATGAAATAAATTAAACAGTTTACAGCCTGCATGGTGTATACAAAACATATAGACCATATTGATATACTTTTAAGGACAATCGCGGTTTATAGAAAAACAAAAACAGGGGTAATTACTATTTTCATTCATTAATGATGTATTCCTGACCAAACACAGTTATTCATTCGCAGCTTTAATTGAAATATCATAACCCATCATTAACATATAACTCGAATATTACTTTGAGCGATCTGACAAGTAGATGAAGTGGTTGATCGGAGCCTGATAACATCGACATTACCTTCACTTTTCGGAGTTCGAAACTGTTTTATCAGAGGTAGAATATATTTCACTGTCAAATAGTACTTGTACGGTGTTTTATTTTTTTTCTTTTTTTTTTTAAAAGAATTTGCGTTTTATATTTTGAGCTCCTGTCTGAGACCATCTCTGAGTGGTGCTGTTAAACTCAAAAGGGATAAGAAAATACATCCGCAACGAATTTTTTCTATCTTTACACCTGTACTAAGGCTATTATTTGATATCACTGTTTATAGATCTGACGGCGGTTACACGTATGGGGAAATGACACTGATTAACACAGTAATATAACCCAGGATAGTCTGTGTAACTAACAAAAATATTTTTAAAAATCACTACTAAAGCATGACGACAAATATCACGCGAGTCGAGTTATCGTATGGTGTGGGTACTTTAAACATATATATGACACATATTAGTCTTATTCTCACGAGATAGGACGGTAATGTTTAAACTTAGCGTGTAAGTTAAGGTCGTAAAACGTTTTGAGACGACCCCTACAGAGCTGCAGATAACCAGAGACGACATCCGAGGTCATGAAACCGGAAGTGTGACAGTTTACCAAAGATCAAAGTTTTAATCGTCTTCTACATCTAAATGTGGATGAAGTGAAATTTACCATGGAATGAAGAAAAATTACACGTCACATGCTTTGATATTTATTACAAATTTGATCTTTTAAAGATATTTATATAATTCGCCGATTATCGAACAAGAGACTGAGGGGGCGTTTCCGCATCACACTGTACAGAGAGACGGAGGATAAATGTTACTGCATATATTTGCTATTTATGGATTCTAACTTTGTGCCGATAAAAACAGACGTTTTTAAACTGAATAACGCATGGATATGAATATCGACAAATATTTGGATTTGTGCTGCACTTGAATCTGAAGGAGATCGATCTTTGAGTAAGTATTAAACAAATTATCAGTTTATCTATACATTGTCTCATACTTAGGTTTATTCGGGTATGCGATCTAACAAGGGCAAACGTTATCGATTCTTTAATTTCCAGATCATGTTAAAAAGTGTATTTGGAATATAAGGATGCACAATGAAAGTAGATCTTTCATTTTGTTGTGATATTTATGTTACTAAGTGATGAATTCAACAGGCGTGTCAAACACTCATATAGGACCTTGGACAAATATTTCTGATTGTCTTGGAGAACCCCGTTAGTTACCAGGAAAATTTCTAGCGGTGTCAATCAAGGGGCTCAGTCTAGATATTTTAACATTTCGTTTTCAATGGATATAAATGAAACAAGAAAAGCAAATATTAAAAAACAACAACTCGTAATTCAATGATTTGTTAGTAAAGGCAGGTCGGACCTGCCTGTCTGCAACTGTTTCTTTCACCAGGAAATGTTTAAGTCTAGATAGTCCAGCAATAACTGGACAGATGTCTGCGTAACATGAGTGTTGACATAAAATGAAATTCATTAAACGAATTCAAATGTTGATTTGTCACGACTCTTTCGCCGGCGAGTGGCATAGCAAAATATTTAACGGGTTTAATATATTCCATGTCACATCGACACGAGTGTAAGATTCTATTTATCATATTTCTGAAAAACAAACAAAAAATAATTAAGTTTCGTTTAAAGACAATACTTATTTCGACTTGGACGGTATATTATCACTATCGCAATATTCAAGTGACGTCATGCCGGCATGACTTATTCATGACGTCATAATAGTGTTATTACACGTGTATCCAACAATTAATTCAAGACATGACACAACATGTCAGTTATGTGATGATGTCAATATTAACTACATGTAGACACTTTCGAGGATGTGTGTAAATGTTCTAGATTGGAAACAAGCTTACCTGAATCTCGATTTTATATATTAAACTTTAAGCATACCAGTCCTGTAATACATCAGATCAGTCATTCTCGGATCACTATCGGTCCATGTGAGGACGATAACACAGTTAAAGGTAACAATAGGGTATTGTCCGAGTGAAGATAACAAACACCTTGTAGCGTTATTACATATTAAAAAAACTGTTTACAATGTCACTATACGTACAGACACTATAAATATAGACACAGGAGTCTATATTCACGTAAGTTGATAAATTGATCAAGAACCTGAGGATCACATAATATCGGATGAAATCTTTGATAGGTTGGGTAATTATCACAGATTCTATTCTTCAATATACAGATTTTTGACTCCTATCATCTGTACACATACGGAATGAATGATCTGGTTGTACTTTTTCCCATTCTGATTGATATGTGCTGTTCACTTTTCAGTGACCAATGCCTCTTGTCATTTGGACAATCCTTATTTAATAAAGATAGAATACTCTGATAGTACTAACAGATGATACGACTGATCAGATCAGTCAGGGGCTTGCAGTGATAGACATTGGATACTAAGTAAACAAACACACGATCACATTTCAGTAACTCATTGGTAAGCTTGTTTATTTACTTCTCGTTGCCTCTGTAGCTGACCACTCTGTGTACTGGCAGGAATCAGTGACACAATGTGCATGTTCATATAATATATTAAAATTTAAAAAAAAAACTTATTTAGTGAAGCTTATGTAAAATTGTAATATTTTTTGTGAGTCAGGAAAAATTGTAATTTTTTTTGTGAGTCAGGACTCTAATGAGCCGGAAGTTTGGTTAAGTTTTTATTTTATTTTCTGCGTCGCTTTTAGAAATTTTGTATTTTCTTTCTTTCTTTCTTTCCAGAGATGTTTAAAAAAATCCTTACAGTGTACATCTGTAACATAACTTAAGAAGAAGGTGAATGCCGCATTCCGCATGATCACTAAACAATGCAAGGGTCATAATACAAAATCTGTCTTTTAAAACCGTCGTATATTGTATCAAAATGTTGTGAGTTGTGTTCAAATTAGTTATTTTTGTTTTCAGAAATGAACGACTGGAACACTTCATCTCCACCCAACAGTAGACCCGGAAGTAGTGGCGGTGGCGTTGGTGGAGGCGGAAGTAAAGCGAAACAAATAAAACTGGTGTTGCTAGGGGAATCGGGCGTAGGAAAGTCTAGCATAGCCCTGAGATTTGTACGTGGAGAGTTCAACGAGAACGGGGAGACAACTATTGGGGGTCAGTGAAAAAATATGTTCATGTTGTAAATATAAACTGATCCAAGCAATGACGAAAAGACCATAGGTTTATGAAAGTTATGTTATTGAATCCACAAATCAATGTAACATTAATTAAGTTTTACAGGAATACATGAATGAGAGAGAGAGAGAGACTGGCGTTTTTTTTGTAATTAGAGACAATGTAAAAAAAATATTAGATTTATATTGACAATTCATCTCACATGTCAAAGAACAAACGATTTCTTTATGTCATATTAAAATTTTTCTTTTGGAAAGAAAATGGAAAAATACCATATGATATCCCTTAGTAAAAGTCGACAGGGGCGTTTGCTCCGAGAAGTTTGGAGCTGAGAGTAAGGATCTGTCCTTTTCCGATTAGATGCTCAACGTTTCCTTGGGTCAGGTTATTATGAAGCCTAGGATACTCCCCACCATCCACTTCCTTATTTTGGAACGTAATGGCCTTGTTCCGGTTATGACAGAGCCTGGGACACTCCCCACCATCTTTTTTGGAGCTTTAAAGGCCTTGGTTCTGTTTTAACTGAGCCTAACACACTCCCACCGTCCACCCTTTTGTATATTTCTTATATCGGGTCCATAAAGTCGTATGTGTTGGTAAGCACTCATTTGCATACATGGTACACAGTTTCACTTGAAATCCAACGCACCTAGAAAAACCAACCAGTTGAGAGGTATTCGTGTTTAAAATAGCAAATTACGTTGCAATATTTTCACAAAAAAGTTTAAATATTATGAGATTTTGAAGCTATTGGGTTCATTTGCAACTAGATTTATTTCTACGGGATACCATGGGTTATGTCCCCTTAGCGCTTATCGAGTCGTAAGCTCGTGAGCGCACAGGTAGAATTGGGTCAGTCATGGATGAGTGATTTTATCAGATTTAGACTCGGAGAACCTTGCAGCCATGGTTATATAGAGTCAAGGAGACGAGAAACCTTCATCATCATCACCTACATAGCGGTTACACATCTACAACTCCGTAATAGTACGCTACATAACATGTCGATTTAGAATTTGAATCCGTGACAGCATAAATATTAATGCTCAAAATCACAAACAAATATAACCACTTTAAATGATTATTATAAAAATCAGAGTGTTACAATTCAGTTCAACAATATCTTATGAATAAAAACCTCATATTTTATCATGTGAGTGCAGATGGTCAGTTATTTCGTAGAACGCGCCAGTAAAACCCCAACTGAGAAGTCACGTGGTTTACCTGGACATGGGCTAATTTCTCATCGTCTGACTCTATGTCCTATATGATTGCACATTACTACAGTCAATATACGAAGAAGTCAGCTGATTTGGTCGCGGACGTATGATAAGCACCCCTGAATTTGGTTTTGAACAAATAAGACTGCGAAAAGATCTAGAATTTGAAAATATATTTGAATAGAAAAAATATATATTACAGTAGCAATTAAAACTTGAAGATTAACAACTCTTAATCAAATATCGGATTGGACGTGATCAACAACATCTACCGTTAACTATCACACTAAGGAAAGGAGGACAATGATTAGAAAGTGATAAACAACATTTTTAAAAGACATTTTTTCTCTACGTTGGCAATGATTCTATCTTGTATAAATACATAGTAGAGAGCAAATCTCGAATTCATTGAACTCGAACATTTTATTTATGATTTATATTATAAACAGCGATCATGTTCTTAATTTTCAAGCAACAAGTCCGTGATGCTTTTGCAAGTCCAATATAATGATATACAATGTGCTAAATGTGATACTAGCCCGCCAACATAATTAAATCTTTTAACCGAGTCTTGAAAGTCAACTATGTAAGGTAAAACAGAAACGTATTTCTACTTTTCTTAGTTGTTTCAATTGCTTGAAAATACATTTTGTATCTATTTTGATATTTGATTATTATGATTGTGAAGTAAAATGCTAATTATAACGTATACATTATATTTTCTGTACTATGATTGTATTGTGAGAGTGATAGAGGGGTGGGGGTGTTATAAACAGTAGTTATGTATGTAGGTGACAGTTACTTAAGGCATGACTAATTCCATAACTTTAGGTCACTAAGGAATTCCTCTCAAAAAAAAAAAGTTTTCTTTTAATAAAATGAAGACATGTAATGAATCAAATTCTGCTGTTTGATTCAGCTCTGATAATTTCTTATATTTGTACTCTAGCCGCATACTTGACGAAGACTATCAACTGTCAGGGTTGTCCTATAAAGTTCGATATCTGGGACACTGCTGGTCAGGAGAGATATCACAGCCTCGCTCCAATGTACTACAGGGGCGCTCCCGCTGCCGTCGTCGTGTATGACGTCACCAGCGTAGTAGGTGTTTGCTTTTTCTCATATCAAAACCAGTGTTCCTGGGCTTATTGATTGATTCGTCAATTATTGTTTTTTATCCTGTTAATTCTGTATTGTCAGCTGCATTGTTGTCTTTAGCCCAATTGAATGATAATTTTAAAAAATCATTTGACATGTGTGAAGGTTTTTATATCAGCATTAAAAATTGCATTTCTCGATTCCCAGTCAAGCATTTTCCGTTGGGATAAATGCGTTTAATTCAGCACATAGAAAAGATATTTCATGCAGTTAATCTTGACATGTTTCAACAGAATTCCTTCAACAAAGCCATACTTTGGGTAAAAGAACTTCTACAGCAAGCCAACGCCATGATGGTGATCGTTTTGGCGGGAAACAAAGCCGACATGGTAACGGAAACGAAAAGTACAAATGAGGTAAGTGTATAATGATGAATAATGATAATGATAACGTACTCGATCTCATAGGCGAGCGGAAATTGATTGGAATTCGATAGCACTTGCGATTCCAGGGGTTTTGAAAGGGGACAGGTTCAAAAACATGCTTACCAGAAAGACCCATTCCCGGAAAAAAGGGGACATGGGTTGTGGAGTATAGCATGTTCCTGGTTTGGCGAGAAAAGTCTATATCCTGTGGTTAAGCCGAGGTAAAGCCCGGTAGAGGGAAAGAAGAAAGTTACTGTATCCATATAGCCCTTGCCCACCCACCCCTTACCCTTTTCCCAGGAACTAACTAAATATATCGATTTTTATCGGTATATGATTTTTACAACATAGGCTTCGATCAGGAGAGAACGTGTCATACGTTCGGTGACAAACTCCATCCAGCTGTCATCTTAGCTTAGGCTGACACCAATGACTGAAACAGAGCTAGGCGAAGTTAAAACTGAGGAATAATCGAGATAAACCTTTATTTTTATATAGAGTTGATAAAGTGCAGATACTATATTCTGTTGACACGGATGATCAATTTTCTACACTGTCCTGTGTACTTGTTCATGCTATTTTACTTTCGTGTAAATGAAGTTAATATGCTGCAGTGAATCAATAACATTTCAATCGTCTGTATAATACAGTAAACACAGTAAGTAATGAAATCTAAGTATACAAACAAACACGGATATGGAACTACTTTCGATTTATCTACATATTGTCTTCCCTTATACTCTCTGGATCAGGTCAAGTACATCATCCTTTACTTCCAATAGGGGCCCTGATGCACGCGAGACTGATTAAATAATATACTAAGGTTTGCAAAAGTTATTTCACATTAAATGAATTTTACGGTTTTTAATGGAGAGTTGACAGAAGCAGGCTTTTTATGATCCCAATATGGCTGATAGTATAATTATTATAAGAGTCGCTTCGGGATTTTGAACATCTCAAGCTGAGACTAAGATCCATCACACGATTTCCGGTACGTCCTGAGACTGAGATCTATCACATGATTTCCGGTAAGTCCTTAGACTGAGATATATCACATGATTTCCGGTACGTCCTGAGATCTATCACACGATTTCCGGAACGTCCTTAGACTGAGATCTTTCACACGATTTCCGGTACGTCCTGAGACTGAGATCTATCACATGACTTCCGGTACGTCCTGAGACTGAGATTTATCACACGATTTCCGGTACGTCCTGAGACTGAGATCTATCACACGATTTCCGGTACGTCCTGAGTCTGAGATCTATCACATAATTTTCGGTACGTCCGGAGACTGAGATCTATCACACGATTTCCGGTACGTCCTGAGTCATGGAATAGATAACATCAACATCAAATATAGCTAGAATGCTGAACAAAATCTACTTACACGATTCAACGTACGAAGTTTTTATTATTGGAAACTTAAGGGATTTCTAACTTGACCCGAATCCGTGGCTGAGGTTCGCTGGTTACACACACCTTGGTCATAATAATGAATGCTTTATCTATATCATTGCACCGATACATTTAGAAATAAATATCGTTTTTATTGTTTGTCAAAATAATCTTTCTGATATATGGTGAGTCACTGAAGCCATATTTACGTTACTATATCTACCAAGTGTACCGTAGGGTCCCCACATCGCAAGTAACATATTTTCAAAACGATCAAAATAGCTACAGTAAAGCGGACAGTGATGTAAATCTAAGTATCTATTAGCGTTTCATTGCGTTTACGGTGGTATAAATGCAACTGGATAGACATTCAAATATGCAGCACATTAGAATATGCCAGTATCCCATTGCGTTCATTCTCCCGTGAACAATACATATATCTACATTGTTTTCACCGCATTGTATCTCATTGGCTCCATAAAATCTTGTTGATAGTGGCATGTCATCTACAAGTTTATCAGCTTCTTACTAAAACCATTACCTTGAATATATCGACATCTTTATACTCAAAGCCATTAAAACTCTGTTTGCGCTGCTTAGTAAAAATCTAAACCAATTTGTCCATCGGTCTATACTTTATCGTCACACAGTGAAACAGATAATGACGAAAAAACAGATATATTTCGACAAGCTCCTAATATAAACTATTCTTTTGTTCAAAGTCGACATTAGTATCATCAGTGCTGTGTTTAGTTTTGGTTTCACCTATAGGATTGAAGTCTAAAAGTCATTACCGATAAACCAGAATATTCCTGAAACAAACCATAGCCTTGTTTATTAAAGGACATGTGGTGTTATGGTTAGTTTCGGTTTCGTTTACAAAATACTTGATTCTTATTCGTTTGAAGTGTTGGAAATCTCATTTTATATTGTAATAGATGATATTTTACTGTAAGTCAAAGTCATGTTGTATTTCTTTAATCTTCTGTTCAATGATGGCAACAGGTTCAATCTTTACTATTTCCTCTGTTTTTTTCTTTTAACAGGAAGCTCGTAAATTTGCTGCCGAAAATAAGCTTATTTTTGCTGAAACGTCCGCAAAAACGGGGATGAATGTGGATGATATATTCTCACAGATAGGTAAGTGATAAGTACGAGAAAATAGTATTCACGTTTTCAGACCCCAATGGGTAGGCGGTAGATTGCACCTGATGTCACCAATGAATAGCTGTAAGAGACGATCTAGTTTACTGTAAAAGGCGATCTAGTTTACTGTAAAAGGCGATCTAGTTTACTGTAAAAGGCGATCTAGTTTACTGTAAAAGACGATCTAGTTTACTGTAAGAGACGATCTAGTTTACTGTAAGAGACGATCTAGTTTACTGTAAAAGGCGATCTAGTTTACTGTAAAAGGCGATCTAGTTTACTGTAAAAGACGATCTAGTTTACTGTATAAAGCGATCTATATTACTGTAAAAGGCAATCTAGTTTACTGTAAAAGGCGATCTAATTTACTGTAAGAGGCGATCTAGTTAACTGTACAGTGACACGTGTAGAATGGTAGTTGATGCTCTGTGCTGGGCATTCACTCGTTAATTAACTGTTTCATGCTCAGTGTTATTACAATTTCACCGGACGTCATGTCACCATAGTTCAGTGTGATAACACTTAAAAGGCAAAAATGAATTACCCCCACGACATCGTTCCCTTATGGCCTTAGCTGTTGCAGGGACGTAAATCTTCTACCGAACAATCGTTAACAATGTTTTGTCAGTAAAGTTTGGACAGTTAGATGACATCGCTTCGTAAATGTAGGAGGTGTTTACAGTAACTATCTTTGTCCGTTGATATCTTGAACCAGGATGGATATGGGGAAAATATGGCCTAAGCTGTTGCAGGGACGTAAATCTTCTACCGAACAATCGTTAACAATGTTTTGTCAGTAAAGTTTGGACAGTTAGATGACATCGCTTCGTAAATGTAGGAGGTGTTTACAGTAACTATCTTTGTCCGTTGATATCTTGAACCAGGATGGATATGGGGAATATGAATTTCAAGATATTGATGAAAATACTATTGGAATGATACTACAGACAACAGACGAATGCTTTCTCAGTTGGATTGTACGAAAGATATACAATAAGATCAAGATAAAGTGAAGCCAAATAATGAATTCAACTACGTCATGCAGCTGTTTCGTCATTCACGGCCTCTTCAGTGGTGTTAATCAACCTAATTCGAAAGCTACAAATATAAAGGGCGACAGAGGGGAACCAAAATTAAACGGAAGAAATGTTACGATGAAGTTGAGTTTTAAGGAAGAAATACCAACATATCAACATTTTTTTTTTATCCAAATTCAAACAATGATGAGACGAGGGTACATACGAACAAAAGAATGCTTTATTTAGAGACTTAAAAAAATACAACTATAATACATTAAATATTAAAGAATTGGTAGTGCATTCTGCTTTTGTGTCGATCCTCGTTAGTTTGCCTGATGGTTACGTTGTTGTATAAACTTTGTTCTCATTCGAGCACGTGACGTCATTTACTTATATTGATCAAGATTTACATGGCGGGTATCGTCGATGAAGAAGACGCTTACTCATCCGTGACCATTGGTCTTATTCTCCTTGTACTTTTTCAAGAGTCTCCATGTAAATCTTTATTCTTACACATTTTGCCCTAGTTTTATTGAATTTGAGTTTGGATTAGGCATATGTTGACATATTGGTATTTTTTTGTTATTTTATTCATAACGCACAAAGAAGTTTACTATTACTTCTTCAGGAAACCTGTCAATTGTTCTGCATTGTGAAATAAAAATAGAATGTTATGTTGTGATCAGGATGACAAACCTAAACATAGTGATCTACTGAAGTATGTGGATGTGAAGCTAGACATATGATTTATGTACTTAATCCTTTTCTTCCAATAAGTGGATTGTTTTCAGTAGCCACGTAGAATTTATACATACCCTAGACATTTTGTCCCGAAAGGTAAAACCCATGCTAATATACAACAGGGCTTGAAACTTCACAAGAATCCTTCTAAAGTGCGTTGAATCTTGAAGCCACTATATAAATTTTAGGAACATATTTTGGTTGCAGTATTTTTTGTTTGAAACTATATCTGATGTAATGTGCAAGAAAGAATTTAAGTTACCTTATTTTAGCTAAACTATAATAAACTTCTGACATTAGCAACAAGGACAAATATACCATCAGTATTTTTATTTATACTAAAGTGGCAGGAAAATAAACCCAGGCGTTCCGGAAAAGTAAGCATTTTCACTTTCATCGACAAAACAACTCGTGCAACAACATGGCGCTTCGACAGATGCAGCTTGAGGATGTTTTAGATCTTTACTTTAAGAAATTGTTCTAATTATAGGGTTGCTGTACCCGATTAATTTTTTACCTTTCTTTCGATCACTTTGGACTTTCCTCAATCCCCTCCTAGGCTTCAAATCTTAGGACTTTAGCAGCACTGATGAATCCGAGAAGTACGAAACATCTGTATGATGCAATTTAATTCATTGTTTGGCGCTACTTTTCTAACTCTAAATCATTAAAATGTGCTATTATCTTGTGTGACTTTTGTACCATCTTTATGATGGTGTTAATTATATCTTTGATATATGAAGTCCCATTCAAGAAACTATCAACAATTAACATCGCTCACTAATATGCTCTTTTGTACAGGAAATGTTATAGCGAGGCAGCAAGCACCGGTTAGTGATCGTGAGGGGCGTGGCAACGTGAAGCTCACCAATAAGAAAGAATCCAAGGAGAAGGGATGTTGCTGACGTCAACAGCACCAAGCACTCAGCTTTTGAACTCCAGTCTAATATTAAAGAAAATAACTGTGCAAAGCACTTTCAATGAATCTGAATCAAATCGGTTCATAAAAAATGATACAGAGGGCTTGTTTCATTCTTCTGTATCAGATTTAGAGAAGGTCACCGCGAAATTTGACCTAAATCACATCCTGTCACCTATTCAAAGCAGTTTCATTTCCTTTTTTGTTTGTTTTTTCCTGTTTTTGTTTTTGTTCTGTTTTTAACTAGATTATGAAGGATATGTTGATAACGATAAAATCACACTTTTAAATAAAATTTTAGGTTTGGACATAATTAAGTAAATCAATATTTACGCTTAACAATTTAATATTTGTCCGGAAAGGAAATTTATGTATTTCTATATCCATCAAAAGTTCTTGAACTATTTTAGTTTAATGATGCGTGTATTGTACATAATAGTTTTAGGAAATACAATATGTAATACTACCTTTTAAGATAACGATTATGACGTCATTCAAACATTTTTATGATGACATCAGCAATTTAGAAATGGTTCATAGACCAGAGAGTTCTATAGAACGTAAACTTAAGGTAATTATACTTGATGGTGACATCAGATAAAAATATCGGATGGAACAAACTAAATGACGGTACAGCCTTAAATGCCTTGTCCTTGTAGGGTCACATTGGGACTTTACTACTTCCGCAAATAAGTTATGATAAATGCCTGCAGGTTTGGGCTAAGTTTGGTAGGTGTCACAGAAAAAAAACATTGTTTGAAGATTTTGACTGAAAATAAAGAATTGTAAATAATAAGTCAACGTAGCGATGTAAGTGGTATTTTTTTTCATTGAATTTATTCCCTTTTTTATTTATGCTGTAGACTTAGTCAATTCCAAAGCCTTATATAAAGTCAGTAGGTCTGGATTTGATGTAATAGATTGATCATTTGGTAGACAAATATGCTATAGTTCACATTAAATTTCGGTTAATGAGGGATTTACACTGAAGTGAGTAATGAGGGATTTACACTGAGGCGAGTAACGAGGGATTTATACTGAAGTGAGTAATGAGGGATTTACACTGAAGCGAGTAATGAGGAATTTACACTGAAGTGAGTAATGAGGGATTTACACTGAAGTGAGTAATGAGGAATTTACACTGGTGCGAGTAATGAGGGATTTACACTGAAATGAGTAATGAGGAATTTACACTGGTGCGAGTAATGAGGAATTTACACTGAAGTGAGTAATGAGGGATTTACACTGAAGTGAGTAATGAGGAATTTACACTGAAGTGAGTAATGAGGGATTTACACTGAAGTGATTAATGAGGAATTTACACTGGTGCGAGTAATGAGGAATTTACACTGAAGTGAGTAATGAGGAATTTTTATACTGAAGTGAGTAATGAGGAATTTACACTGAAGTGAGTAATGAGGAATTTACACTGAAGTGAGTAATGAGGGATTTACACTGAAGTGAGTAATGAGGAATTTGCACTGAAGCGAGTAATGAGGGATTTACAATGAAGTGAGTAATGAGGAATTTACACTGAAGCGAGGGATTTACACTGAAGTGAGTAATGAGGAATTTACACTGAAGTGAGTAATGAGGGATTTACACTGAAGTGAGTAATGAGGAATTTACACTGAAGTGAGTAATGAGGAATTTACACTGAAGTGAGTAATGAGGGATTTACACTGAAGCGAGTAATGAGGAATTTACACTGAAGCGAGTAATGAGGGATTTACACTGAAGTGAGTAATGAGGGATTTACACTGAAGTGAGTAATGAGGAATTTACACTGAAGTGAGTAATGAGGGATTTACACTGATGTGAGTAATGAGGAATTTACACTGAAGCGAGTAACGAGGGATTTACACTGAAGTGAGTAATGAGGGATTTACACTGAAGTGAGTAATGAGGGATTTACACTGAAGCGAGTAATTAGGGATTTACACTGAAGCGATTGTGAATGGTGTGAAATATAAAGTAATGTTTCACCATGTTTGTAAAAAATTATTTATCATACTGAAAAATATTAAAATCTTTATTAAGACATATGTAAAACAATTCAAGGGATTATTTTTTCATGTTATGAATTTCATGGTTTTGTTTTAAGCTTATATTTTGATTCTATATGAACCACGTGTAATACTCATATCCTGAAACAACTTAGTATCACAAGCATGTCATCATATTATATTGTACATTGTGTATGTAGGGTACTCATTAGAATAAAGATGTTACATTATTGGGCGTGTATTATATTTCACTCCGTATCTATGGTAACTACCAAATTCACACATTTTCCATTTTAGGCCATTTTAGGATACCAACATGTCAACATTAATACAAACCAAACTCAACTTCAATAAAACTAGGGCAAAATGTGACCAAAAGAAAGATTTACACAGAGACTGTTGAAAAAATTACAAGGCAAGGTGTTCGGACAACCGCCAGATAAATGTTGGTCAATCCAAGTATATTATGTCAATTATATCGCGCAAAGAAATAGAATGTTTCTCAGTGAAATCACCGAAGCCACCGTAAGACTAGGCTCAAAAGTTTCATCATTCTGTATGTTTTTACACGCTGTGTCACGGGGTTTCCGTCAGTTGACGACTTATTTCACGAAAACCGTGATAATGGGAATAAGTTTTTAAATATCGAATCAACAGCGACATGTCAACACCATAGAAACTTCCTTAACAAGAGAACGTTCTCTCAGTCTAGAAAGAAACAAATGTTATTATTGAAGAATTGTTTTTTAGAAGAAGTTGTTGAAGATTGGTCAAAAGCTCTTTTGAGTTCCTAATGTCCACATACTATTCATTCTACTTCTTGAGTAAACAGTATCACTTATCTAAATTAAATTACTTTAACTTGAATTGTTTCATTTTTCATTGTACAGTTTTATCTTTTTGATGATTAGAAAAATATTTTAATGAGATGTAAATTAGGAAACTATATCTGTCACCAAGTTCTTAGTAACGTTTCATTGATAACATTTGACGGAATGAGAAAGCACCAGTGCATTTAAATCTCGTATGGAGCCTAAAGGTAACTTTTTCCCCCTCAAATATCTTGATGATAGTGTTCTTTCTCGTTGGAAAACCATGACCTTAAGGAAGATATATGTTTCTTTAATGGGTCTCGTTTATTAGGTTCAGCATTTATACAACTCTAGTATACTTGGTACGTTTTCATATATAGTCAATATACCTCCAACAGCAATATCATAACCGTTAGTTAATCTGCCACATGCAATTGATGTGTTGTAGGATATATCGCAGAGAGTAAAAATACATTTTAAATGCACACTCCGAACGTATTGCGGAATTAACAATATACATATAACAATATATGTGGTATAGAGAAACAGTTACTGTTAGGCCCCCATACCAGGTTTAAAAAGCGACCTCTGCCCCATCACACCGTCAAGTGTTAGCAAAAGGAACAGGAAGCAGAAACTAAAATAAGAATTGTACAATGACACAGGGATTTTAGCGCCCAAAAATGTTTTATTTGTTCTTTAAAAGGCGGATCTTTGTCCCGTTTTCTCTTCTTTTCCCTAGTTTTGCACTTAGTTATATGAAATTTAAAAATTCCTTATAATAAATAGCGACAATGATCTCGTCAAACCCAAGATGGTCGACTATCATCCATTTGTTTAATTAGTCCAAAAATCATAAGGGTCAACTAAGAACCAAGAGGAATTTACAAATGAAATTAAAAAAAAAAATCATCCAGTACGTAGAAATAGCGACAACAGACTATTATGCAAAAATCTAAGATGGCCATGTTGTTTCCGGATAACTCCGAAATTGAGCCAATACACAACCAGGGACCAAGGGAACCTACATATAAAATTCTAGAACGATCAATCCGGAAAATAGCAATTACACACTGTTACTGTCAAAATCCGAGATCGACGCCTGTCAACCATGTCATTTCCGGATTAGTGAGAAAATAAGACATTACACGAATTGTTTATAGACGGACAACGTAACACGTACACAGCGCACGAGTTAATTATCTCGTGTGTTTGAGTTAATATCTCGTAGCACAAGTTAATCCTCTCACGAGTACCAATGGTATTGATGCCTTGTGCAAGAATTTTTACATAACGCAAAAGACGGAATATTTTATGATAGGGACGTCATACACTGAAACACACCACTTTCTATCTACAATACATGGTAAAAGTATGTCGCTGTGACATTTGAAAAGGATCCAGAATGTACTGGACTCGGTGCGCGATTTAAAATTCCGGATTTTACTCCGCCGTCTCGTCATTTAGTAGTAGTGTGATAGTTCCTGTGTTATAGTTATCGTTTGGACGACGGAGTTGTTGTGCACAATTATTCAATAATTTCATTGTTTTTTGCCGTAAAAAAGCAAAATCTTCTTACCATCAATTGGCAACGATTTGGCAACAAAAGTAGAAAATTATCTCAAGGCACATACGCGTCGCACAACGTTTGTTTCGAAATAGTGCATTGTGTAAATTTAGGGCTTGGTGAATCATGAATAAAACGCCAATGGTTAACTATACTGTAGTCCACGTTTATCATATTGAAACTGGAAGGCAGTACACTGAATGAAATAGGACTACTTAAACGTGGAAATTTTCCAGACATAGCTGATGTAGTTAGCTTTATCAAAAATAAACTGAGGACATCTAGTCAGCTGCATGACTATATATAGATTGATGCATCTGAAATGTATTCAATCGGGATTAGTTGTTAGGAAGGAAGTCGTAACAACTCTTCCACAAACACGTGACCCCGATGAAGTATCCTTAAGAAGGTAAAGAAAGCTGAAGGGAAGAGATTAGATGCCAAGAGGACCAAAGTTCGTATGGCATTTTCTCTCATACGACAAGCTAAAGTCCTATGGAATATGCATAAATGGGCGTATCGATGGGTATTCTCGTCATATTATCTGAATGGAAGTGAATAAGACAATGATCCAGGCGTAATCGGTTCGTATTTTGCAAGAGCTGTATTGGATAATGGTTGTATACCAACATTGCATGAGAACAGAAAATTTTCTTGTAGCAGACATGCAAAGTACCTTTACAAGAGGAAACTGCAGTTTTATGTATGGTGCGAGTCAACATAACCAATGCCTAGATGCATGGTGGTGTATTCTACAGAGAAAGAATGGTCCTATTAGTGAACCAAACAACAGAAAGCGACATACCCGTGATCGATGTACTGAGGTTGAATTTAACTTAATATCTATAGTAGGAAACATTGGTCCTTCAGTAATGTTACTCCTCATAATATTTTTTCTGTACAAAAAATAGAGATAGAAAAAAATCTATAAAGATTATCCGCATTCCTACTCAGGTTAATGTATATAGACAATTTCTATGAATTAAATATTAATTAATTTATTTTGAAGAAATCTATTTATCTTTTTGACCAGCATTTTATATTTATAAGGCAAAATATCATCTGAATTTAATTGAATTTTTACCTAGAATAGCCTGGTTTTACAAATCGGTAATTGTTGATGACATAACTGCAATTGTAATTGATTAAGAATGAAACAGTTACTAAATATTTCCGTTTTCTTCTGTATAGTATCTAGAAAAAACTATAAAACGCTTACATGTATCAGGTGTGTGTAAGAGGAAAGAGGGTAAAATGAGATAGAAGGGGCTTCTTATGCCTCAGCCGGGGACTGAATAAAAACGAAAGTTGAGAAACTATGACTAAATTACATTACAAAGGCATGAAGAAGTGAATAAATTCAAACTTCTTTTTTATTAAGACGAGTGTTTTATCAAATCAAATTGTGTTTTAACTTGGAAACCCTATTATAGGAAGTATCAAACACATCATGTCACGAAATAACTATTGACATACTGTGTCATCGAAATTGAAACAACGGAAGGTGATGACTACACGAATATGCAGCACGAAAACAAACGAATTTCTTCAAGCAGAGAAGCGATATTTATCCAAACCATACATTTTATATATTTTGTTTGGTTTGACTTTCATTCCTTCCGATAACAGTATATTTTCTGATATACATTCTATGTTATGGATTATGACGCCAGGAGATATAACACATGTATTAATGTAGATAAACAACCGATAACGGCCGTGAACGATATTTAATGTAATAGCCCGCACATCCCAGGAAGGCGGAAATCACCCCTACACTAAAATATCCATATATATATTTCTCAGCGAGCGTTACTCCAGTGTAGACGTTTACAGGCCTTCGCATACAATACATGGACGTTTAGACTTTAACTGCTTTCACTACGACATCCAGTGTATCATCTGATGGTATTTAATCAAGAATGTAATGAAGGCAAGTATGAAAAACAAGAATTTTGTTGTACTATTTTTTATTCATTCAGAAGAGTTGTACTATATCTTCACCACTGCGTACATTTAAACTTTTCAGCTCTACTTTCAGTTTAGTATTTCCTGTTGCAGTTTCTTTAGTTATACTGTTGTGTATGTTGCAATCAATCTCTCCAATCGTGTGGAAATACCAACTAAACCAACAGTTTACTTTCAAAATAGCAGCTGTTACCCTTTCCAAGAATATTACTACTATTTTGGATATGAAGATAAATTTACTTTCTGTTTTTACTGTAAGCTGACAATACTCTTAAAACTAGTGTCAAAATGACTGTAAAGTTGCAATGCCAATAAAAGTTTTGTCTGCTGAATAAATCAAAACCTCAACATTTTCTTTATGTTGTAATATATTGTAATGTTTATTTAGCCTGGTAAATATATCGTGTTTGATGTTTAAATGTTGTCGTGAAAAGATAAGAAATTGGACCGCATGACAAGAACCCAACAGCGCCGATATACTGGGACAGTAAATAAGATTCATTATAAAACTATTAACATTATTTTTTGTATCAATTGCAAATCAATCTAACAGTATATATTAATCATTATTGCTATGTGTCTGAGACAACTTGAAGCTATTGTAAAGCTGACAATGGCATGTATACACATGAAGTGTATATATTATGGTGTCATTTTATAAGTGTCCAAAACAGAAATAAAATATATCAAAAATGACGCCCTTTAAGAAACCTAATGGAGACAGGAATAGGAGACAGGACTATGTATAGAGAAATTTAGATAAGATTTTACAAGGTGTTCTGTGTGTTTGCTCTACTTTGAATGAATAACACCTCCAGACAGATCGATATCATTCAGTGAGTATCGATCCAAACCGCTGATAAGATAAGACTAGATGTGCAGTTTTTCATTTAAAAGCGAGATAACTTGCATTTCATATCCTAGATTATAGTATCTGCTCTATCAGTATGTCATTTCTATTTTGAAATCTTACGACAACATTTTCAGTATGTTTGGCTAAATTTGTTCTGATTCAGTCAATGCAATTTTTGTAGGACTATAAGTATTTTATGCTATGAATCCAATCATGCCCTTTTATGAAAGTTTTATATACAAGCCCAGGAGTATGATGGTTACGTGTGTTCTAAATTTATACACTTACGTATGTCACAAGCATAGTTTAAATGCTGTCATATATCTTACGCTCACCAAAATAACTCGCAACATGAAATACCCGTGAGTGCTTTCTTTCGTGGTTTCGCGGATACCAGGTAAGAAATCTTATTTGTTGTATTTTATTTTTGCAGCTTTTTACATAGCATATCTTCATACATTGCAGACGTATCGGTTAAATGCTTACTATGTGTCCAAAGTATGAACGTTGTCAAGAAATATACATTCATCTACCTACATCTTATCAATTAATGTATATGAATGAAACTGACATATTTCAAAGTCGATTTCTAACCAGAAATTTTCATTTTGTCAACTCTCACAATTTGTTTGAACTCTAAACGAATATTTATCGTTTTAAAATGAAATAAGATAGCATTGCTTGGTGTTCAGTAGCTAAATACAAATGGAATTAAGAGTAAGGGTAAGTCTGTGCTCATTAACCTCTGAATATCATAATTCAAAACATGCAAACTTTGGATTCATGGAAATAAAAGCAAGTATTAAAATAAATATATTCATAGTGGCGTAAATATATATAGAAGATTACTAATGGACATCTGTTGCCGTAGTGAGTCAGCCTACAACACCGTATGTATTAAATGTATATCCACCATGTATTATAGCAGAACAATACATAGACATAGTCGTCATGATTTCCAATGAGAGAGAGAGAGAGCCAGAGAGACAAAGACAGAGAGAGAGAGAGAGAGAGAGAGAGAGAGAGAGAGAGAGAGAGAGAGAGAGAGAGAGAGAGAGAGAGAGAGAGAGAGAGAGATATTAATAAAGAACTTGTGTATTATAAGCAAAAGTTTGAATAAGATTGATTTCGAATTGCATAGTAGTGAGATCGAACAAGAAATGCTAATTATAAAAGTTTTTTTTCTATTTCTTAAATCTAACCAATCGAAGCTATTCTCAATAACGTTGTACGATATTCTTTTTAAGATTGTTTTTTCTGTCGACAGTGCCGTTTTATGATCGTAAAAGTTTCTTTCAAAGATGTGTTAATACGCCGATGCCTGCTTTCACTTTAAAAAAGCCTAACACGGAAATTTACCTGTGATACTTGTGGCAGTATAGCCAACGATAAATCAACAGAATAATCTAGTGGTGATTAATAATGTTATCTCCGTTGTATAAACCGCAGACGGGATATTCTATCATATTCACAAAATCTAATTTCAAACAAAAAATTGATGAAAGGAAGGCAAAATGTTAACAAAACAAATATTTACATAAATACTTTTGAAAGGAGATTGTCTACTTAAGGAAAGAACTTTGTGTTTGATGCAGGATTTTACTTCAACTAAATTGCCTGGCCTTTATATCATGTGACAAGTGCTTTTCAAGATAATCATAATTAATTCGTCATAACCTAAGTGTTTCTTTTCCCCTATCTAATTTCAGTGACGGTCTGGAAGTTATTACAATCCACAACAGGATGTAAATAAAATCCTTGAAAACAAAAATCAGCTTTCGTTTTGACACACTTCCTGGATTATGGAAAACGGTTTCTTAAATGGGACCGCTAACATTGTGGGATCAATTAAAGAATATCACGAAGTGATGAAAGTCAAGGTTGTTACCGTTGGAGACATGAACGTGGGTAAAACGTCATTGGCTGTCAGATATGCTAAACACGAGTTTATACCATCTTATAATGAAACGATTGGGGGTAAGTGTTAGAAAGAGTCACATTGTCGTTTGTTTGTGTATCATCAACCTATTCTTTGTATGGAAATGTCTTAAAATAAGTGTAACTTGCAATAAGGCACTAAATATCATGTCATATTTAGCCAGGATATCATTGACCTCTTCGAAACTTTGTCCCGGCGGCTGGCATCAGTTGATTGCTCGAGAATACCAAAAGTTCACACTACTTGTTGATTCACAATACCACTATGAGTCAAAGTAAAAGACCGGATCGTTAGAATTTATCATCGTATGTGTAATGAAGTTACTCGTTTCGTGTGAATGTTTATGTAACCAACCATTTAAATATATGCTTTATTTTCATTTTAATTTCAGCTAGTTTTTACGTGAGGTCCATCGAGGTATCTGGGAAAACCTTTTTGTTCCAGATCTGGGATACTGCCGGGCAAGAGAGGTTCCGAAGTCTTGTTCCTATGTACCTTCGAGATGCCAAAATAGCCATATTAGTTTATGATGTAACAAGCAAGGTAAACCAATAGCTTACAACAGTCCAACTTATTTTTATAATATAACTGTAACACAGCCATATTTTTAAAAATCTGTAACTACAGTTCTTTACTGCTTTTGATAATGAGGTGTGTGTTTTTAAGTGGCCTGTGTGATATATAGAATTTTGAACACTTGCAGATGTTTTACAAAAAAGTTATAAAATTGTCTCATGACATTTACCCACACTGCATCAAAATGAATTCGAACAAGGGTTAGACTGAAACGGTAAGTTAGAAAATTACAAATTACAAAGTCGCAAATATGTTTTGCGCGTACTGACACCTTTGTTAAAAGAATGATGGACACCGCACGACGGACTGTTGAGAGGCGATATTATTGATTGGTTGACTAAATAAGATAGAACATATGTTATTTTCTGCACGTTAGAAATCACGTGTTTTTATTTTCACCAGGAATCTTTCGACAATGCTGCTAACTGGCTGAAGGACCTATTGGCCAGTAGTCCAACCTCAGTGAAGATCGCTATGGTTGGAAACAAGATGGACCTGCCAGAACAACGGACTGTGTCCACTGAGGTCAGCAATGATAAAATATGTTTTATAAGTGTATTAATCGTATCAGACCACGCCTTTCCTATACAACGCGATGTTGATATCTAAAAATGATTATCAATTTCATTAATTCAGTTTTGATTTCTCCAAGCCGCCTCCTAAGTTTCATGAATTTAGGCCCTAAGCACCACTGACGAGTCATTGAAGGACGTTGCAGCTGTATGATGTAACATCACTGACGAGTCATTGAAGGACGATGCAGCTGTATGATGCAGCATCACTGACGAGTCATGGAAGGACGATGCAGCTGTATGATGCAACATCACTGACCAGTCCCGGAAGGACGAAACAGCTGTTTGATGTAGCATCACTGACGAGTCATGGAAGGACGAAACATCTGTATCATGTAGCATAACTTACGAGTCCTGCTAGGACGAACAGCTGTATGATGCAGCATCACTGACGAGTCATTGAAGGACGATGCAGCTGTATGATGCAGCATCACTGACGAGTCATGGAAGTACGAAATAGTTGTATCATGTAGCATAACTTACGAGTCCTGCTAGGACGAACAGCTGTATGATGCAGCATCACTGACGAGTCATTGAAGGACGAACAGCTGTATGATGCAGCATCACTGACGAGTCATTGAAGGACGATGCAGCTGTATGATGCAGCATCACTGACGAGTCATGGAAGGACGAAACATCTGTATCATGTAGCATAACTTACGAGTCCTGCTAGGACGAACAGCTGTATGATGCAGCATCACTGACGAGTCATTGAAGGACAATGCAGCTGTATGATGCAGCATCACTGACGAGTCATTGAAGGACGATGCAGCTGTATGATACAGCATCACTGACGAGTCATTGAAGGACGATGCAGCTGTATGATACAGCATCACTGACGAGTCATTGAAGGACGATGCAGCTGTATGATGCAGCATCACTGACGAGTCATTGAAGGACGATGCAGTTGTATGATGCAGCATCACTGACGAGTCATGGGAGGACGAAACATCTGTATCATGTAGCATAACTTACGAGTCCTGCTAAGATGAACAGCTGTATGATGTAGCATCACTGACCAGTCCCGGAAGGACGAAACAGCTGTTTGATGTAGCATCACTGACGAATCATGGAAGGACGAAACATCTGTATCATGTAGCAGAACTTACGAGTCCTGTTAAGATGAACAGCTGTATGATGTAGCATCACTGACCAGTCCTGGAAGGACGAAACAGCTGTTTGATGTAGCATCACTGACGAGTCTAAGAAGGACGAAACAGCTGTATGATGTAGCATTACTGACGAGTCTAAGAAGGACGAAACAGCTGTATGATGCAGTTTAATTTAATGTTTGACTCTAGTGGATCTATTCTATTCGTACTAAGATATTATTCATTTGTGTTTTTGTGACTTTTGTAAATCATTCTAAATTGAAACCCGGAAATTCATACCTGATGATAGCGCACATTATTATGTATAGTATATTTCAGTGATATATTTACGTTTATTATATTCTATACATTATATATATATATATATATTATATATATATATATATATTGGTTTAGATGGAAACAGCTGTATGGTGTAATTGAAGTTATTACTGACTATACAGTATTAAATCAAAATGTTCCATAGACTTGTCTTTTGTACATCATAATACATAGTGAAAGTTTATGTTGTTTGTAGGAATGTAGAGTAAGATGTTCAGATTTTGGTCAGCACTTCCTAAACAGACAAACCCTCTCATTCATGTCATTTATTATAGTTGGATAGTCTACTAAAATGTTATTTATTACAAATACATCTCGGTGCTATTCATCCGTCTTAAACTATACGTAGATGCTTAAGTTCTCATTTTTCTTCTGTAAACTAGAGTTGTCCCTCTTGATATATAACGCCAGATGTATTTTTATGGGTTTTTTTTTTTTTTTTTTTTGCACTTTATCTTCCTTCTATCTTCAATTGTGATTGGACAACAGACTAAACCTAAGATACATTTCAGAACAATAGGGAACCACAATAACGGGATTTCAGCATTTGTTTTGACGGCAAGTGTATCGAAGACTTTAGTACAAAAGTAAAAAAAACTAAACTTTCAATACAAATTTAGAATTCGACAAGGTGTAGCCAAACGATGAATTAAATTGCATCATTCAGCTGATTCTAAGAATTGTCAGTGATGTTATTAAGGAAACCTACGAGGAGGCGGATCCGGATGCAGAGAAATGCCATGTACATCCAAATATTTTGGACCGTGCTAGAATGAATTAAACCGTGATAGGCAGGTTACGGCGAATCATAACAACAACTTCTATGTAATTAACTATGGCTTATTTCATGGAGGTAACCTACTAATGGTTTCTAGCATACTAATATTTGTTTGATGTCGAAAGCAAATGCTGATTGTGTTCAAGTACTGATTGTTCCTAGCAAGGATAGCAGTATTCTGGTTATCATTAATTACCAGTTGATCCAGTTGGCTGATATCCAAGTTAAAGCTTTTTTGTTCATGGTGAATTAATACATAGTATAGAGAAGGCACACGATGAGTTCGATATTCGCAATGTCACTAAATTAAACAGCGTCCTGTACAAAATGTCATCATTAAAAAAAATTATATACCACTGTAACAATACTTCTGTCACGAAAACAAACGGAAATGAAGCAAAATAGACTCACTTTTGACACCAAATCGTGCATAATGATGTATTTTTTGTGCGATATGAAGTTTTGAAGCGTTTGATGGCAATTAACATGCCTGATGTTTTCGTCGTTATTTACCTTGTAATATTATGAGAACGTGACAATTACTTAATGGGGACCGACTAACGCGTACCTGACCTGTCGTCTATAAAGTAACATTCACCGATAATCTCTTTGTACGTTTTCCCCATGTAATATACAATTATAATGCGTCAACGAATACATCTTCAATCTCGCTTCACATTTATATATGAATTAATCACTTAAGTAATCAAAATAGAAGCACAAAAATAATTCTTTGTTTAAATTTCAGGTTGGGAAATGTTTTGCCTCTCAGAAAAACTTGGCTTTCGTTGAAACTTCGGCAAAAACAGGTGAAAACGTAGAGAGGCTATTTGCCATGCTAGGTAAGACGTATATATATGAAATGTACATATTCTACAATTTTGGTTAAATTCAACTTTAAGCGTAAACACACAAATCAATTGCATACGTTTGGTACCAATTCACCATATGCATTCAAGGGACAATATTCACTTTCTAATTTGGTTATATCTTATTTATTAAATATAGAGCTGTACGCAAGCTTTCAATTTTGGATGTAATCATAAATATCACACAAAAAAGACACAAAGCGAATAATACCTTTTAATACCAAACTATCAAATTCGTTTTAAAACAAGTTTAAAAAATTACAAAAAATATTGATTATGGGGTTATTTCACCACCCCGTCTAGATTTTGACTTGGATTACTTTCGATGTGCAATGGTATGATGAATTATACTTCATTGTTTGGTAAAATGAACACTGCAACCTCAGGTGAGCTTGTGTTACAGTAGCGACCTCTAATTTGTCTGCACGATTGAGTTGTTGATATCTGATGATTAATAGGTCTGTTTTTTTACAGCCGAGATGATGTTGGAGGAGGCAGATTCTTTGGACAGACAAACATCAACTGATACGACATTATCATCGCCCACTGTTGACGTCAGCAATTTAACGTCACCAACTCCAGGTCGAAGAAAATGCTGTCACTTATGATGTTAAAACAAAATCTACATACAATATGTATGTACTTATTTGTAATATATTTGTCAATGTAAAATTGAGTATGGGTTGTTATTCTAATGTTTATTATTAGGTATTAAGCTATATCATTTTAAAGGCAACGAGCACTGCATCATAATGTACATGCAATTGATAGCAATATTTCGGTTTTAACGTATTACAACATTGAATGTCGTCTTTTAATATCACATGATTTGGTTACCTGTCAAGAAATTCACTTCCAGTTAAGCCCTATATTATCGAATACCTTTCTGAAAAAATCTTGGACGAAGATGAAATTCACTACACCTATCGGTCAAAAATGTTAACGAATGAACATCACACGAGAAAAGAAAATTAATCTCTGTTGACATCACATATAAAAATGTATAAACAATGACCTACTCCATAGCACATGTACAGTGTTGATCACCTGAGCATGATTTACTTTCAGTAGTAGTTTACGGCGAACAAACGGATAACACTGTTGACCGATATTGTGTTCATAATAATTGGTGATTTGCAGTATTACAAAATGGCATGCCAACTAATTTATGTTGTATTAATTTATAAGAAATGGGTATTATTACGTAAGCCAATGTAATCATTGAGAAAAAGTCATAATATTGAGACAAATATGATAATCATTCCATTGTTTGAAATCATATATATATATATTGGGGTGGGGTGTGGAGTGAGTGTGTTTGTGTGGAGGTGAGTGGAGGTGGGGTTGAGATGTGAGTGGGGGTGGGGGTGTGGTTGTGGTGAGTGTGTGTGTGTTGGGGGCGAGTGTTTGTATTGCATATAACATGAATTTGTTATTCTATTTCAATTATCACACATGTTGATGTACAATAACTTTGGTAAAAATGTCTATTTCACATTCCATTCTAAAGGTAAATAATCTTCAGTTTAAATGGTGACTTCCACACCGTAATGAGCCAAATAATTGAAATATTTAACATCTGCACGTTAATTAGATGTTGCGCATGTTCATTTGATACATTTCTATGAACACTGTAAATCTCATACTTGATTAATTTAAATCAGGTAGCAGTATTAGGATCTTGTAATATTGTATGAATGGTTAAAGTTTCTACTCAAATCTTACTTGTTTATGCATTATTTGAATTCCATTCCGGTTTGTTTCCCTTAATACGTTATTTGTAAACAGTAATATTTTATGAATCTTAAAAAAATAATTGGAAAGTATAGGTTAATATGATGTAATCTGTATATATTGTGCTATCGTTATGATGTCATCTGTTTGTGTTATCTTATCGTTATGATGTCATCTGTTTGTGTTATCTTTTCGTTATGATGTCATCTGTTTGTGTTATCTTATCGTTATGATGTCATCTGTTTGTGCTGTCTTTTCGTTATGGTGTCATATGTTCGTGTTGGCCTATCTTCATTGATGTTGACGATTAACGTTGCTTGTCTATTTAATCCTCCATCACAGAATATTTCCATGGATACTATTAACTAGTTTGCGTCATCTGAAATTTTATGGACGTTTTCCAGGTCCTTCATTATTAAAATCCAGTTTGTATTTTGTCTATAGCGAATCTTATTTATGTCATGTGTTTTGGCTATGAGTATGAGCTTTATCATATATATGTACAAATTCTACTATACGATCCCTTGTGAAATGTAGAATTTTAGATACTATTACTATCAAGCAAATGCCTTGGTGACAGAAACCTTTAACCTTTTCAGGAACACTTTATGGTAATGTTCATATGCATGCATATACATATTTTATTATTTGTAGCTATCTATGCGTGAACTGATATATGTAAATCTCTAACTATTTTCTGCGTGAATATTATCAAAGAATGAATGTTAGATGAGAGAAGAGTAAACGTGATGAAAATGAATTAACGATAAAGGTGAAAGAGACCTCCTGCGAGAGGTCCCTTTATGTACTGGGGGATGAACCAGAGTTCCAATCTTGGCATCCATCCAAATTATTTTATGCTCGGAAATAACAAGATCAGTCTGAACCCTTAAAATGATTGTCCAGATAATAATCATTAAAGAACACAAAAATAAGCAAAAATATGTTTATTTTCACGAACGGCCTGTAAATAAAACTGACAAAATACAATATACAAGTTTTGAGCACATACAATCCTTATGCATCTAGAGGACCATAAGAGTTATGTCGCAGACTTTTTACATAATCACAAGATATATGGTAATAATCTTATACAGGAAAAGGGATGAACCTCAAAACTGTGTAAACGTGGAGTTAATCATCCGTCTTTCACACGGCTATATACAGCGATATGGCGAGTTAGATTTTTTCCAAATTAACGTAAATCGAAATCCTACGCAACTTAAAAAAACGATTGCCCTTCGGTCCAATAGCACTTTGATTCACTAATGCAATTGTTTAATCCATCAAATTGCCATGAAGGCCACACAGAATTGAAAAAATGGTTCATCGGGAAACCTTAGGGAAAATACGACCAAGGAATTTAAATATGTATTATCTATCTTTTCGATCGATTTAGGAGAGAACGTTATTCCACAAGAGTATACTAGGGGTTTTAAGACCTGGATAAGAGTTCCAATTGTAATTTGGTATGGTATTTGGAGGTACTGTTTGGTTACGTTTTTATCAATAACGTTATACTTTATTGGAAATGTTGAGATAAAAAACATTATAACGAAGATTGAAAGATGTTATACAGATACCTTGAATTCTTTCATCAAATAAAATGTTTCCCTTGAAAATGGTATCCATTTTACATTGTGCATGCATTGTTTCAAATAGTTCATAAGAGGTAAATTATATAACCACGCTAAAGCTATTTTGTTCATATCCGACAACATCACCAAACATAATTTCTTTTTCTAAAATGGACCCATGATACCACACATGCAGTACAGTTCCTTACCCAAATAAAACTTTATTCCGATTTCAAATTTGTTATACTATGTGCCATATACGACAATCTTGAACAATTTTCCTCCGATGTGATCGAAAGTAATTATGAAAAATGATTTTATCAAAAAGACATGTTACACTGAAAAAAACACCAGTAATTTAGTATTACAATGCCATGTTACACCGAAAAACACCAGTAATTTTAGTGTAACGATGACATGTTACACTAAAAAAACACCAGTAATTTGAATATTACAATGTCATGTTACACCGAAAAAACACCAGTAATATTAGTATTACAATGTCATGTTACACTGAAAAAACACCAGTAATTTGAATATTACAATGTCATGTTACACCGAAAAAACACCAGTAATTTTAATATTACAATGTCATGTTACACCGAAAAAACACCAGTAATTTTAATATTACAATGACATGTTACACCGAAAAAACACCAGTAATTTTAGTATTACAATGTCATGTTACACCGAAAAAACACCAGTAATTTTAGTATTACAATGTCATGTTACACTGAAAAAACAGCAGTAATTTTAATATTACAATGACATGTTACACTGAAAACCTCCCAGTAATTTTAGTTTTACAATGTCATGTTACACTAAAAAACCAAGTGATTTTTGTTTTACAATGACATGTTACACTGAAAAAACTCAGTAATTTTAATATTACAATGTCATGTTACACTGAAAAAACAGCAGTAATTTTAATATTACAATGACATGTTACACTGAAAACCTCCCAGTAATTTTAGTTTTACAATGTCATGTTACACTGAAAAAACCCGGTAATTTTAGTTTTACAATGTCATGTTACACTGAAAAAACCCGGTAATTTTAGTTTTACAATGTCATGTTACACTAAAAAACCAAGTGATTTTTGTTTTACAATGACATGTTACACTGAAAAAACCCGGTAATTTTAGTATTACAATGTCATGTTACACTGAAAAAACTGCAGTTATTTTAGTTTTGCAATGACATGTTACACTGAAAAAACCCGGTAATTTTAGTATTACAATGTCATGTTACACTGAAAAAACTGCAGTAATTTTAGTTTTGCAATGACATGTTACACTGAAAAAACCCGGTAATTTTAGTATTACAATGTCATGTTACACTGAAAAAACAACAGTAATTTTGGTATTACTTTTTTGTGAATTTCAGAATAATTATGATTGCAATACTTCTATCACGACCAAAAATACTACTTTTTGTACATGTTAATGGCTATTGTATACTCAACCCCAAAAATGATTGATTTCATGTCGAGGTCCAACGTTCCAAATATGAATTAATATGAATCATTGCCGTTTGCAGGGCTTTTTCCTGTCATGTTCTGTTTGTGCATATACAACACGAACACCCGTCGAATGCGGCGGTGTCTGGACTCCATTTGCAACTAAGATAACATTTGCCGCTTGTGTTAAACATTCGCGCAAATTATCAAAATATTCCATTACAATTCAAGTGTGAAAGTGATCCAAATCAAGGATATGTAATATCAGAAACGGACAATAATAATACAGGATTCGGGCAGTTTCTGAGGAGCGTTGGAAAGATTGTCTCTCAACCTTCAATTATAAAAGTGGTTATTCCCAAAGAACTTGGTGTGTCCTAAGAATGACAGGAGGTTAGAGAAAACGGAAATATAATCAAAGTGTCTTATTTGACAACCAGTTTAGAAAACGAAAAATCCAGTTTTCAGCCAAAGTCGTCCTTTTTCATTTTCACTTTTGTAAAAGTATTGGACTTTCAGGTAAGTTACTTTCACATGCCTTTACTACTTATATCATAGTATAAGAGTCATTGACAAAAAGTCTCAACCGAGATACTTTCCGTCAGTTGCAAATATCATAATTTATGTCTTGATCTGGTTGATAGTTTCTTATCAAATACATAATATATTTGGAGTATAATTATATCATCATATTATCTTATCCTACCCTATTCGTAATAATATTTATTTGGGATCAAAATAAGAATGCTGCATTAATTAATGTTCCTATGGTTTTAGAGAAGCAATATAAATGTATTTTACAATATGTATATATATATATACAATTCGTGTCATATTTCCAACATACATTCCTGATTGTCTGGATACTGACTCCGTCAAACTTATATCAATTCTTCAATTTATTTCACATTGTGAATATATGAATAAAATTCACACATGCGAAATGGAGGTTCTGGAGGGAGATTGGGTTCCATAGCTCTTACAGCAGTATTTTGCAAACATCTGAGTATTAAAGATAATGTATATGATGGGATTGGCAGCACTGTTAAGAGGGGCGAGACTCTGTATGAAGGTACTAACAGCAATGCTTTGTGGTGTGCCGTTCTTTATGTTACCATAGGCGTCCAACAGATCATACACGAAGAATGGGCTCCAACATAGTACAAATGCTGGAATTAAAGAAATAACATTAATCAAAAGAAATGAAGGTATTCAAAGATATAAAATGAGAAAATCTTATATTAATTAAATCAACTAAGCTATTATTGAAAATATTGAAATAATTTTTATTTTGAAAACCTCGTTATAATTATACACTGCATATATTTCTTAAGTCATTTGTACATTTGCATTATCTCTGTGACATTAATTGAAACATCCAAATATAATTAGGATGTAACATATTCCATACTTTTTTCATTGTAAACAATGTATAACATTTTTTTGTAAGTGATTTAGGGTAATTTATTACCTAAAACAATAACGAATGTTATTTTGATTGTTTTTATTCTAGCCCTTGGAATGATCCCCCTTGAACTCATGCCAATGTCAGCCCGATTGCCTCGTATAGGTGTGCGATGTAGTACTAAAGATGGGGTACCATATGTAGTTCCTGTAAAAATATAATATGAAGAAAAGATATGACTGAGACTCAGTGGAAATATAGAAATAACATTAGATATTTATAGAAGGATAATGTCTCCTTCTCAGTTTAATTGATAAACAATTGATATATTTGAACGAAATCACCGCATACAGAATTAACTGTTACATCTAAGTAACATAATTTTTATAATTCAGAGCACAACATCTAAACGAAAAAGATTTTAACGCATGTGAATATCGAAGTTCGTACCTATTCCTAGGTATTTCATTGCACTTATGTATTCGTGGGCATCTCAGTTAAAAAATCCACAGAAAACATATTTGAAAACTGGTGTTTATACTGGTATTAACGTGACCTACCATTTGCCGATGTAGTAGTAGTCAGTAGGTAGCGCTCACAGCTGTATTCGTGTGAGGATAACGCTGAACTGTTTTTTCTCCAGATTATACAGATGATGAACAGATACGAAAACATAATGATCAGGGCTGGGACCACAAATATTGCCATGGCTATAAGAGTGATGTAAACCTGAAATTATTGGACACTGGTAATGAAAAATCAATGTGAAATATTTATATAAAGTAAATCAGTAGATTTTCTACATTTTCAAATCTGAAATAAAAAAAAACCCATAAGTGTCAGTCATGAACTTATAACGGGTAGATGCCAAATCTAATGAACTGCACGTAATTTGATAACAAAAATCAGTTAAAATTCATACAAAGGAAATATCTTGAATCTTGTAATGTCATTAACGACAACGCGAAGTCAAGATTTTCAATATGTCTTCTTATACAGAGACAAGACATATTAACAAAGTCCAGAAAGTCAATTACAACATCCCGATATCGGGAAAAAACATCAAAGAGAAACATACTAAATTGAGCTGGCAACTGTTGACTTCAATGAGTCAAAACTTAATGACATAATGGCCTGTGTCTGTAACCAGAGTGTAAACATGACGTGGTATGTAAGTATTTTGTGTGCTACAGAATAATAAGTGAAGAGAAATTGTCACTGCATGTGCAAGAATAAGGGCTGGACCGTGATAATATTGACTGGCTGATTGTCAATCGTTATATGCCAATATGTGCTGTCATGTGGCAACTGGTGGTATATTTCAGCAGGACAATATTAAACTGCTAATGACGCGATTCACTAAAAATCTCCCTACGAAAACAATGTCCCTGTGTCACAATAGTCAACACTCTCACTATACATGGTGAGCCAGATGGTATTTAACAAACACAGAGAAAAAATTAATTGCCAGAAAATAATTTATAGTAAAAAAAAAAAGTTCAGTAAAATTGCTGTGTCTGTAAAAAAAAGCTTTAAATCATGTTTAGAAGGAAATCATAATATTTCATCTAGAAAAGTACAAAGAAAGTATCAATCATGCTGGTAAAAAGCGTTACAACATCAAGAATGGCGTATTGATGGCAAATTTATAGCCAAATACGGTGTGAGGTGATTTGCCTATTTCCGGTTTGAGAATAAATCTCATTTCTTCTTTTTCGCCATCAAATATATAACTATTTTCAGTACATTATTGACTTTCAACACGGAAGTTCCTCGTCAGGCAGAATAACTGCCAAACCGAAAAAATATTGGGCATGATGGATAAAATCGCGTGACTGATAAAAGCTGCCTGACAATTTTGAAATGATAATATAGTGATTTAACGAGTTATGCTGTCTCTGTTGTCAGCGCAGAGCTTTCATGAAACATCATGGTTTCAACATCGGTATCTCCACGCGCGCCGCTTAGCGAACGTAACGTATATCCTTGTAACTAATCTATTGCATTTAAGGATGATTGCATATGTGTGTTTCGGCAGGAAATAGGTTTGAAAAATGTTTAGTATAACCAGTCGCAATATTAAGATAAATCAACAAATATCATTAACACCCTCTTCAACACGCACATTAACACAAAATATTAGTTCTTAACAAAATGTCAAAAGATAATGTAAAATAAGAAAAAAAAGAGGAAATAAATTGAAAGCAAGAGGGCAATGGCCCTTAACGGTCATATGACAATCGATGAATGGATGGACAAACAATAGAATTTGCTGATGGGTGTCTGCGCTTTGGAGCAAAATATTATCTAACTTTCCCTGTTGGAGCCTGGACTCAGTCGCTAAGGATACATCAATTTTCTTTATCTAAGAAATTCATATCCACCCTCGATGATGTTTTGTACCATATTTGGTTGCATTCAAATCAAGCCATAAGGAAGTGTTGCTCTTTCAAGCAAATTAATTGACTAATTCTCCCATTTGTGACCTCGCTCCAAGGTCACTTGGGGTCAAATCAACCTTCTGAATTTAAGAAAGAATAACCCACCTGCAAATATTTTTGGCTGAAAGCTACCCAGCCATTAAGAAGGAGTAGCGTTTTGAATCAAAACATTGTCTAATTTCCATTTGGGGCCCCTCTAGCACGTCTCTAGGTGTCGAATCAACTTTCTAAATTAAACAAAAATTAAGACCCCCACTCTCAAACTTGGTTGAGGCCCTGCCGTAAATTCTCTCGGGTTTGAAAAAACTTTCTGAATTAAAGAAATGATTTCCCACTCCCAATGATGTTTCAGACCAAATGTGTTTGAAAACAATTCAAGCATTAAAAAAGAGTAACATTTTGAAGGAAAATATTGCCTTATTCCCCTTTTGGGGCCCTAGGCCCCAGTGGTCGTATTAAATTTCTGAATTGAAAATATAATTGTCTACCCTAACTGATGAATCAGGCAAAAGCTTATTGGAATGTACCCAGGCAGAAAGCAGGAGTAGGGTTTTAAATCTAATTTCAGCGTCTCCCCATTTGGGGCCCCGTCCCCCGACACCCAGATTGGTTTATCAAAATTAATTTATAAAATGATTATCCTCATGGACATGAAAGAGAAGTAGGGTTTGAAAAGCAAACGTTTACGCACCGCTGACGGCGCACAAGGACGAGCTATGCACGATAGCAAATAGGTCATCTTGACCTTTCGGGTCAAATGACCTAACAATCTATTGAGAATTACTTAACTTGCAGTACAGTGTTATAATATGGAGAATAATTGCATAAACCTTATAAGTCATCATTGGCAATTGCTGAAAGATTTTCACTTGCCAGATAGCTGTGATACTAGAAATTAACTTTTTTGTGATCCAATCAACGCTTGTTTACTGCAAAGTTTGAGAAGACGATGGCGGGAGTATGCTATTGTGTGACGGTCTTAGGGAATAAATGACATAAACAGTAGACAAAGCAGGAAGATAACACAGCTACCTGATCACTTTATATCTGACTATAATGGATCCACTTTTATCTAATTTCAACATGCTGAATTACATAGTCTAGGGATAGGATGTTAAAGTTAATCCTCGCGACCAGATGACGTCACAGCACAGCATCTGATGATCACTCTAACACAGACATCGATCGATCTTTGTCAGTTGTAAGAAACTGGATCACGGAGATCGTTTTTGGAATACGAGGCAGCAAACGACGATTTGGAAATATGATTGAATGAGCTTTGTAACATGTTCAGCGCCACAAGGAATCACAAGAGTCATCTGACGTTGGTTAAACACTGCTCAGAGGCATCAAGTTTAATACAAATGTATATATGATAATTGTAAATGTGATAATAAATTAAACGCAATATTGACATGGATTTTACTGATGGATGTTCGGTCATCGAGCAAATGATAATCAAATTCAAATGAATGGAAATCAAAGCTCATTCAACGTTGATTTTTATTTAATATTGGAGTTACTGAAATTTCCCATGTGGTTTTAAATATTTACTTTAACCACAGAAGGTCAAAACAGCTGTATCTAACACAGTTTAATTCACTATTTGGCTCTACTGTACCTGAAAGCGTATTCCTTCAATTTCACTTTCAGATATATTGATAACGACTCTTTTGATACAGGAAATTTACTAACCACGTTAATCGGATATGCCAGGGCTGTGTCAATACATACGCAAAAACGCGGTTGCGTACACATCGTGGTTGGAAAAATGAGAAAGAGATGGGGCGGGGAGGGAATGAACCCAGAGAGACATTTAAAACAAACGTACGGAGTATTTTTTACAAAGCATTTGTTTTGTTTATGAAATTTTAGCAGACATTAACATTTAATGCGCTATCGACTCATAAAAGGTTGCAACAGCTGGGGGCTGTGCACGTGAAATAATAAAATTCAAACGCATTGTACCCTTTACCTCATTCGTAAATGTCCCGGAACTGTAACAATGTTCTCCAGGGTATTTTTTCTCAAAATGTCGCCAACCTCACCAGTAGGAAATTTGGGGTAATTCAGGACCTAAACATCAACAGCCAGATATTATTTATATAGAAAAGCTTACTGATGGGATTGAATATGGTGTTTTGACAAAACATGAGTCGACGTTCGCACGTATACATTCCAGTTTTCCAAAGGATGGTTTACGCATCCACGTGGAGTTGCTCAGAGTCGTTGATCAATTTAACGCATGCTGTAGGTTGGCAAATAGTTAAAATTAAGTTTTCAATGGTTAGTTACCCTGGTACAATTTTTAAATACTAGTCACTTTCTGTCAATTCGGCAACAGTGAAATTCTCTTCTTAGACTCATTTAATAGAGAGTTAGTCAAAATAGGTAGAAAGATCCTGGGTTCGACTTCATCAGGAGTCATCAAAAATATTGACAGTGACAATCACCAGTTGGGTTATTTTTAATCAATATTTTCGGATTTAAATCCACACAGATATGTATACTATGAAGATATTCTATGTTACAATACTTCAGGTTTAAACACTTTTAGTCTTTGCAATCAAGGATAATTTTAACAACTGGCCCTAGCTTTTCTGTTTTGTATCACCTTTAGGCGATAGAGTCGAAAATTATTCACTTACAATCTATTTTCATTCATTTTCTTAAGATGTATTTTATCTGTTATTCAATGACGACTGAGAATGAGAATTAATGCAAATTAGTTGAATAAGTGTGAAAGAAAAAAGAAAAAGAAAGAAATGAAGGTGAATGAGCAATATCACGGAAACAGTAAAACTAACAACCCAGTCTCCACTGCAAACCGGTAATAGACCGGAACTGGTCAAGCTTGCTTAATCTATGGGAACTGGCTACAAATATACCTTCTTTTTTAGCTAATATTAATAATCACTGATGACCAAACAGCTAGAAATTTCCATGTACAATGTACAATTTTTTCTTATACATCATTTTCGTTCAGTTCTGCTCCTCAAGGACACGACGGACTCTTCTACATCGGTCGCTTACCTCGATATTTTTCCTAAAGAAACCAACATGGACCACCAAGTTGTATGATAATATGATGTGTGATGGTTGCAGTTTCTCTATTGAATTTTAAATATATGTATATATAATGTAACTATATATCGCAGTTGATTCGATATTTGGCCTGTTCCAATATTACCAGTTTCATGATATCACCAATTGACAGACAAACTCGCATCACAGGGTTTTCGGGAAATGCAGTTTGATAAAGATAATATTGTAGTTTGACGTCTATAACCTTTGAAGTTTATGAAGTTAGACTTGGTTGTTGCTTGTAAGCATGCCAAGTAGTTTCGTTTTTTTTTTTTTTTTTTGTTTTTTTGTTTTTATTTTTTTTTTTTTTGTTTTTGATCTTGTTCTCATTTGAGAACGTGGTATTTGCTTTCTTGGATTAACAATACTTTACTAACCACATGACCATATGTTTTGTTTTTAGTTGTCTCAGTGTAAACCTTTCTTTATATATATATATGTATATATTGCCAAATATACCTGAATCTAAATTTGAGCTAAGAATCCGTTGACGTCAGTATTATTCTTGTTATTTTAGTACTCATATTTCGAAATTAATCATAAAACAATACAAAATCCTTTTGTCAACTGATATAGGTCAAGACACTGTAACATAAAAGCAGCACAAATGTTAAGTACGGGACACAAATTAATACCTAGCGTTAAAGAGAGGTATGTTAAAGAGGCAATTTATTCATTAACATCTTAATGATATTGTGTAACAGGAAATTTACCTTACAACGCTTATAGGAAGAAAACTATGTGAAACACTTTAATCGTATGGAGCCATTTAGTTCCATACCACGCTTCTTCACATGAAGTGAATGATGACAAAGCACTTAGTTTGTATTACTTAACACGGTTCTTACAAAGGTATATCCACACAGCCGCTGAAGAACGGCACTGTTAAAGAAAAGTCAACGGTCTATATGTGGCCCAAGTCAGCGATTCATTCCCATGAGAAATAGACATTACATTGATTTTTTGTATTGAAATGTGCTTTTCACTTCTGTGTCTTTTGCACAGTCTATGAGATGGCAGATGATAGACACTGTTTTAGTGCCGGAACCTGCATGTCACGTTTTAATTCAATCAAACAGTGGCACAATTCAGAATGAACGCATGTACTTGACGGTCTTTCGAAATAATCAGACATATGGAAATTACGAAATATGTTGAATAGCAAGTGGACCCTCCAATCATTTGATCGATTTTGGTTATATTAAGTTGCACTCGCCTGTCACCGAGGAGTCCTGGGATCGATTCCACAACGGACGTTGTAAGTTATTGGGTGACCTGCCCGACCTCGTTATTCACGGATGCTCCTATTTCCTCCCCCTGTAAGACCCCTCTCGCTCTTGCATTTTGACCAACATGAGTGATTGATAGAATTGGTAATTTCACATTTTTTTTTTTTTTAAATGAAGTTGATTTCTTAGTAACAGACTCCTTAATGGATGTGAGGGCATCCCTATTTACCGACTAGGCTTCGTCACGACTTCGAAAGCTCTATGGAGGTAATGAATTTGCTGAAGCTCTATATATTAAAAAGCTCTATAAATCTCACTTATGATGTCTTGATTTATAAATTGATAGAATTATCAATAACCGTATAATGCAAGTACGTGAATGCGGTAGATATGATGAAAATTTAACGAAAAATCATTTTTTTTATCTGTATACTATAAGGAAAATCTCGCTGGAATGAATATTCAATTTTCTTTATATCATAATTCATGATGGCAACTGGAGATATTGGAAACTTCAGTACATTCTTCCGAATGAAATGGCTCTGCCGTTGATTTCATTGAAGGCTTTTAGATTAAGACAGGGTCGGATTGAATTGACATTTTAAACTAATGAACTATGTCTGGTTTAATTTGAAGGTAGATATTGTTAACGATGTGTTTAACGTGAGTGTATCAAAATGACAATAACATACCTTCCACATCCATGGCTCCGGAAGGAACATCCAGCATTGTACCTTGGGACCGTCTACGCCTCCGTCCACGACTTCTTCGTTGTACAAGTGAAGGAGTGGCAGCGAGAATAGGAAGGAGAAAAACCAACCAAGACTGATTAGCACCCGGTGATGTCGGTCTAGGAGAGAGACAATAAAGTTATCTTATATACCGTCGCTCGACAATAAGGCATCACTGAAGTCAATCTCCATAATAGAAGTTGTAGAAGCAAACCCATTGTATTGCTCTATTGTAACTCTAAAGTTTATTAAAATGCGTCGTTCACTTACGCGTCTTTGTTGCAATATGTTTGGAGTATATATCTATTAACAAATTATATCGACTGTCGTCTTATAAGCAGAAAACAGACGCATATTCTCCCTGTGCTTCGCATTTATTTTTTGCTCTCAGTTACCGCTTTTGGTTTTGGATTTTGTTAACCTGTTAGTTTTCACTTTTAAATGTTTAAGTACTTGAAAGGGAAAATAATTTTAAATATCAGAATGACATTCCGATTGAAATGTTCAGGAATTGCATTCTCTTATCGTTTCCATTTCACCTAATATCATATACAAGTCTCACGATATGATGCCAAAAAGGAATATCAGAAATCAGGTGAATACTTTCGTACATCCACTATATATGGACATATTGAAACATTTAACATTTTCCTTACATTTCGCGAAGATCGAAAGTAAAATTTCATTATGCGCAGCCACCTCGAATTACCGTTCCTTCTGACCTCCTCACCGACTTCCATGCTATTTCGATAACAATAAAAATGCACGCAATCCTGTACATGAAAATTCAAAAATAAATCCGAATTCTATTTCAAATTGCACTTTTGATTTCTTATGATTTCTTAAAAAAAAACTCTGTCAGTCTCATTTCAAACCAACATATTATAAGGGAACCTGCTGACACATTCTGATTATGACAATAATGATCTTCTGCAGTAAGGGAATCTGGCGGAAATTAACGTGAAAATGTCTATTTATCGCTGTAGGCTATCTTATTAAGTCTATGTAATTAACTGAAAATTTATAAGAAAACAATATATTTAGAATTGAATATGGTTTTGCTTGCTGCATGCTACGAGACCTTCCGATGGATACAGCCGTTGGTAAAACACATGTACTCTCGACATTTCTTTTATCTCTCTTTCCCTCTAAAGTTGTATTTGCTGTTATATCTATGACTAACGTATTGAAGTCATAATATAATCTGTGACGTCCTTTCTTTATCTTCAACAGACACCACAATAGTTTATATAACACGAGTTCATCCATTAAATTACAATACTTTCAAACTTTTCAAAATTCCTACGGGGAAAAGAGCGTGAACGTTTTATCATGGTTACATAGATAAATAAAAGTTACTACTAAAACTATGACGTTTTTACAAAGAGAGTTCCTTTAAAATTTTCTGATCTGTTCGGTAAGTAGTTCCATATAAATTGAGCAAATATCAGGGCTAAAACGACGAAGATTTTTTTTTTTATCAATTATTGATTTTTCAGCTAAAACCATCCCTTTTTATGATAATTGCTTTTTACTTATAAACATTTTGCTAGGCCAGCATTACCTTTCATTATGACCTCATTTGTCCACCGCCTTCCCTTGAATGTAGAGTACTTACTTCTTGTCTGCAAGTTCAACGGTTTGGCGATGGCTTCTAGTCGGTCAATGGTTAGCGCAACGAGTGCATAACTAGATCCGTAGATGACAAACGTCTGTGTGAACTTGATCAATTTGCAGACAATGTTCCCGGCGTGCCATTCAATTGTGATTTTCCACAATATGTCGGTCAAAATGAAGAAAATCCCAACCAGTAAATCTGAAGACAGAAAAAGGACATATTAATTCCCCTTTTCATAAATACCATTGACTGAAATATAGATTGAAATGTTCCTTCGATGAAGGTAGCCTATTGGGAAGATGAACGACACATTGACTGATATCTAAGTTATACGTTAACCTTTGATCACACATGCAATAGGGAATGCCCTTTCTGTAAAGATAGATTTCGAATTTTCTTAACAGATAAAAGCACGGATGTGTCTTAGAAGGATGGCAATACTTAATTGTACACTATACTTAAGGGGTTATGATCATTTTGCACCCCTCTGCACCCCTGGAACATGTCATGGCATAATTGAAGTTTCGATGTGCAAAACCTTGTGGCAAAGACGGAAAGACTGCTTTGATAATTTGTTGTATATCAAATGAGGTCGTATACATTGTAATGGTTTTGAAATTGGATGTCGCTCCTTTGTAATCTTCAAAAGGAGCATATTAGCCTATGATTGGTCAGTTTATCTTTCCTGTAACCAATCAAATTACATCGTTTGTGCTTCAATTTTACTGGGACATGTTTCAGGGGTGCAGAGAGCGAAAGTGATCGTTACTCCAGGGATATCGAAAATGCGATACGGCATATTCTGTCAATATTACATACATGTATTTATGCGATTCTCGTATTTGTATCGTTCGCACATTCAATGACAATGTGTCCATAACGATCAGCAAAGCGGAATATAGTAATGTAATATCAGTGATAAACCAATACAGTGAAGGTCGGGCAGAAGCTAGTTCCTTAAAATAACTGTCATTAGATCTAGTTTTTGTTATAACGAGGTCATACAATGTTAGGCGTCGAAATTTAATTTGTTTACTGAAATCAAATTCACTAGCGTCAATATACTAGACTATGAATGAGTCATTATTTACAATATATTACCATTCATTATCTCGGAAGAAATTTTGAGGTGGCAGAAACACTGGTAGGCAATTAGTTCCAGAGGTTTGCCGTAACTTGCATGCAACGTTTTAATTCATTCGGATAGTGGCACGCTTCTTGTTACGTTTTTTAAAACCATTTTACCATTTCGCCAACCGTTTTCTTCCCTAGGACACAGAATTATAGTACAGCCGGAACAAATAGTCGATTCCTCACAATCTCAATCACTACATACGTCAGTGCCAATGTCCATCACATTGGTCATTTGTCTGGTGAAGGTGCAAGTGCAGCTATAAACACGTCACAAGTAAATCGTAGATACCGTTCTATTCTATTCTGCTAGTGCAAACATCATTATGATTTTTATAGCATATTTCTAAAAAAATTGCACAAAAACACTTTATGTAAGAAACGTTTCACTTTCATTTCGAGAACATGGAATTACTTCAATTGATGTAGATTACTCTAGCGGTTTCGTGAACGATGAAGACGCTTACTCTTTCCGAAAAGCAGATCTTGTCTTGTCTTTAACCTCTTCTGCTTTTACAACGCGTACTGTGTAAATTTTAATTTTGTTTTATCTTTTCAGTAATTTTTAGTTAGAATTACAACTTTATTGACACGCTGATGTTCTCTAAAACAGCAAGTTGAGGGAATACATGGAGATAACTAAATAAAAAAACATTTAGGTCAAGGACAAGGTATTTCAAGCGGTCAACGCTGAAACCAGTAGATAATTGAACGAATGCAATTTCACGTAGCCATGACCCTACAACCCTTGCCTGTCAGTCAACTTTCTCATCAATCCAAGGAAGTGAGCTAAAACATAATTTTCTTTCCTTGAAAGCATGCTTGATGTAATGAAAAAGGATCCCTCTGCGGAAATACAAGATTAATTCATGAAAAAGGGTAACACATTATGTATTACATTATTTATTTAACACGTACCATTGTTATGGTTCTTTGTGATTCTAAAAGTCGTCTGGTTGATAAAACTTTTGAGCTTCATCATCTATATTTTATGCAAAGGTATGTCGTCAAATAATCTGCCGTATAGAATCGATACCTTTGAGAATAGTCTTTCATCGATTGGTCTCATCTCTCTTTTCAGTTGTAATAAAAAATACCGGGACCATCACCACCACCATCACTACCAATATCACTAATGACTACGACCACTGCCATCACCCCCAACAATTATATCATGGATACCAGTTCCTAGCCAAACATTTTTAAGCAAAGAAATGTCCACTACAATCTAAAGGTATATCATATCTTTCTGCTATTTGATATGAGGAATCGCTTAAGCAATATATAAATTCTTATGAAAAAAAAAAAATTACTTATTTTAATCACTCCTTTGTCTGGATTGAAATATGCAGTGGTCTTAATGTGAAAATAAACCTGAGTATCCAAGTAACTGTGGTTAGGAAGGTGATCACCATACCATTTCACGTCTGATCGGATAATCAAACTCTGGTCGACAGAGTGAAAGGCGAGTGCGCTACCACTGCGCCACATGGCTATGTTATGAAACAAGCCATTATCAATATAAACCCCTAAGTTATAAGAGATATTCAATGAAAAGGTAAATTCTTATACATGTAGCGTGATTCTATGATATTGTACTCCTTGTTGCCTTTGTCTAGCATCACGAATAAAGAAATAAACCGCGGTAATTGGTATATCAATCATTTATACGTCTCTCCAGTTAGGTCTTAGGAAAACAACATCAAGTTATTGATAGAGATGTAAATTTACGTAAATGAAAACAGTTTTAATTGTAGAGGGAACAATTATTCAGTTTTAACAGGCATTGTCGAACGCGTCTGGCGGGGATTATCGCCGGACAATACAGCAATACAGACAAGACATCACTGTATTTATAAAGAAGCTGCGATATAATGATGGATGTCTCACGGGAGCTCGTAGACTATCTGAAATGTTGTGGCGATACAGCAGTGACAACTCATTAAACACAGGATGGATAAGAATATAATCCTATATAACCGTAATAAGAAGGGCAGATTTGTTGTTGCTAATTACTTTTTCATTCGGAAAAACATAAAGGCTTTCTAGTTATGCAAGCCCATTTGTCCTCAATATAACGATTACCGTAAAAGATGTTGATAAGTTAGAGGGAAACATAAAATTCAGGATTTGAAGACCACTGGAAAGATTTATTGTCACAATTATCTCTTTGTGATGTGACATGAACCTGGACTTGTTTGATGCTCACCAGTTGTTTCTATTGTTATATGCCTTTTTCTAATTTGGGAACGTGGAATTACTTATTTCAACAAAGATTTACATGATGGGTGTCCTCCATGAAGCAGAAGACGCTAACTCCTCCGGAACACGACTTGTTCCCTTACGATTTTTATTCATGGGTCTTTCTATTGTTTATACCTTGCCCTTATTTAATTGAATTTGAGTTTAGATTATAATTATGTTCTCATGTCGGTATTTTCTTAGTAAGATGCGTCGACGGTGATTAGTATGCCGGATGTTTCCTTCTCAATGCAGAACGTCATAACATGCCTGGGTCGACCAATATTTGAACTTTGCGAGTGTCGTCAATGAAACGAAGATGTTAATTCTTCGAATGCCGGTCTTGTTCGTGTACTAATTGAACGAGATCTAAGTCATTTTCATTTGTGTTAATATGTTGACTACGTTTCATCTATTTAGAGTATTTAGAGTCAATAAAAAATGTGTTCAGGAAGAGTAAGTGTCTTCTGCTTCATCGAAGGTATCCGTCATGTAAATCTTTGTCAATCCGAGTAAGAAATGTTACGATCTCAAAACATGTTTGTGGGTGAGTGGGTATGGGTATGGTAGGCCTAATTGCACTGAAACTCAGAGATGAGAGAAAACAGTATATTACGAAACTGGCTTAGGTTTCACACACACACACACACACACACACCCTCACACACACACACACACACACACACACACGCACGCACGCACGCACACACACACACACACACACTCTCTCTCTCTCTCTTGTAAATAATTGGATTCTATGGTAAGGCTGTTGGTTACCAAGTCCAGAATCAACAGAAGATGTCAACGATATTACCGGATGGAAAACTACACATATAAATCATAGGACATTGAATCAACTCAGGGTAAAGGACATCATCAATACGGCAAGTATTCATTTGTTCTTGTAAGTCCAGGTTTAGGTGGTGGAGGAGAGCCGATGTTCCCGAAAACAACACCGACCTGTGGCCAGTACCTGGCGACTGTTCTACGTCAGCCTCGAACGCGCGACCCAAACATAGAGGGCCGTCAGACGCCTTAACACATTGACCTTTACAGCCTCTCGATTTAATGTTTAATTTTGTTGTTGTTGTTTTTTTTTTGTTTTTTGTTTTGGCAATATAATATGATATTAGATATAAATATAGTCAGATTAGGATGGAATAAAAGGGAAACAAAAATAGTCCAGGGCGTTAGTGCGTGAAAAGTCTCTCGTGTGCATTTCGGAAAGAAATATCAATACATATAATATATGGAACCTTGGGTTTCTGTAAAACATTGCTTTGCCATTTAAAGGGGTGGCCAGTGGAGTCATAAAGATGGCCAAATCACCAATAGACAAGTAAGAAACCTTACTGCACTGCCAATTTTCCTTTCATAATGTTTAACTTGATTAACATAGAACAAACACATATGAATTAATTTTTTGGAAAGTTGTTCAATATATTCCGACAATTTGACATCATGAAAATGGGGTTAAAGTTGAGATATTTTCACTTTTCATTCGGTCAAATCCGTATGATGATGATATTTAAGAATTTTACACAAAATTGTTATGATGTGTAATTGTTACGATTAACCACATTGCAATGTTCAGTAACCAATTACGACAGAAGGTCAAGAAAAAACACTAATCACACAGAAATTTTGCAACACCGACGCCACTGAGTCAGAGAGACTTGTGTGAAAGACAACGAAATGCTGAGAAATGACGACGGCGACAATGCATGAAAACAACCCTTTATTCAAGAAACTTGCTTTTAAGTTCTTAACAATGGATATTCACTGGTGCACTTGAGACCAGTATCACAGCGTAAAGTGATTTTAGATGAGCTATCCTTTTCTTCCAATTTTCTTACGGACGCAATACAGCAGAAGACAATTTCCATATTACAAAAAATGCTTGTTTAATGAGAAAGTTTATAGCCAAACTGAAAAGGTGAATAAGACAGTGAGAAAATCAAAGGAATTTCCACAGCATTAAGGACTAGAAATTGCGATCCATCTAAAGCTTTCGCAGGAAGTAGCTGATTGACAAGTTACACCGGTTCTCTCTTTTGGTTGGTTACAAGCGAAATCTAAGAGTTGTAAAGCAACTTTCTAATACAGTTATCAAATGATTACAACATCCCTTCATCCCAAACCTATGTTGTTTGCTACAGATGATCGATATTCCAAGGCCTGTTCTCAATATCACCATTTTCGTGCAAGATTTCGTCAACTGACAAACTCGACAGCAAAGAGTTTCAAGAGATGCAAGTTGATGAAAGAAAATTATGGGAAGTTTGTGATCATATTGATCCCACTGCAAAAAAATATTCAATTTCCTGTTGTTTCGTTGGTTCTCATTTGATAACGTGACATTACTCACTTGAATTATTCACGATTTACATGAACAGCCGGAACAACCTAGCTGAATAAGCGTTTTAGTACATCTAATTATTCTAAACGTTTAGTCTTTATATCTCAAAGAATCTTACAACTGATCCACTATTTCACAGAATCGTCCAATGAAAAATTACTTCAACTATGTTATTAAGATGATTCATCATTCTTAATAATCACCAACTTCAGGTATTTTTTCTTCATTGCCTAATATACAGGCGACTCTGGGGATACCTCTTTTGAAATTGGGTGGATTAAAAGAGGGAAGGCCAATGTTTTTGCTCATACTTCATTTTCTTAATATTTTCTTTATGGAATGAATGAAGTTTCGGTTACAATAGAAAAAAAATTATGGGTGACGTATGTGTCTACTGTCCCCACTGGAAACAGGAAACCCTGTGATTCAGTCTATCTATTCTATCTTTCCCGATCAGTTCGTGACTTTGGCATGTGTCCTAAATCATTGCTACATTGCGAAATGCATGATTTCTGCAAGTGAATAGACGAACGTTCTAAGATTTCCACACGACGCTTGGCTAATTTGAGTGGTTAACCCGAGTTAACAACTCAATTAATTTCCAGTAATTCTGCTCGTTCCTCCTCCTTCCCTGGAGACCACGTTGACATTTTTACTGGCACGTCTATAAACATTAAGCCTTTCCTTGGAATACTCCCATATATATTATACGATTATATACCATTCACTATTGTATCTAGGTTCGAAATGTGATCAAGTGTAATTATCTAATGACATTCGGAGTTCCTTAGAAATTATCTTTGTCTACTATTCTGGTCTTGATCTATTTTATAAAGTCTGCAATAGTTGTCAGTGCTCTGACCTACTTTAGTTAGACAACGTCAGACCAGAAATAATACATAAAATATAATTATATAATATCAGATTAGCAATTGTTTTGTAAAAATCAAAATCATACATTGTTCTTTAAAAAATGACAATGATCCTAAAAATGTTTTTTTTTTAACATTAAACTTCATTCTAAACTTCATGTTTTTTATTTGTTATTTGATAATTACTTCCAAAGACTACAGAAAACCTATGAGGCTTAGGGGAAAAATATTTTCATAATTAATTTGAAAAAACTTTTTACAAAGTATGATGTTTTGACAGAAAATCCGTAGAAAAAATTGTAAAGTTTGAGTCACATTTCGAAAATGCATTATAAATAGAGTAAAGCTTTATAAAGTTGATAACAAAGGCGAACATAGTCTGACAATGTGGCCGTGTAAATTGAAACCAAATATTGGGTTTATTGTCTGGTCATTCATGAGTCTAGAAGAACGACAGGTTGTAAAAAAGTATGACATTTTATCGACCAGAGGTAACAGAATTACTATTGTTAACCACTTCTTTTTCGTACCTAAGGTTTATCTCATATTGTTGATTGTCGTCGCTTGATAACACAAATTTCATGGACGGAATTATGTGTAGAACCTTTCATATTTCGATAACTATTTTACGTTATGTTTCTCGGCTAACAAGCATATTCTACAATTACACAGTCATATAATGTCAGTTTTAATGTCATGTACTGATATATTATTGAAATTAAAACTTTTGATATTAATATTTATTGCAATAACGTTCCACGACAAGATATTTGTTGACATGATCATAGCGATATGAAGCTGGACTTGTTTGTTGCTCGTTTAATCAGCCCGTTGGTCCCGTTGTTGTATACCTTATTCTCATTTGGGATTTAAATAGCGGCTGTCCTAGATGAAGCAGAAGGCTCTAACTATTCTGGAACACCATGTCTTATTTTCATTTCTTGTTTTTAAGGAGTCTTCGGGTAAGTTGTTCTTTCGTTCATAATTTGTCTTAGTTTTATTGAATTTGAGTTAGGATCACATGTTGTTTTCTTTTTTATTTATTCTATCGTAACCTGCATACCATGCATAAGTCATTGGAATAGCGACACGATTCAGAATCAGAATACACTTGTCAGATCAATGTAAAATCAGAAAAAATATCAAAGTATGCGGATAGAACTTGATATTACTTTTGATCAATTTTTGTGGCTTCAGTCTCGGTCTAGGTCTCAAAATGTATGTCCTAGAAGGACGATACAGCTATAAGGTCAATTCATTATTTAGGTCTACTGTATCCAATTCTTATAATCAAACTGCTTTTTACTTGCGTGTCTTTTGTACAATCATTGCGACCTGTTTTAAGAAGCTCTTCGATGAATCATCCTCGTATGAAAACAAATATAAGTCAATTTTTCTCATGGTATACCATTTGTCTGTTTGAACTCTCGACGAAGACAAAAATATTTACATATACAAAGAGAATACATGGTCAGTGTCTGAAACTTTAAGCTGTATTTTTGCTAGGGTGAAGACAGATATATTTATACAGTGCAAGTTGTAGGATAAAAATGTTTATGTACTTACCCATATAACAATTTACCTACCTGCACATGCGAGATTGGCGATAAACATATTCATTCTAGACTTGATCTTCCTGGATAAAAATATGAGGAATAAGACCAAGGTGTTTGTTATCATGGTGACCAGAAACAGGACGCACATGAAAGCGACTTGTGCCGTCTGAAAGAAATGAAATAGAATAACAATACATAGGTTATTACAACGAATTATAGTTTGGTGTCGTATACTCGCCTCTACGTGGGTTTTAATGTAAAGGAAACAATTGGAAAACACACCACAGGAGATAGCTTACGCGACAGAATATATAAAGATCGTTAAAAATCGATTATATTTCATGACGATTATGACACTATGTATGATCATTACAGAAAATACTTTATTATATGTATATATGTTTGTTCGCTGGGTTTATTGCCTATCAACAAGATAAGATAATGTAGACTATCGCTGAAGCTACCTAACTGATTGACATACGAGTCCGTCGTATGCAGTTCAGAAACAAAATGGTAAATATCTTGTTACACAATCCAACAGTACAGACGATCTCAATCTTCCGGAGAAACACAATCTGTCCATAATCGGGATCCCAACCCTTTTTATAGCCGATAAAACCAAGACATGCCGATGCGTTATAACTTCATTCTAAGTTAAATTTGGTTGAAATGAGAGCAATTGAGATGCAGAGACACATAAAATAAGGTAATTTGTTTCGTAAGGATAAGCGCTTCTACATTAATGACAACAATCTTATTGAACATGTGGGTTGTTCAAAGTAAGGAAGCGGCGACATATTGGAAGGGGATTTAAAATTAAAAAAAAAACTCATTGTTTCTTTCAAACTTAATATCAATTTGAAAAATAACTATACCATTCAAATGACTTCTTCTTAATAACTATATGGCCAAGGGGTGGTGATATTAGGCCTGTAGTAGTAATGAAGAGCTACCAACTTTATTAATATGAATTACCTTGACGTACATTCAAGGCCACAGGGGTCAAATTTATCAAAATTTTTAAACAAGTTATCAATGACCACAAGGCCAGTGGTCTTGATTTGGTCATGTATCATGTTTTTTCAACATGCAATTTGTCCGGGGAAATGGCATTTGTGTAGTGCATGTATAAAGAATAGGATTTCACCGACATCTGCTTAAGAAAGCCTTGATAACTCCATTCAAAGATGAAAGATAATCCCGGAAAACGAAGTCACATTTTGATGTCTCTGTAATTCCTAAACTAAAGCATTGGTATTCCTTACTTAGCGTTGAATCTAAGTCAAAGGCCAACAGAAAAGTATCTCAAAGAGAGACATTGAGAAGTAAAAAATAGATAAATAACAAAAACAAAATCCTGTTGTAAATATCATTCAATCATTTGAATATTTGATAATTTTTAACGGTGTTCGCCTGTCATCCATTTCCGTTTTAATGTTTATTCAATGAATACATTGAAAAAGGACAAAAGTTGCTAGCCGTGATATTTTTCAGCTTAATTGCTTACATCTGCCATGTTATGATGACTCCTAATGAAGTGGTTATCGAATAGATATTCTACTTATTTTCGAAATTCTAAGGACATTTGATTTTTTTTTATTTCATTAATGGTGGTTAAAGGATGACAAGCGATTTTGATACAATAATGTTTTCAATAACGAAAACAGAATACCACCATGTTAACAGAATCTAAATTTACACACAAATGTAAAGCAACGGGGACACAAGGGCAAACCACGAACAATTGATATAATTCAAAGGAGAATAAGACGAAGTGTTCTGAAAGAGTAAGCGTCTTCTGCTTCAACAATCATTACTTGTTCCATATCTGAAGCGATTTTGATATAATTACATATACATTTATATATACAAGATTTAAACTGTATCTTACAGCTATTTCGTCCTTCTAGGTCTAAATTATTGACACCTTTGAAGCAATGTCGAAAGATCCAAAAAGTACATATATATATAGATGTCAATAACAGCTGGATAGGTGCATTAATCGCAAAATTGACAAATTACGTTGTATACACATGTAGAAATTTTACTCAATAAATTGAAATTTTCCCTATTGACGTTATGTATTCTCAAATTCATAGCTGGGTGATTGCTCAACTAGTTGAATGAAATCTGGACGTCATTTAGAGTAAACCGTGTCAAGAAAACGTTTGATTAAAATGTTCTAGAAATACTACAATATCACCAGAGAAATATCAGCTTTCCGCTTGACAAACGCAACGGCAAGTGACATAAAATCAATTACGTGCCATGCTTGTTAACCATTTCCGTAAACTTAAAATAATGTTTTTCCGGTATACGGAAACTCTTAATGATGAATTATGGGCAATACAGTAAAGAAACAAGAATTTGTGATTCATTGCTCGAAATCAATGTCAAATACTCACGTGTGGTCTAATTCACAAAGTCAATGACACGTGAAAACAAATATAGTTCTTACTATTTAGAGGATTAAAAGACACAAGTGAATAAAATGTTTAAATACAAATTTAAAGTTAGAATTTGTTCCAAGTTTTATGGAGTTTGAGTTTAAATTGTGATTATGTTGCCATGCTTGTTTATTTCTTGATGTTTTTTTTATATATACTTTATTGAATATGTTGAACAAAGCATTTATCAAATTGATGTTTTATACTCTGATGTCCGATGTGTTACAGTCTTTTAGAACTCTTGGCCTGCAGGTAGGGCGTAATATAAAGTTGACCTCATTGGATGACCATAGTGACCGAATACGCTCAGAATATATATTTTTTCTCATTGAAGATAGTTTCTCATACTAGATAGTGTCTTTTAGTGTTTCTATGTTTAAGAGTCTGTATGTGTGTATTAAAATTGAATTAATTATCCTTAACTACATCACCCCAGCAACAGCGTTTTTCATTGTCTAGCAGCTCAAGGACACATCACACTCTTTCGCAGGTTATCGAACTCATTACCTTTCATTTAGAACAAATAACAATGCATCTTACGGGCCAAAATAGAGATACCACCAATTAGCATCAGGCACAGACGTATCCAAACGTTTCCATTTGGTTGTAATTTGACACGAAACATGAAAGTAAGGTTTTGAGATCATATTAATCACCACACACATCTTTATATATATGTATAAGTATTAGCAGTTTACTGCATCATTTTTATTGTGATGTGAACACAAATTCTCACTAAACGATATTGATGGTTTTAGAACTTCCAGCCTAAGATAATGACGGCGATGATGCTTGTTAGTTTGCCTGTTGGTTACGTTGTGGTATACCTTGTTCTCATTTGAGAACCTTATATTACTTACTTGAATTAAACAAGATTTACATAGTGGATATCGTCGATGAAGCAGAAAAAGCTTAACCCTCCGGAACACCTGGACATTTTACTTTTCTTTTGCTTTTTCAGGAGTTTCTGTGTAAATCTTTCTTTTGATCGTTCGTATTAAGGGCAAGTTCTACTGAATTTAGATTTGGATTTTTTTTCTCTCCATTGAAGGGCAATGGTCTTATAAAAACTATGTCAGCAAAACATCCGAATTAAAAGACAAGTCAATTTTATACAAATATGGGGATCATTTTCATCGCAGTTTTCTGATTATGTGAAAATAAATACCAGAAGATTTTTAGGAAAAATAAATGAAGTGGGGATGAGATTGTACTTTTCCTGTTTGTCAATATATATAGATATGGCAATTTCTGATATGAAATAGACACTGCCGGAAAACAATCACCGATGTAGACATATAATGTATATATCAATTTGAACTGCCTGTTTAATAGCGTCGCTCAATTTTTAATTCATTATTTTAATGGAAATTTCGTTTTAAGAAAATAAAAATAATGTTTTTGTAATGCAATACAAAATAACATTCCAATTCTGTACCTGCTGGCACACAACGGTTCTTTACCCTTTTCACACACAGACAGAGATCTCTAGGGAGTATAGCAAACATTTATTTGCAGTTACAGGAATGAATGAGTAATATAGGTGGAATCAAACTTTAGAGTTATATTTCTTGTACTGCCAACTACAGGAAACAAAAATCAAACAGACAAAAAAAATTAAATAAATAACAAATATTAATAAAGTCAAATTATATTGAAAAGCCAAAACTTGCAGTTTCTAGCTACTAGGTCCAATATAAAGGTTACTATAAGAATTTTAAGATAAATTAAATTTTTTAAGGATAAATAAATAACAAACGTAAGATGTCAAAATTAGTAATGTCGTCTTGCGGCCGTCATTAATATCAAACAAAGCTCAAATTATAGAGAACACAATAAGGACCAATACTATTAATGGGCATGATTGTTTTTGGGGATGGTGATTACCGTTAGATACCCCCTGTGGATAGAGGTTAGAATATATCCGCTGTGATAAAAGTCCACTGAAACGGGCAGCATATCTGTCGTGCGTTGCGTCACTTTAGTGCTGGGAGATAGGATCCTGATGGTTGAGGGGCGGTTACGTGTTTAGGGTTTTATTCTTCAGATATTTGCATGATCTTCCTCAATTCATCACTTTGGCCTCTATCTCAGTAAATCGGGTGAACATTGTGACCCTCAGTGATTAATCGGCTTGTCATGCCAAGCCCTGGGTCAACTGTATGTCTTAAGTGTTAGAATTAGAATTCTGTTTTTCGAGTATACTATATTTGTATCCTTGGCACTCGAGTACTGGAGGTCCGTACCGTTAGAAGTGTCCCCTTGTTGGACAGGTCGGTGAGAAGCACGGGTAATGAAATCTTAACACATAGTTATGGGCACAAAAAACCAAAATGAACGGCCTTGTCCTTCATAATCAGACTCAGAAGATGAATATGATTTCAGTCAGTTGATCGTAAAACGATCAGTGGGAAAGGCTAAACCAATGTCATCCTGATACCACCCTGTCAACATGCGGTACTCCAAAGAGTATTTAAAACCTTCTGATGGAAGTAATTCGCAAGTAAGAAGCCATGATTCTTTAAGGAATGACAATTATTTTGACAGAACTGTGCAAGCTGTCCCTCATTCCCCTCTGAACACATCAAACGGCGTTACATGTTGTTCATATCTTCAGGGAGAGAGTGAGGAGAACATACACAGTTACTCCGATGAAAAACAACAGAAGGTCAACCATGTTAAATGGATCAACGCTTTCTTTCTTACTTATAACACCTCA